TGGAAAAAGTTCCCAAAGGAGTCTCAGAATCCAAAGGGGAAATTGAAAGAGCAGTTCAAGCTATTGAATCTCAATCCAGGACACTCAGAAGTGCCTTGGAGACAAGCTATGGAAGAAAGGTGCCAGACGACCACCCAGTTTTGACATGGTTGGTTGAACATGCTAGCACCACTTACAATTTGTTTCACAGATCATTGGAAGTCAAAGATGGGAAGACACCGTACTCTAGACACCGTGGTCGTGAGTGGAGAGTGTCATTACCACCATTTGGGGAAACAATTGAATTCCTCAAAAGAGGTCACAAGTTTGAACAAAGATGGCACCAAGGAGTTTTCTTGGGAGTCAAAGACAATACCACTGAGAAGATAGTGGGAAATGCATCAGGTGTTTTCACTGTGCAAAGCATTCGACGCAAGAGTGCTGACGACAGATATGATGTCGAAACTTTGATGTCAGTCACTGGGGTTCCCTGGGATCCTCAAGCATCAAAAAGAGATGATGTTTTGCCTCCTCAGATTGTTGGGGGAGATCAGCAGCCACTGGCGCCATCAGTGCCAGTTGAGCCACCAAAGAAGTCGACAAGACGACTTTACATCACCAAACGTGATTTGGACAAGTATGGCTACACCGCTGGTTGTGTCGCCTGTGATACCACTAGAATTGGCAAAAGAGGCACTGGAGTGCATCACACTCCAGCCTGCAGAGAAAGGATGGAACGTCTGCTTCAAGCAGAAGAGGGCAACCTGAGAGTAGCCCAACATACGGCCAAGGTTGATTCTGAAATCACTGGTCAGAAACAAGAAGTGTCCGAAGAAGGCACAAAGATTCTTTATGGGTATTCAAGTGAGAAACCACAAGAAGTTCCTCACGGTTTTAAGGTGTTTGCGCGCCTTGACAAGAATGCAAGGTATCTCAAGGGTACTATGCCAGAAGGTCCCAGTTGGGATAATGTCTGGTGGAGAGTCACCAGAGATTTCAAAACAGGAAACATTATCAAGTCTGAACCAATGGATCCTAGTTTAGGAGATGAAGTCATCAACGCGCCTTTGATTGATGACGCAGATATCGTCACTGAACTGTGGTACTCAGCCACAGGGGAATCTGCTCCAAGTTTGCCAACAGCTGGACCTGCTATCGCGAGGCAGAGTCCTGCTACCGGACAAGCTGCAGATCCACCTGCAGAAAGCGCAAGCGCAAGCACAGCCTCAGCCAAGAGGGCAGGAGGCGAGCAAGAAGAAAGAGCACACAAAAGGTTGGAAATGTCTCCAACCAAAGGTCGGAAAAGACCTGCAGACTCAGGAGGCGAAACGTCAAAGTCCAAGGACAGCCGAGCTGCTTCAGCTCAGGCGTCTAAGGGCACCAAACGGCCACCTGAGAATGAGAGACCAGAAGACATGGATGACATAGACCAATGTCTTATGAACCTGATCATGGAAGATCGGGAGAAGTACCTTCAGTCCATTGAAGGTGAAGAAGAGCCAGTTTGTGAAGAGACAATTCCTCTTCCACCAGAACTGGAAGATGAAGCAGCCACATGGTATTATTACGATGATATCAGTGGAAAGATTTTAGACAGCAAAGGTGTAGAACAAGCCAGAAAAGATGAGGTCGAAATCATCGAAAGTTTTCCAGTTTGGGAAAAGATTCCCAGACACAAGATGCCCAAAGGGGTACGCACCATTGGAACACGATGGGTAGATGTCAACAAGCAGGATGAAGAGAATCCACTTTATAGAAGTAGGTTAGTAGCTCAAGAAGTCAAGAAGGGCTCAGGTTTTGATGAGTTCTTCGCAGCTATGCCCAGTTTGTCGGCTTTGAAGATGCTAGTTACAATAGCCGTCACGTTTCAGTTGCCAGACGCTGGAAAAGCTGTCAAGGAAGCCTATCGCAAGCGTAGACTTCTAGGATTTTTGGATGTGAAACGCGCCCACTTTTACTCAGATGCGACGCGTGAGATCTATGTGGAACTTCCTGCAGAAGCAAAGAAGCCTGGAGAAGATGTGGTAGGAAGATTGCTCAAGTCTTTGTATGGAACCAGAGACGCACCTCTCAACTGGGAGTTGCAAATACAGAAGGTTATGTTAGCCTTAGGTTTCAAGCAAGGAAAAAGCAATCCATGCATTTACTACCATGCAGGCCGAGACCTCAGAACTGTTGTACATGGAGATGATTTTACAACAGCCGGAACATTTGACAACATCAAATGGCTTCACGAAGAGCTGTCAAAGAAGTGGAAATGTGTGGAACGTGGTATTTTAGGACCACCAGGAACACCAAACACCATCCAGGACATCAGAGTCCTGAACAGAATTATCACATGGAAGGAGAATGGAATTTGGTGGGAACCAGATGCACGTCATGCAGAGTTGGTGATTGATTTACTCGGAGATGGTCCCCGAGGGGCCAAAGTCAAGACACCACTTGCCAAGGGTTCAGTGGAAGACCTCAAGAACGCCACTGTTTTTCTCAATGATGAAGAAGCAACCCAGTACAGATCAGTTGCAATGCGAGCAGCTTATTTGGCACAAGATCGACCAGATCTGCAAGTAGCGACAAGATCTTTAGCACAAGGGCTACAACGACCAACTACCAGCCACATGCTTATGCTCAAACGAGTTGCACGATACCTCAGGTATCGACCACGCATGGCACAATTCTTTCCTCATCAGAACAAACTCAGTCCATTTGTGATGTGGTCTGATGCTGACCACGCTGGATGCGTGAAGACGAGGAAGAGCGTGTCAGGAGGCGTCTTGATGGCCGGTGGTTGTTGTATCAAGACTTATTCTAAAGGACAAGGAGTTGTTAGTCTTTCGTCTGGAGAGAGTGAGTATTACGCTCTTGTGAGCGGTGCCAGCAATTTGCTGGGAGAAGTTTCAACCGCCAAAGACTGGGGTTTGCAACCCGAGAGTGAAGTTTTCATGGACGCAAGTGCAGGAATAGCAATGGGTTCTCGCAGAGGACTAGGCAAGGCCAAGCACGTGGATACTCAATACCATTGGGTACAAGACCGCGTTGCCAAGCGCTATTTTCGGCTGAAGAAGGTCGACACTGGCGATATGCTTGCCGACGTCTTGACGAAACCTGTCATAGAAGAGAAAATGAATAAAGCCTTGCGAAATATGAATTTTCACTTTCTGGAAGGTGAGCATCACCTGACACTGAGAGCATAGATGGCTTGAGCGTGGCTATGAGTAGCTGTACATATCAAAACTCGCCTAGTTCAAATAATTGGACGGGAGCGCCGTTTTTAAACAGGCTCGGGAGGCGTGATCAGATACGTGTACAGTGTAGACTATGTCACATGTAGCATATATGTTTGTATATGTGCTGCAGCCATTTTAGTGCTTTCAGCTACCTTCGAGCTGACTGAGTGAAAAGGTGCTGATCAGTGCTCAGGAGTGTTCATCAGATTTAAGAGCCCAAATTCTCTGTTCAGTGTGTCTAGGGTTTTGGGGGTCTATATTAACGTTACAAAATTATTATAGAAGTGTCAGCTGATAGTACCCAGCCTCCCGATCAACTCTAGAAGCAAAGGTGTTCAAGCGATGTTCCCGACAGACAAGATCCAACGCCGCCTGCGGCGATTGATAAACGCAATTTTTATTACAAACATTCAAGTAAGAGTTTGGAGATGAAATAACATTTTCTTCCCATGACCCCAGGGCTCCAATTTTTGTTGGGACCGTGTTTGAATAGTGGGATCATGATTTCCAAAATATCATGGCGACTGACCCCTTCAAAGCCTTAACATCTTTGCGGGTTGGAGGATCACCAACCAGCTCAGATACACTCACCCATCGGAGAAAGAAGTCAAAGTTGCCCTCGGCGACAACCTGTGACGAGTCTTGGCTGGAAGGACATAGGGGGATTTGGGGCACAAGAAACAAAATACACTTTTAAGCCTGCCTGGGCTTCATCAACTAAATGGCTCTCGTTGTCCAAGAAACTGAACACAGTAGGCGCCTCCAAAGTGGTCAAAAGTGCGTTGATGACTTTGACATGCGCTGAAAAAATATGAAAAATGTGGGATAAATATAATTGAAGAATATCATCACCCAATATTGGCCTTCTTGTTGATCTTGTTTCTTCCCAACGTCGACAGGCGGTCATTGATGTACTCGGGGGTCAGGAAACTGTTGTAGAATTCCTGGTGATGCTTGAGGCACAAAGTTCCAAAAATTTAGATAATTATTCCAGTCTATCTTTATTAGCCCAGTCCTTCAGTAGGGCCACTCGATCAGGATTGGGCTTCGAGTCCGGCATTGCCAGCATTTGGCAAAACACTGCAGCGACTATGGCAGCCCCTCCAAAACCCAAACCACCATATATAGTATCACCCATTTTCATGATTTATAATATCCCCAAAAAATGACAACTGTTTGATCCCCATTTGTGTGTGAATGACACCACCACCACACCCCTGGAGCCAATCAACGGTCAAAAGCGTGTTGTAGATGTTCAATTATGTCAGTGGAGAAAGTATCGAACCCTTGGTATGTGCATTGGGGGATGCACAGAGGTCGCACCTTCAAAGTTTCCAGCCAATCTTTGGCCTCAGCATCATTCAGAATATTATATTTATCTTGTGGGGTGATAGTGGTAACTATCTAAGAACCTGGCGTTTCCGGAAAGCATTAGCACATCGGTGGAGAAACCGCATCCGGATCGAACCGATGGCTGCTGGGAACCGTTCTGGATTTCATAGGGTTCTGTGGGGGATTTTGATGTTTTCTTGAATATATCTAACCCCAAAGTTAAACGTTGTGGTTACTAACCCCAAAGTTAAACGTTGTGGAGGAAGTTCAGGGTTTTATATATATATACATTATATATATACATTATATATATATACATACAAACATCTACAGGGGGATGGTCATCAATCGTTTATTTAGTCCACTTTCTTCGGGCATTTCATATACGCATTGATAAAGATTCCCAGTATACACATGGTAAGATCGTAAACACAGCCAACACTGCGGCTGAAACTCAGTGAGGCAACTGGCTGCAACTTGTGCCCACCGGGTACTTCAAATTCAGCCCCGGGTGGCAGCAGTGTTGCTTGGCAAGAAAACTCATCCCAAATGGAGCCAGTTTGCAGCTGTAGATGCCACCCTCTTTTGTTATTTTCATGGCTACGGGATCTCCCTGCTGGGTGCAAGAACTACCGAACTACCCCACTCTTGCTGGTCTTACATACAATTTTTGGTGGTTTGTCCATTTTTTTCGTTGAAGCCTCCCCATTCTTGCCAGCTCCAGAGGATTCGCTCTGTGCTCCCTGCGGCCTGGGTTTGTGGAGCGGTGAAGGTGGGGTGATGGGAGATGAAGTAGCCAGAAGAGATGGGAATTCAAGACTAAACGGACTAGCGCTTGAGGTTGCTTCATGAACTTTGTGAGCCATTTTGCATGAAGATTGCATATTTCGCACCACTCATATTTGTTATTTGAAGGGGTATGTAAGCTTAGCCCTGCTGGGAGGGAGAGTTATAGGTGAATATACGTATCACATGTTCCAAAAATTGGTATCTCCCATTAAAAAACAATATTTTTATTCCATTCTGTCCCCAAATTTCCCATCCTGGCAGCTTCTTCCCATCGCAGGTGCCAGTAGCTGCAGCCTCTGTAGCGCTGGGCGTTTCGGTGCGACCCAGGGACTGAGCCTCTGCAGCCTATGTCCATCTGGCAGCTACAGCAACCAGCAGGCACCAGGACCCACCAGGTAGGTCTATGGTCTATGTAAGTGGAGATATAGATAGATATAGCTGATACCCTCTGGTAATTTAACGTAATTAGCTATTGAAAATGACCATTTGTAGTGGATTTTCCCATTAAAAATTGTGATTTTCCATAGTTATGTTAGTTCACCAGAGAGTATCCCCTAAAGGTCCTGTTTCTTTTTTGTAAAATGGACCTTCCATTTTAAGATCCGGAAATTTCCATTGAAGAAGTGGCCCCCGAGTTTTCGTAATTTTCGTCTAGTCGTGGCTTGGATGAAGATCACGACGCACATCCATGGCCAATCGGCCATGACTGCACTGCACAGGGCGCCACTGCAGAGTCTGCCTGTGGCTTTGCTGCAGAATGTGCTGGTTTTGGCCGGTCAGCCATCTACAACCCAGGTAAATCTCTCACAGCAAACAAACCAACTATGAACCACTCAGCTAATCCCCGGTTTCGATTTGACATGTTCAGTTTGAACAAGGATGTCCAAAAAAATCGATTCAAACATGTTACAAAAGATACATAAATACGACATCCCCAAAAAAGATGCAGAAGATTTTGCAATCTCTTCCTAAAATAATGGTCATTTGTACCATTCCAAATTATCTTCCAGTTGGGTTACGACATATTTCCCCATACCCCCGTGACATCCCAATGTAGGCGTGAAGGCCAACCCCCATGAGATCCCCATCAAAGTTTAAAGGTTACAACTAGAAGCTATAAATCCCCATTATTATAGCGAAATCAGAAAGCCACTACAATCTAAATATGGAATCAATGATGGTACTCCATATTTATTCCCTAGGATCTGGTGAAATTAGGAATCTCCAGATGATCATTCCCAATTTACCCTCTGGTAATTTAACATAGCTATTGAACATGACCATAGAAATAGTGGATTTTCCCATTAAAAATGGTGATTTTCCATAGTTTTGTGAACGTTTACCAGAGGGTATATTTCGATTTGTGACCTATTTACCCTCCAGTTTTTTCAGCTCCATGGCGTGCTGGAAAATTTTCCTCAGCTTTGTTGTTCGATGACCTGCCGTTGCCACGGCCACGCAAAAACCAGAGGCTATACGAAATTAGAAAAATCCCTTATGAGAAAAGATGAATAACGTATCGTTTCTGACAGGAGAATTAGGCATTAAAATCCAATCTCGACATGTAATTAGGCATTAAAATCGATGAACATGGAATTCACATCTGTTAATACTTCATATATCCGTTACAAATTCAAACTCTCTGAATCCCCTGATGGTCTCCATGATCGTGGTAAGGTGAGAAGTGTCCACCTGGACGTTTCTCGGAAGTCACTGGGGCCGGAGGCTTTGAAGCCTGCAACGACACTGGCAGATCTCCAGGGTACGGGGGGGGATTCAGCCAACGATGTGGGCGATTTATACGGGATTTCATGTGGAACATCGACAATAGGTGATTTATATTGATTTATAAATGGATTTCATGTGAGTTGATCGGTGGTAAACATCCCATGATTTCTAGGGTTTCAAAGTTTCAACCATCCAAGGTGAGTATGTTGTGGCAACACTGCCATACACAACTACCATGACTGGGGATGGTTTATGGCATTGGGTTTACCACATTGTAGCACCCCCCCAAAGAGATAGAACATGTGGGGAAAACACCTGGACAACATGGGGAAACCAGTCAGAAACCAGTCAGAAACATATGGGGACATTTTTGGACACACTTTTCGTGATTTTTTTGGAGGTTGCTATACACTGGGTCCACGAATTGGAAGTTTTCATACATCTTTCCTCAGTAGCCTTGGGGTTGAACATGGACCAAAATAGATGTGATCTTATATGATATTATATGTATATATATATATATACACTGTCATATAAATATGATGAATGATACAAGCATTTTTTACAGGTATTCAACCATTCAACGCACCATTTTATGGAAATTTAAGATGAATGGGATATAGACAATAAACATGTAATCAACATATACAACATATAATGGGAGAAATCGACGATCATGGGATTTGTTTCCATACTGTTTTCATGGAATATCATGGGAATATAATGTAAATACGTTCCGCTAAATAATGCGATGTTAATGATAGAATGGGACATATCCGGATATATATATATAGTCAACGACATAGTGTGTCAAAAGAAGCATGATATGCTCATATATGCCCGTTGTGCTGTCAAATAAGAGATATGATTCATGGTCATGTTGGCGATATAACACGTATTGCACACATCATTACTATTTTCATTGGTACAGTACCCTTAGCCATTATCAGTCACTATCAACTATCAGCTCAATCTTGATCCATTCATCATTTGCCATCTATAAACTGGATATGTTCATTGCTTGGAGTCCAAGTTGCCATGGTTTTTTCGTTCGTTTTTTCCCCGTTGCGTTGGAGGAATCCCCTTGTGGCGCCGAGGAATGTCCTCGCGGGAGATGGTCGGCGGTCTTTGGTGCCAGCCTATGCGCGGGCTGTCCCGCAGGGCGGGTGAGCCAGAGCATCGGAGTTGCTGAGCTGCGCTGAGCGGATACGCGTACAGGCATTACAGAAAAATGGCCCAACTAACAGTTAATATATATGATATATATAATATGATATATAATATATATATATATATATGTATATCATATACAATATATATATATATGTATATCATATACAATATATATATATATATATTACATAATATATATATATAATATAATATATGTAATATATACAATATATGTATTATATATAACATATGATTTATACTATATATATAATATAATATATAGTATATATGATATATAATATATGATATATATATATCATATATATATAATATAATATAATAAAATAGAATATAATATAATATAATACAATGTATAATGTAATACAATATAATATAATATATAATATAATATATAATGTAATACAATATAATATAATATATAATATAATAATATAATATATAATATAATATAATATAATATATAATATAATATAATATAATATAAAATATAAAATTATATAATATATAATATAATATATAATATAATGTAACATATAATATAATATAATATATAACATAATATATAATATAATATATAATATAATTTATAATATTATATATTATATATTATATAATACAATATAATATTATATATTATATATAATACAATATAATATAATATAATATATTATATTATATAATATATAATATAATAATATTATATAATATAATATATAATATAATATGTCATATAATATATAATATAATATATAATATAATATATGATAAAATATAATATATAATATAATCTATAATATAATATATACTATAATATATAATATAACATATAATATTATATATAATATAATATATAATTTAATATATAATTTAATACAATATAAAATAATACAATATAATATAATATATTAATGAATTGAATGAAATAACTCCTATAACTAAGGTTTAATATAATGAAATAAGCCCATAAGAATAACTGTGAGTTGTGCCATAACTCTATGGGTCAAGTCCCACGGATATTTTAATGCCACATGTTTTTTGTGATACAAAAAATGGATGATCAACGTTTAAAAACACACGAAAAAAAAAAAACGTGGTTCCACATGGGTCAGGTAATTCTTGGGTTTGTCCAGAAATGGAATATAACTGTTTTTTTCCCAGCATTTTGCTCTTATTTAGTGGGAGTATGCTGACCAGCGGGAAATTCAGTTGCTCGTACCTATTTCAGACAACTTCATGACTTCGATCCGATGATCTCCGATGCTGGGAGGTGGTTTTCCACCGGAATTTTCTGGCCAATCTCTACTGATCTACTTGTGGATACAAACATGGCATTCCTGGGATTCCCAAACATGAATCTATAACACCAAGCTGTTGGAATTCAAAACTGGATGCATGAAAGGTTTGGAGGGATGTACCCAAACCATAGGCTTCCGCTTGAATTTCCACGCAGTTTTCCTTGCTCACCATGATCTTCATGATGTGATGAGGAGTATATCCGGAAGACTCAGCTGCTGGAAAGGCTTGTCTTTGTTGGACCTGAAGGTTTTTTCGTTCACCAAACCGTTTGTTGTTTTTTCTCCAAAATCCAATCCTACAGTAGCAGTAGGAGCTTCTGTCCATCCTGTTTGAGATGTCTGGCGTTGCTCGTGGATTTGAGGGTCGTGCTACCAGGTTTTGACCAGATTCAGAAGGACCCCCTCCCACACCATTACCACCCCACGGTCAGATAACCCCCCAAAAAGAGTAAAAAGTGACATTTGATCCTAAAATAGTGGTAAACTTCAGCTGTTGACAGAAGTTTTTGGTCCAGTGGTTGGTAATTCGTGTGGATCTAGTGGTTTTTTTCCTCTTCGTTATGAAGCGGTACGCAACTGGATTCACCGATTCTGCGAGGCAGTTTTTTTTTGGTGTCCCTGACTGCTTGTTATTTCAACATGAAGCAAAGTTAAGATGTGACACTTAGCTCCTGAAACCTAAGGGTGTCTTAGTCAACATCTGTGCTACTCATTTTTTCGATATTTTTAAGGTTGTGGCTCAATTTTGGGAATTTGTACGTAATTTTACCCGCTAGATCCCCGCTAGCAATGCACTAGCAAAAGTTTCAATTCGCGGCTTTTGGCGGACCCATGACCCAGTCGCTACCGGAGAACTTGAAATTATCCTTTCTGTTTGACAAACGCAACAGTGACAGCAAAGGCAACGACAAACCCTCCAGCAGATGAACAAGGAACAAATGTTCCAGTTCCACGACTAATAACTAGCAGCGACACCCACTCCATATAGACATGTGTTAGCATTTACTGCAGGTTTTAGCTACGATTTCAAACATGAAAGGAACATGCAGGGTTTCATACTATTTGGATAAGTCATAGTTTGAAAGACCGAACGAGAAGCGGCACGCAAGGAATCACGCATTTATCAACCAAACCAGAAGAATATATATTTTCACAAAGCGTCATTCATGTTTATTAGATCTATTGATCATTCCGTGAAATATCAACATCTTCCCACTGGCTGGTGTGATCTTCCTCTCGCAGCGTTGACGTTGAGGCTTCCAGCGTTGAGGTCTGCTTGGACTGTGATCCAGGCAGCTACAGCAACGAGTCATGGAGTTCCTGCTTGGCCTGCCCCACTGGCCGTGGCTGGGCAGATGGTTTTTTCCGGTTTTTTTTTGGGTTTTCATCGGGGCTACAAATGTGTGACGATATGGGGATATATATGTGGATAGAAGTGGATATAAGTGGTAAGTGAATGTTGTTTGATGATTAGTTTTCTGATTTAACCATGATTATGAGCGGTTTTCAAGGGACTTTAAGCATCAAACATGTGGGAACACAGTTGATAAATCATGGTTGACGAGCACACGGGCTTGAAGCACCCGATAGAACATCTACTGTTGTACATTTACTGGCTCCTCGCAGGGATCGCGAGTGGGAAACCGCAGTTGTAAGTAGGGAAAGTAGGGTTAGTCCAGTTATAACTCGGGCGAACTAATCCACTCACTAACTGGGATGAACAACCAAGTACTGTTGTATACTGTGGTAAAGCCAAAACCGCCAAAACCAACCCCAATGACTTGCCAGAAATGGGTGTGTTAACAACCATTCCTTCATTTTGCGGGTTTACGATTTTTTGTTTACATTTTGTTAAACTATCTTAACATCAATTTACCCTCTGGTATTTAACATAGCCATGGAAAACCACCATTTATAATAGGTAAATCCACTATAAATGGGCCATTTTCCATGGCTATGTTAAATAACCAGAGGGTACCAGATGAGTCTCAGATGAGTCATGTTTGGAAGATCAATGGGCACCATATGGGCGTCGAATTGAACTGCATCATCGAGGTTGGGGTGCTTCTCCTGGTATGGCCAAATGTCTTTTGGCGTCAGAAGAGTGTGCTGTGTTGTGGAACAGGGGCATTCCTGGGGGAAGGCACTTACGTAACAAAAGTTGGCAGAATGGCAGAAGCATTTTTGCACTGTAGGTATCAATCCCACCATTCCTGGCACTTGAAATCCATCACTACTTGTACATGTTTTTATGCCATATGTTTCCATGAAACATTTGGACTTTCCCAACCCCGCTGGGTTAGTTTCTTAACCCAATCAACCGTTCCTTGAGATGATGATCTGCAGGTTAGGTGAGGATATCCCATATTCATACAGGCTGATCTCATATTTAGAAAAGGGGCTACAACTCATGTAGAACTATTGATACAAACAAAGAATCATCTATCATTTATCAATCATATCCGCATCATATTCTGGTGCTTGAGACCAATTTTGGTGTGCATTGAAAGCCTCATATTTTTGATGGTCCGATCCCCATGGTTTTTTCGTGGAAAAAATCCTTGAAATCCCAATTTAAATTAGGCTACCCTCTGGTAAACGTTCACAAAAAAACTATGGAAAGATCCACCATTTTTAATGTGTATATCAACTATTTCTATGGCCATGGCTTCCATAGCTGTTAGTTTACCAGAGGGTAAATCAGGCTAAATCATGCTAAATCATCCGCTTAGAGCTTCAATTCCCCTTTTTATTTCACCTATGAACTGAGGCACGGCCTGCCTTGCCGGTCGCTGGAGCGACGCCACTGGGCAGGTGGAGCTAGGCAGCTGCCGCCTTTGCCCCAGCGGCACCTTTCAGCCGTGGCCAGGGGCAGATGCCGTGAGCTGGTGCCTGCCATGTGAAGCAGGTGGGAAAACACGGGATGTCCCAAATTCCCAAATGGCAGTCGGTCAAAACCTTGTACCCCTGGTGAACATCAAAATAGCTGGTAAATGGATGTTCATCCCTCTAAAAATGGTATTAATAGATATTGATTCATAGCCAAATTCTCATTAGTTGATTGGTTGATGAATAGAAGGCTTTGAAGAAACCGAAGAAATCCCTTGAACAACAGGTTTGTTTGATGATAGATGGTATACCAAGCCGGCCCAAAGCTATTTTTACCACATGATTGGACAGGGGATGTCACCTATGTGGGCCATGTAAATGATGCCATTGGGTAAAGTTCATAACCACCGAAGCCTGTTCTCCCGAAACCTGGAATCATGGTGAATGTTAGGGGAATCATCCCCATGGTGGGCCGAAGATTTCAGGTTAGTGAATTCTTATAATTTGCCCAGATTGGTGCCTTGCAGTGTTACTAATTCTAGTGTGAACTAACCAGGGGCATATACTAACCAACCATCATTTTTAGTGGTGCAATGTAGTGTGAACTGATTGAAAATGATAGTGTCACGAATTCTAGTGTTACTAGATTTGGTCATGTATCTACTGGGTGAATAGTGGCTAATGATATAATATTCGGAGGGATTTGTTGGACTATCATGAGGATGTAATGGGAATTTGATTAGGTCAAGTTGAGCGGAAAGGGGCTGAGCCATCAACAAAGACCTGCCGAGCCGATTCCTCGTAGGTTCTGTGTGGGACTGTCCGATTTTTTAAAGGAAGTACTTACCCTCTGGTAAACTAACATAGCTATGGAAAATCACCATTTTGAATGGGTAAGTCAACTATATAAATATCTATAAATCACCATTTTCAATAGCTATGTAACAGTCATTACCAGAGGGTAAATGACTAAGAACTAGTCAGATGTTATCTCCTAGGTTTAGGGATGCAAATTGACCCATTTGTGCCACATGGTCGCTCTTGCTGGGACGACTATACCCCATAAATCCCATGTAACTTGACTTGGCTGGCTATATGATGCTTGTTCTATAGGGAATATCAATGGGGATAACCAACCATGGGCACTCACCAAGCATTTTCTGGGGAAAACAATGATTGTATGATATTTTATGAGATGGTGTATATCACTGCAACATATTATGGGGTATACAGTACAATGGAGATTAGTTTTAAAATAACCAAGAGTTTAACCAGCTGTCTTGTGGGTAATTGGGGATGTTTCATGGATATACACACACACACTCAAACTTAAGATGATGTGGGCATCCGAAAACGGGCGACCCCCCCAAAGTGCCATTGGTCCAACCCTTTGGAAGTTGGGGTTATAACGGTTACACCATTTTCAGAGAAGCCCAGATATTTTTTTTTGGTCTGGATGGCGATATCAGCCCACAACGACCTGCAGGGCGCTGGAACGGTGCCGAAGGTGCCAGCAGATGTACGGACTGCCCTCTTGGGCGGGCCAGTGACGTGCTTGGCGCGACCGTAGAAGCTGTTTGCGAGGCCGGGAAAGCGCGTTTTTTTCGTGGCATTTGAAAGCGGTTTTTATGGTATTTTACTAGGATTTATATAATGGGAATTAGTGGGATTTAACAACACATATTATCGCACATGGCTAAGAACTAAATGGGCCATTCATCTATAAATGGACGATTTTCCATTGCCATGTTTGATTACCAGAGGATGGCTTCTTTTTTACTGGGCCCAATATGATGAACGCATCTAATTAATTTCCAATTTGTTGCTTATATCATGTAGCTTGTTGTATCCCCATGGCTCTGCCATTATATTCCTACGGACCGTCCACAATCCCAGGTGCAATGGGGGATGAATACATGAGACACAGCTTATGGATCTTGTTGATATCCATTGCGCTAATTCCATCCAATTCCAATGACATATCCAAAAAGGGGTACTCCAAATCCCATGGTTTATCATCATTTTTCCAACAAAATCCCCCACTCAAAGGGGGTAAAACGCCCATTTTCAGACAGACACTTACATGTTGCTAATGTATCTAATTTATATCATATTGAACATGGTTGGCTTCATACCTCCATTGTAATGATATGAGGAATCCACGCTATCCCCGTTCTCAACATCCCCAACAAAACATCCCCATCAAATTATCACATAGCTCCGTAAACAGCTAAGATATTATTTCAAGATGGGCTTAGCGGGATTAATCCTGGTGAAACCCTGTTATAACGATCACAAACCGTAGTTATTGGACTTATAATCCAACGTAGCTAACTTCAATCCCACTAAGTCACCATAAGATCCCAGAAAATCGCATTAAAATCAACCCTCCCAAGGCCTGCCCTGTGGGCCGTTCTGCGTTGCCGGGCCTTGCGCGCTGCAGCCTTTGCCCCGCGGGGCGTTTCGCGGAGTTCGAGGCCTCCGGGTGGTGCGACGGCTGCCCCAGCGGACGCTTCGGGCGCCTGGGCGGTGATTTCCGTGGGAAATCAGTGAAAAGCGGAGAAAATCTGACTGGGACATGGCCAATTTTGTGGAAAATCCTTATACCCTCTGGTTATTTAAGAGTTCGCCATGGAAGCCCATGGCCCATTTATAGATGGTTTACCTATTAAAAATGGTGATTTTCCATGGCTATGTTAAATAACCAGATGGTAATGGTTTTCTGATGGTTTTCTGATGGAAAAGGTTTTTGTTCTTATATTGGTTAGTATAGTGAAGAGGGCCAGAGGGGTGAGTTTGAATGGCTATGTTTGATTCTCAGAAGGTAGTTGGGCTATTCACTCTGTTAATGTGGTAGATGGCCCCAATTGCAATGCTCATAACACGGCGTCGATGTTCATCGCTGTAAAAGCGGGCCCTGTGTGGAGTGAATCAGAACGGGTTTGGTCTATGTTTTTGTTTGATTTTTTGATATCACCAGTAAAAGTGGGAATGCTGCCAAGCAAAGTGAGATACTTGGATTTGGAGGGGAAGGTCAATAGAGATCCCCAGATCTTTCTCCTTTTGGGAGGTTCAGCATCACTTGAAATTATTTAATATCTGGACGCCTGGCCTGTTGATGCCAGGGGAGATTGTTTACTCTTATTGCTGGTGGCTCGAGACAAACCATATTAAGCATATTTGGGATGATCTGTAACAGCGCGGTCCCCGGCCATTTCCTCAGCCTTTTCTGCGTCTTCTGGGGATTTGTGGCCATTTGTTCATTTCACCACTAGAAGGTAAACGAACTCAGCAGCTGGGAGACCAAGGCCCAGTGAAGGTGCCATGAGCAATCGAACTTGTGCCTTGGTGAAGCAGCATGTCTCGATGCAGCCGCTACTGGGAGCCAGTAGCTGATACTGTTGATGGGGTTAAACTACTGATTTCGACGGAATTTGGAAGATAAAGCCTCATTTCAACTACAAAATTGGACTTTCAACTACTGATGGGCTGTGAGTCCAGTTAAGATTTTTGAAGTCGAAATGCTTCGACACCATGCGGGGCAAGATCCAAGGATGCAAGGCAGGTATCGAGGCCCTTGACAGAATGGATATCAAAAATCTCTGACTTGGAGCCTCTCACATGTTTAACCCATATCTGTGCACAAGTTGATGGTAATTAACTCTAGTAGGTGATTCCTCCACCAAATGGTCTGCCGTCAGGTTTTCCATGCCCGCAGGGCTATTGGACTTTGTCTGAGGGTTCTTCCTCGTGTTCAGGACCTGCGAGCTGGGCCGAACGTCATCACTCCCTATTGTGCTATGTTCCACATGTTGGAACCACATGTTCCACATGTTCCAAACAACCCAAAGATCTCAAAGTGGTGCTAAAAGCATTGAACACTATCCAACATCAAATTTGTAGTTGGGTGATGACAGGGTGGCATCGTCCTCTCATCATTTTTGCTTGGCATCGTCATGGGCCAGAGAACCCAAAAGCAAGACGGCACGCAGCACGCCTTTTTTAAAAATCGTGTGGTGTGGGCAGCTGTGCTCTGCACGAAATCGACGTAAGATCTTTACTGAAACATCGTGCGCACTGATGGTATCAGGGGCCACAATTCACCACAGCATGCTGTGTCAGCTACGTCTACATTCTTCTAGTCGCTATTTCTGCTACTGTAATTAACTCTATCTATCCCATTTTTCTAGTCGCTATTTATTCCTGGGTTCTCGTTTAGTTTGCTTCGCCGCAGAGGGAGCGAGGACGAAGCGTGGACGGACAGAACACCGTGCGAAATGAAAGACGGAGGGAGTTGACCAAAAGAGCATGAAAAGGAAGATATGAAGATGACAGATGGTGAATGATCATGAATGATCATGATAAATGAGACATGATGAAAGATGGATTTTCTGTACAAAAGCTTCTATGCGTAAAAGCTACTGTGTGTAAACGCGTCTGTGCGTACAAGCTTCTTTGTGTAAAAGTTCCTCTGTATGAGTTTTTTTCTGTGAAACATCTTCTGTGTGTAAAAGCTTCTGTGTGTAAAAGCTTCTGTGTGTAAAAAATTATGTGTGTAAAAGTTTCTTTGCGGGTAAAAGCTTCTCAGTGTAAAGGTTTTTTTGTCTAAAAGCTTCTGTGTAAAACGTCCTCTCTGTGTAAAAGTTTCTTTGCGTAAAGGATTCTGTATGTAAAAGCTTCTGTGGTAAAAGCTTCTCTGTGTAAAAGATTTCTCTGTGTCAAAGCCTCTCAGTGTACAAGCTTCTCTGTGCAAAAGTTCCTGTGTGTAAAAGCTCCTCTGTGAAAAAGCTGCTCTGTGTAAAAGGCTTCTCTGTGTAAAAGCCTCTGTGTGTGTGTACAGATTTCTCTGTGTAAAAGCTTCTGTGTGTAAAAGCTCCTCTGTATAAAGGCTTTTTTTGTGTACAAGCTTCTGTGTGTAAAAGCTCCTGCGTGTAAAAGTTTCTGTGTGTAAAAGCTTCTGTGTAGAAAAGCTCCCCTGTGTGTACAAGCTTCGCTGCGTAAAAGCTGCTCTGTGTACAAGTTCTGTGCGCCGTAAAGTTGTTTGTTTGTAAAACCTTCTGTGAGTGGGGGGGTATCAAGGCTACTGATTTGTGGTGCAGGATGGATGGCAGAAAAGAGTAGCATCCATGGGCGTCAAGGAAAAGCCTGGTTCCTTGACAAAAATCCCGGCTTGACAAAAAAACACTGGTGACTATGCTTGGTGTGTTTCAACGTTCACATCTCACTTGCTCTGTGATTCCATGGAAGATCTCCGGGCTGGTCCCCGCTGATGGGCGTTGATCCGCGCTGATCCGCGCTGACCCGTGCTGATCCGCGTTGATCCGCGCTGATCCGCGTTCACCCGTGGCGGCAAGAATTTCGCGTTTTCTCGCTTTCGATCAGCGCGGATCGGCGCGGATCAGTGCGGATCTCCCATTTTTTAGTTTGGGGGTGGTTTAAAAGAACTGAGGGGGAAGGATTGTATCACAAGAATCATGGAGATCTAAGGGTGGTATACTCACAACAACCACTAAGAAGGGCAAATCTTAAGCAGCTATCATTGGGGGTGCTGACTCTCCAGTTCTCAATGTTTTCATCGATTTTTCCATGGTTTTCATCGATTTCTCGATGGTTTTCATTGATTTCTAGGTTTTTACCAAGTTTTCCATGTATATGGTTTTATTGATTATTCGATGGTTCTTACTGTTTTTCTTTAAGCGCAGTCGATTTCCCATGATGGAGTTTCTTGATTTTCCGCTGTTTTTGTAGCCAAAATGGAGCAGCGCGGAGGTCCACTGTTTTTTTAAAAGTTGTTTGCCTGCATTTCTAGCGTTTCAGCCATATTGGCCCACCTTTTCGCAACTGCTTCCCACTGACGAAAAGCAATATCTAGAGTCCAAACATGTCCAAACTATTTCGCATGTCTGCGTTTCTCGAAATATGGTTTCGGCCTTGGCACGAATTACAAGAAGGGCTCAATGATGCCAAAAAACTTTCACCAGCAACAGGACGGACATGTTTGATTTGTTGCCAGCATTTTTGATTGCTTAATCAAAAATCCTCACTGTAAAATTGTTTTTTCGTCCAAGTTGGGACCATTAAGAATAATCAACGGCTCCTCCGGGACTAAAACATTTCCTGGACGCTCGGAATTTCTTGCTTCAAATCCATTTTGCAAATTTTGCACTTCTGAAGGAAAGTGCTCAAGACACACTGACGGGCGGACAAACCATGCGGAAGAAGAAACGAATCCATGAAAAACGTAAAAAAACATGTTGGTGTGGATGTCAAATATCAAAAAACTTAAAATATAGTTTGTGCGTACCCAACTTTGCACCAATAATTGGTGAACCCGACCACCCTCCCTGCCACCCTTCCAGGCCACCCTCCGAGCACCGCTTTTGGTAGAGGTGCTTAGCAGTCACTGGCCCTACCAATATATATATATATATATAAATATGTATATATAAATATATGTATATATATATATATACATATGTATATATATATATATATATATCAATATTTGTATATATATATATCAATATTTGTATATATATATATGTATATGTATATGTACATGTACATGTATATGTATATGTATATGTATATGTGTATGTGTATATGTATATTATATGTATATATGTATATATGTATATATGTATATATGTATATGTATATATATATATATGTATGTGTATTTATATGTATATATATTATATGTGTATGTGTGTATATATATATATGTATATATGTATTTATGTATCATGTATACAACGTATACTACCCAGCTGAAACATGTTGTCCACGAAGGGTACATGCTATTAATCTCACTGAGTTGTCCATGTCAGGATGTTCTGCTGGCCAAATCAACACAAACGATGCGGCCTCCTCTGAAGGCCCCCATGAGCTGGCCCTTGGAAGGGATTCGCAGTGTTGCGCTGTTCAAGTGCGATGGGAGCATGGTCTAGGAAAGAAATTCAGTATGTTTCAGTATCTAAGATTAGCCATGGAAAATAGCACATTGATTTTTTCGCATTGTCAGGGCGCAACCAGTTCTTCATTGTTGATTCAATTGCGGCCGACGTTACCTCACCCACTGGGCCAGGCGTTTGTGTGGAGCATGGCGCATCCAGCATGCTGATGGTCAACGGTGCGATAGATTTGTCGTGCAAGAGAATGGGCAATGTGGAGACTGGAACATTTGTGTGTTTGGTAAAATCTCTAATTCCAAGGATCCATTTTTAGGTGTACCGAATCTTGTAAGGAACTAATCCCCTGACCACATTCAATAATCGGTGATGTCAGTTTGAAAGATCCGGGTGACAAGCATCAATCCAACAGGTTGCACCCTTGGTCTGCTGATGCGATGGCTTCTGGCAAACGCCCTGAAACTTGGCAGATTTCAGCAACACATCATGTTTTTTTTCGACCTTTGTGTCATCAATCGGTTTTTTTCAAAGGATATGGTGCCCCAATAAGATCCAATAGTGTTTTCAATCAGATCATGGTTCATCATTTTTTGTGAAGGAATGTGATACCCCCAGTAGGACTTAAGAAAACATGGGGCATCAACTGGAGTTTATGAGGGAAAATGCTATTAGGCTAAGGGGCTTACCGGGCCCAGGCCTTCCTTAGAAGGATGATCCAGTCCCTGGCAGAGATGGGGGAACAACCTTGATGGGGTGGAAGGTTGAGGCCTCATACTACCATTAAAAACATATTCCATATGAGCAGTTTCAGAAAAAAAACATTTGGTTGATGTGGGCTGCACTAGCCCTAAAAAAGTATGGAGGATTATCATATATTGTATCTGGGAATCCCAAACACCAACCACTGGTTTTAGATTTTCCCAACAGGTTTTAAGTTCGCTGAAAAACATGCGGTGAATGGCTGATGCTCTTGGTCACCTTCTGAACGTAGACGTTGCATCACTACGAGACTCAGAACGTGCGTTGTTTGTCAATGGAAAGTGCATCCTTGGGCGTTACTCAAAAATCATCACAAAAACCATTTCTTTCTCAAAGGTGGAAAAATCTGGAACCAAACATCTTTCTCAAAAATCACGAATTTTCAGCACGCATCAACGAGTATCGTTTGTGCATTCACCCCGTATTTTTGGCCGGTGAGCCAAATCATGGGTTCCCCAGCATTTTATTGGGTTGGAATTTCCTATGGACCCACTGAGGATTTTTTCCGGATGTTCCAACGCCATTCTTCAGGGTTGTTTTCAAGCTATTGTAGGTAAATGATAGCAACTTTTTGTGGGGAAATTGGTAATTTGATGGATGTTGGGGGAGCAACCTTGTTTTTGAGAGGGTTTTGAGTTGTGAGATCTTCCCAAGTATGGTATTGCAAGAACCGACCTATCGCCACATCAGCTTGGGATGTAAGGTAAGCCGTGAGGCAGATGTACAAATGTCCCCGCAGAAGTTTTTGTCAGCGGGGTCACAGATGGGATTGCAGTGAAATCACATGATCATTACTCGCCTTGGATTTCTTGAAGCTTCAGTTATCATAACTACTGACGTCTGAAATTCAAGGCAATCAGTGACTTGCAACAGAATCAGATGAGTTCCTTTCTGTATCCAAGAGAATCTGATAACATCTCAGAACTTTCGCTGCAAGTCTCGGGGTCGCACTGCAAAGTTGGTTAGTGGCCCATTTTTTTTTACAAACGAGAGCTGGAAACGAGCTCCGGTCAGTTGCTGTTGGGAGCTTCTCATGTCTGCCTGAAATCATAGAACAACACCTGAAAACATGAGGGTTTCCATAAATGGGGTACCCTCAATGGATTATTTAGAATGGAAAATACCAATCTAAAATGGATGACTTGGGGGTACCCCAATTTCAGGAATCCTCCATATCTCATGAAACCATATGAAACCATGATATTTATCATAATCCATGAATTGGGAATCCACTTCGCCAGCGCGTCTTGGTCTTGGGGCACAAGGTCCCAGGGCGGGTTTCCGGGCTCCGTGAGAAATCTTTCCGCACAGGAAGGGCCCCAGCGATAGGTAAGTTGGTTGAAACAACTCGGCTAAGGGTTTAAGGATTGGATTTATGAATATTTATGATATTTATGGCGAATATGACCATTAAGATTGCTAGGCTATAATACGTATAGTTACATGATGTCACTTGGGATTATAAATAGTAATTGGTGGGCCATGGTGGGCCCTTCTGGCTTCGAAGATTCTCCACGACTGTTTGCTGGGTATGTTTGGCTCAAAGGGACCTTCAGGGGTCCTGTGATCTACCAAGGTGCGACCGCAAGAGAGATTTCACCAGCGATGGGGAGATTTGTGCATCAAAAGCCCAAAACAAGCGTTGCTGGTTCCCGCTCGTAAAATTTAAGGATAAACCGCAGAATGGGAAAGATTCCCCCCGGTGACAAGCATATCTTTGGGATGGGTGAAGCAGCATCAGCTAACTTAGCTTATCTGGGCATGGCTCAGATTTCTGTGCACCCTGCAATGCTGCCTCAAACCTACTTGGGCCGAGACCACAAGACCTCTTTAATATGCTGCCAATATGCTACCTTTTTAAGCGCCCCAAGCCACTGCACGGGTTGTTCAACATTGTGTTGCAAAGAAATCGCCTTCAACACTACGACATAGAATGACACCCCAAAGGAAAGCCTATACAGCATGAAACAGGATGCAAACCACACTTCTAACAAACTGGTGCCAGTTCATTGCTATACTTTCAGCTTTATGATGGAGATATCATCATCATTCATGATCATTCATGATCTCTACAGTTTCAGTGGGTTGATAAAAATCAAGAACTCACATCACCCCAGCCGCCTCGGCCCATGAGCGCCGCGGACCCCGCGGACCCCGTGGCGCCCAAGGCCGCCGAGGCCGCCGGAGCCGCCGAGGCCTCGAATGGCGCCGACGGTGCGCCGGAGCCGTGCGCTCCAGCGGCTGCGGCGACTGAGGGAACGACGACAGCAACGGCCCAGGTGTGCGACCCGACTGACTTTGGACAGCTCAAGTCACTGGGTACCCCAAGAATTGGAGGGTTTAATACACCCTATATATATAGTGGTTAGTGGTTTGGAACATTTTTTATTTTCCCCAACCAGATTGGGGATGATAATCCAATCTGACTTTCATATTTTTCAGAGTGGTTGAAACCACCAACCAGTATAGAATTTATATAATAATAGTAGTAAAAATAGACTTAAGTCTGTGGCCCTCAAATTTTGAGCGATACCCAAGTGATCTTACTCAGCCAGTGACTGGGTAAACTTTGTTTTGGAAGGACAGTCACTGAATAAGTGATGGGTAGGATTCCAGTCACTACGAAAAAAGGTAGATAATGGTAGAAATGACTATACTTTAAGGGAATCATCCCTCAAAATCAGCAATGATGTCCGAGCTGGTTGGATCGACGTTCCCCTCTCGCCCCCCAAAACTTGGGGGTAGGATTTCTGATCGGCTGCCGATTGGCAAACTCGTTTGCTCCTTCTGACATCTTATGACATCTGATTAGATTTTGAAAAGAACTGCACAACTCCAGATGTCAAAGATGATCCTGAACGTTTTGCAAAAACTCTTATTTGATTGCTAAACATGCTCATTAGTTTTTTTTTTTAATGAATGCAAAATTCCACCTATCGCAGGTGATCCCTAATATTCTTCCGACATCTAGACGCAAAAGAACCGGAAAAAAATGTTTTCTTTTGAATAGAGAGTGGAAGTGGCCTTTCCAAGATGTGCTTTTTGATTCATTTTTCAAAGAGCTGCGATTCAGAAACAAATCATTGAAAGAAACAGCAGAAACAGCAAACTGGCAGCCCCTGGTACGGTTTGCCACGGGACAGTTCGGAGGCCACGGATGCTTCTAGGGCTGCTGCAGAAATGCCAGTGACACAAGCTGCAGCAGAAGCGAACGGTGCTGCGCCCACAAACTCGGAGTCGGATTCGCCATCGCGCCAGAAGGCCGGATGGTTCGGGAGGAATCTGATAAAATCAGCCGTAAATGAGTGTTGTTACCCATAGGATCCATGTATGCTATATATATGGTAACATTTACCATTAATATACCCCCAATGTTAGCATATATACCATACATGGATCCTATGGGTTATACGCTTACACAACTATTCACAACCATTTTGTGATTGCCAGAAACAAAAAGTTGGGCCACAGCATGTTGGGCACCAGGAATGTTCAGGCATTGCTTGCAGGTTGACATCGCTTCTGGTGACGCTCCAGAAAAGACAGTGACGTCAAGTGCAGCAGAAGGGAACGATGCTGCGCCGACGAACTCAGAGGTATCCGATGTGTCATCCAAACGCCAAAAGGCTGGGGATATTTGGAGCATGGCGGGTCTTCCGTTTGATTTCTGTCCTTCCTCTATGGTCGCAGTTTCTCGGGTCTGGTTTCCCATGTGTTTTCACCTGCCAATTCCCTCTACAAAGTCAAGGTAACCCAAGTGTGCACTATGAAAACACGGGTGTTTACCATATTTTGTACCCTATGCGGCAAGCAGTTCCAAGTCGTTGCCTTCTTACTTCAATCCTAGGATCTGATCAATGAATAGCACCCCTCGCCTTCGCAATACCGCACCGGAAAAATACAATCGCGTTTCAAGCTTCAGTTTCAGATGTCGCCTCCCATTTTCCTTTTTTTCTTTTTGTATCCTTTCAATCCCATGACGGATCCATGGTGCTGGTATATATACTAACATTGGGGGTATATTGATGGTAAATGTTACCATATATAGCATACATGGATCCTATGGGAATAGTATCTTAATTAGTATCTTCCTCTTCCTTTTCCCTTTCTACGTTTCCTTCGGACGCGCTGGTAGGCCGATGATCCCCCCACAGAGCCGGCCCAGTTTGCTGGGCCGAAGAGATTGAAGGCCCTTTTTTGACGACTCGGGAGATTTGGCCGCGGGCAGGTAGGTTTGGAACAATGGGGGTATACCTGGCCCCCCAACATAGCATTTTTTACGCGGTTTTCAGGGGGAAGGTGATTTTCCCACAGCTGAAAAACATTGCAGTAGGGTCATCCTACTTTAAGACAAACTGTAGGTTGGATGCGAAAAAAACATGCTACTGGGCTGGGGGTTGAAAGGGATCTGCAGTTGGATGGGTGAACGCAAACAACTTAGAACTGGGTCATCCATTCCTTGAAATGGACATGGAATTCCTTCTCGAACGGGATAAGTTGAAATCTCCAAGCGGCACCAAGAAATCAGTTGGTAGTTTGACGATTTCTCACCTTTGATGTGATATACTGACAGTACATTTGGATTTCATGCCAGTATGCTCCGTGTATGGAATATTTAGCAAGTCTCAAAATCTCGAAATCCGCTCCATCCATATGCTGGCTAAGAAGTCGCAACCAGAACATGTCTGGTTTACTGCTTGTAGCCCTTATAAAATGTCTTTTTTTTGGTGTGTCTGAAAATGGAAAAAATCGTCATTTTGTTGCCCGCAATGTATCGCAATGATGAGGAAGTCTGCAGGAAATATGATGATGATCCAGTTGATTTGGGGACTCAAAACCAGAAATCTGCTGGGATTTTTGGTGTTCATCCTGAGACCCGGCTCCAGAACGACCTGAGTATTATGCGTCAAAGCCCTGGTAGCTTTGTGAACGTGCTAAGAATTTGAAGAAAATCGTCTGGACCTGTAAATGACAACTATATATACAACGGAAAAGGCACATGAGATTACTGAAAGATCTGGTTAAATTACCATTCAATATTATCATTAAATTTACATTCAAATCATCCTATACACTTCTAGAACTACACTTCAATTCCCAGCAAATTCTCATGACATCATCATTTTTCCATATTTTTCCCCACGCAAACCCCCTTGGGTTCTGGCCGTCGTGAGGTCAGCGATCTCCTCGGCAGCTTCGAGCGCACCCTGAAAGAGACCGCGCCACCCCCGCCGCAGGCGTCGCTCCTCTCGACGCTGCTGGCGCTGCCGTCGCTGGGCGCGGAGACGGCGACGGCGATGTCGGCGCCGCTCGCGGAGGAGAAACCACGAGAGGCGAGGGCAGATGGGGTTGAAAAAAAACAAAAAAAGACTGGGAATGGTGATGGTGGTTAATGTATATTAATCATGGTTAATTAATAGTAATACGTATATTAATGGTGGTTAATGGCTAGTTAATGGTTATTACTTATTACTATTACAATAATGAGTAATGTGGGCAAAACAATGTCATAAACCACCCGTGACTGGGAATGGTTTACCACCTATAAAAATAGTGGCTGGGGGATGGTATTGGAGTTGAGTTGACCAACCGTCGTGTTTTTTTTTGAACGTTGGCTCCTGATTTGCCGGTATGTTACCTTTCCCCTAAACAAATACTATCCTCTCTATAAAGTTGTTCCTTCAAAAAGACGTCTCCAGACAAGATACAATCATGGGTCTAAGCAAGGATTTTAATTGATGACAATTTAAAACGACTTCAGCCGAAACATTTTGACTGATGAACTTGTCGTATTTGTAGTACTTCTAGTACTAGTACTTGTCGTTCTTGTAGTGACTGGATTCAGGGTTCAGCATGTTGATTGCTTCAGCTTCTGCACCTCAAGTTTTCCCTCGTCCTTCCTGATGGACCCAGACATCATATTGCTTCGTTGTCTGAAACAATAGGACCCCGTTGACGAGCCCATCGTATGGTTTCAAACCTCATTTTCCATGTTCAAATGGTCATACATTGGCATCCAGCATTTTTGGACACCCCCCATGTTGTTGGATAGATCCATCCAACTTATATCCACTAGATATTTCCCGGCCGGACTGTCCCCCATGAAATCATCGGCTCTTTTTTTTTCATACAACTTATTTCCACCCATATCAATCATGTACAGCTGAAGTCCCTATTTCAGGACTTAAATGGTGCCCCACTCTGTTAGTTGATTTTTTTCGCTGGTTAAATCACCACGTTTTCAACTGCACCACCTGTCAGTTTGATGGCAAACGCGTCCTGGTGGTGCGGCACGGAGAGGTGCCGCCATTGGAAACATGGGACTCTAAGTCTACGTCGATGTCCCAAAGATGTCCAAACTTTGGATGGTCATCCTGGAAAATTTTGAATTTGACATCTCAGATGTTCTTTGGATTTTTGTTGACTCAGGATTTTTTCCATCAGAAGTCTGAATTTCTGAGAGTTCAAAAAAATTGCCCAGCGATTCAGGGCTTCCATCAGCTCAAGGGCTACGCTCCAAAGGAGGGCGACTTGGATGCCTTGGCGCTTTCGGATGAGGATTTTAGCATCCAAAAAATATGCCAAAGTCAGCGCACTATTTGGGACAGCGGGATTTTTCAGATGTTTTGATCATAAAACATAGGGAATCTATACCCATAGAATCCATGTATGGTATGCTAACATTTGGGGTATATTGATGGTAAATGTTACCATATGTAGCATACATGGATCCTATGGGATATAATACATACTAGAACTACATGGATTTAATCATGGAAAATGAGGATTTCACCATGAAAAATAAGGGGATTTGACCAGGTCGCACATCAATTGATTTCACCATCAAAAATGACGATTTGATTGCAAACATGGGGGTTCAATGAACCATCAACAAAAAAACAAAGTGATGGGGGTATTGAAAAACAACCATTGGATAGACGTATTTCCTTGATTTTCATGAGATATGATCATGGAATAGGCAAACAAATTGGGGCTTTGTCCAACCCCCCAGGGGGGCAATAAATTCCCATGATAAAAATTCCATTAGGGGGGATTTGTTTTGGGAATGATTCTATAAAAATTGTAAAAATACCCATAAATTCCTATGATTCTATATGGATTCCTAGCTGGTTGATGGTTTCAAACATTTTTTATCTTCCATTTTATATATGGGATAATCCTTCCCATTGACGAACTCCATCATTTTTCAAGATGGTTAGTCAACCACCAACCAGCCCATATTAGGGGGGATAACCATCCATGAACCGTATTGGTCATCTAACATGGGGATGGGTCCATGGGTCCAAACCTACTATTGCCAGGAGAAAATAAAGTATATGATTCCTAGTCATATCCCATAAATTCCCATTTTATCTGATTGGATCTGGGGCTTTGCACAAAATCCCCCGAGGTGATCTATTAGGACCCGAGCTGACCAACAAAGGCAGGGCAACCGGAACGCGGGTCCTGGGTCCGAAGCAAAAAGGATTCCTAAACTTGACAGTTTCTAGTGGAGGGGAGGAATCTGAAGTTTGTTGGATGATTTATGGGAAGAGTCATGGATCATCCATTATAATCTCCTATTTTTAGGTATTTCTTTGAATGATTTTCCAGGAGACTTACCTCGCAAGGACCGCGAATTTGCCAGGGGATCATCCAGAAAATAGCCATGAAGAACTCTCAAGCGGATACTGATTTTTCCTAAACGTGTGTGTATATGTGTATATGTATAATGTGTATATGTAAAATATGTATATGTATAATATGATATAATATGTACACGTATGTACATATGTACATTATATATATATATATATGCATAGGGACCTATGTCCTATATAAATATCCACTTATTACCAGGGAACTTTCAAGATTTCAATACCAAGGTTCCTGCGCGGAAATTTGATGACCCGGAAATGTCAGGGACACAGATGGGTGGACCTGTGAGAACCTCAAGGTGTCAAATTGATATGGGCATGCCCGAAACTTTTGAGACGCCCTGGGAAATGACAACGTTCATACCCAAATAAGATCAAGTTTCATCTACTTGCCCCCCATCCGCAGGAAAGGAACAGGCAGACGCTGCCCAGAAGATGATTGTGTGGTGCCCAGCAGATGATTTCTTGGGAAACAGGCATCAACATGTTCGAGTACATTTCGAGTGTATAGATTTAGATGTTTTTCTAAGGTGCACCTCTCAATGAAACTGGTTATAGGTGTTATAGGTGTTTTTTTTTAATGAATCCTGTTAAATAAAACATGTATTTACTGTAAGTTGAGTCGTAAGCATTTCAATGCAATGTGGTGAGTAACCTGAGAAATGTGGTGACCCCAACAATAAACCTCCCAATGGGGATGAGTTTACACAACCTTTGAATGGATACGAATGGTATTTTTTTTTGAAAATCACCATATGTCTAAAAGGTATATAAGTAGAGGTAAATCATCTATAACTAGGCAATTTCCCTTGCAAACTATTGAATAAGCGGAGGGCACCCCCAAAAATGGGCGGATCCCTCTGTGGCGTTTCTGTGTTTCCTGGGTCGGCGAATGAGGCGTCGGAGCTGCAAAGGCTCGGTTTTCAGGCGCCCTGGGAGGTTTCCATCAGCCGAAGAGCCGGTTTGAGTGTGCCAATCCAATGATAGTTACAATGTTAATCAATGTTATATGGTGAACAATATATCTTATTTGTAATATAATGTTACAATCATAACAATTGTTATAACAAACTATCATGTTATATAACAATGTTACAATGTTATAACAAATTATGGGTGTGTCTGAAATTGGGTTATATACAACCAATTCAATGATTGGTGTTATTCACAATGATCATTATATGGGTTATATAATTGGTGTTATATGGTGAAAAATATATATTTTTTCATGATATTTGAAGTGTGCAAACAATGATCATCTTGCACATGAGGGTTTGTCGGTTATATAGTGAAGAATAATTTTTCATGATATGCAATCTACATACCATTGTTCCTCTTGAATGGCTATTGAAAATGGGTATATCGTATATATCCCATTTTCAGACACACCAATATTTTCTATGGATCAAAAGCTATTTAAATACCATTGGGATCGGGGGATGAACATCCATTTAACCCAGGATCAATGTTCTGAGTTGCGGTCAGTGTGTGGAACTGCGATATATATATATATATATATATGTATGATATGCCATAGGGGGTCCCAGATGACATTGGATTTGTCACTCTTTGTTTGGAGGCATCCGCTAGTTTCATCGCTCACTGACGACACCAATCAACATAGATATTGAAACTTTCACCCAGAAATCTGCGGTTTAGCTGCCAGGGAAATGGTCAAGCAACTGACCATAACATGTGGGCCTGGTGTTCCAAGTTGAACCAATTGATTTATGATGTTGAAACTGACCAAAAGGTGGATTCACCAATAAACCACCAATAAACACAAGGGATCACAAGGGGATATTCGGGATATTGATGTGCGATTCATTGGTGATTGGGGACTCAGCAAGATCCTCTTCCTTTTCTGTGGCTTTTAGTTCCACAAGTCTAAGGACCGTTCTTCTTCGAGGAATAGCGCCTACCCTCTGGTAAACTAAGATAACTATTGAACATCGCCCCTTTAAAAAGGTAAATCAACTATAAATGGGCCATTTTCCATAGCAAACTGTTAAATTACCAGGCCGGGTACTGCCCCTTTGCAGCTTTTCTATAAATTCAGTGCCATTCTCGGTCCTTTCTGCTCCAATATCCATGAATATCCATCATAAAGACATCCACAGCCATATGCTTTTCCACTTTCAGGTTAGATAAAAATTACCATCCGGAAATCACATCTGGCAAAAGGAAATCCACTATCAATGGAAGTTGTACTGCGTTTTAATGGGAACATGATCTATCATTAATGGTGGATATGGTGGAGTTTCCACTGCTACGTTTGATGTCCTTTCAAGCATTTTCCATTGCATTCTCAGCTTCGTTGAAATCATATTCTTTCCATGTTTTCTCCCTTTGTGAGTATGAGATGTTCGAAACACATCTTTAAACACAATTCCCATTAAAATGCAGCAAGGCATCAAACATATATATATATATATTTGAAATCCCCACTGAACAGCAACAAATCATCATTTCCCATTGACTTTCCATAAGTCAGGAATTGCACTCAACATCTAAGGCCCATTTCTACAGGATCCCCACGGGATCCCCATGGTGGCCCGGCCAGGAGGCATCGCTCGATATGCTGGTGGTGAGCTCTAATCTGCTACGTGCCGTGCATACCGCGCTGCTGCTGAAGGAGGGCAAGTCCAAGGTGCCGAGGGTGTCGAGGGCTAAGAAGACTTTCTTCTTGGCGAATGGTTATGATTTTTATTGACACCTATACCCTATGAATCCAAGTACCTTCTTAGGAAGTGTTTGGGGTATAATTTACAATAAATTGGAGGCTTAAGTACCTTCTCAGACAGTGTTTGGATCCATAGGGTGCTAATGGGAGGGCTATTTATTGGTACCAGGAAAGAAAGCAAAAAAAACACCAAAAACCTGAGGCAAAAAAAAAACAAAACTATTCGACACCTATAGTAATGTGATGTAATGTGGTAAACCCAATCATAAACGATTCCGAATATCAGAAATGGGCGGTACAACCCTCCAAAAATGGTAGGTTTATTGGGTTTACCACATTAAATCTGGTTTATAGACCACGCGTTAGATTAATTGATCCATTTATAGATCGGATAACCCACGAATCGGGGACGTTCTAATCAGCTTATTAACCACTTACGATCTGTGGGATGATTCTCCAAGTGATTTTTCCCCACCTGCCAGGTGAGGGTTGCTAGATTTTAACAGAGCTCTTCTCCTCCTCCTCCTCTGCCTCCTCAGCCTCCTCACCCGCCGCCTCCTCCTCGCAGTCCAGATCCCAGTGGGCAAAGCCGGACCTCCACCGCGAGCTCCAGATCCCGGTGGGCACTGCCGGACCTCAACCGCGAGTTGCAGATCGCAGTGGGCACTGCCGGACCTCAACCGCGAGTTGCAGATCGCAGTGGGCACTGCCGGACCTCAACCGCGAGTTGCAGATCGCAGTGGGCACTGCCGGACCTCAACTGCGACTTCCAGGTCGCAGTGGGCACTGCCGGACCTCAACCGCGAGCTCCAGATCCCAGTGGGCACTGCCGGACCTCAACCGCGAGCTCCAGATCCCAGTGGGCACTGCCGGACCTCAACGGCCAGATAGAATGCCAGAAGATATGCCAGATGGAATGTCAGATAGAATGCCAGAAGATATGTCAGATAGAATGCCAGAAGATATGCCAGATAGAATGCCGGAAGATATGTCAGATAGAATGCCAGAAGATATGCCAGAAGATATACCAGAACATATGCCAGAAGATATGCCAGATAGAATGCCAGATAGAATGCCAGAAGATTTGCCAGTAAGAAAATGTATAAATGTCATGGTGGGGATCACACGAAGTAAAGTATTTTTTTTAATGACCTCACTGGGGCGTCACTTGAATGATGGCCGCAAGTTTCAGCTATCTCAGCTATGGCAATCACAAAAACACCATGCTAGCAACCAACCATTTAAAATCATGGCCCAGCTACAGGGATACACCAGGGATACACGCAATAATCAACCAAACTCTTAAACGGGGGGGATTTGTATTTTGGAGCTTTCCGACCAACATATACTGGGTGTAGGGTCACCAAGCAGATGGATCTGTTGGGTTCTTGGTGTTTTGATGGAATCTGCCCTCTTTTAGTGGTGCGCTTCTGAATGGGGCACCCGAAATCACAGCGGAGATGCTCCCTCTCCGTTTCACTCCGACCAGCAGACCATGGAGGGGTTTCTGGCCAATAAAAATGGCTGGTTTTGGTGCACCCAAGGCGTTTCCACCTGCTGGCCATTAGGTAATATTAGGTACATCTAATCCAGCACATAATATGACACACACACACATATATATATATTTATAGTTACACACATAAAAAAAAACACATATATACATAATTATACATACGTGTATGTGTGTATACATATATAGTAATCTTATAGATAGATAGATAGATAGATATATATATATATATACATACACCATATCCTTTCATTTATCCCCCATTTGTAGCCCCTCGTTGCCATGGCAGCCAGGTGCTGGTCCATCCCGCCTTGAGGGAAAGGATCTTGGACTCCCGCGATGAGCCCAGCGAGTGGCTGGGCGTTGCCAGGGGAAAGCCCGGAAAAGGGAGGATGGAACAGGAAGACCTAAGTTGATTGGGGGATTTGAGTGCTGTTTTTTGTTTTTTTCTTTTGGGTTCACTTATGTTCATACTTTTTCTTTTCAAGGATCATTTTAATTAATCAAATCACTATAACTATGGAAAAACCACTATAAATCACTATATTTTAATGGATTCAATCCACAAACATAGGGATTTGACACGGCGACCAAAATGTGTCGGTGATGCCCCAGTTGGGGCCATTGGAAATGGCCAAATCAAGAAGTTTACCCTCTGGTAAACATAGAAAAAACTATTGAAAATGGTGATTTATAGTGGATTTTCCCAAGATTTTCCATAGTTCTGTTAGTTTACCAGAGGGTACCTGCCAGTAAATTGGGGCAGCCATAAGCTGGTTTACCTCACGATAGTGGATGGAACCCAGAAAGCACTGACACTGAGTGATTCAGAGCTCACAAAATAGTGGATGGCCAAGAGCGAAGACCCTGAAGGTTTATGACTTGGGGGATCTCAAACAAATTCATCCAAGCTCAATCGACCTTGCATTCGCAGGAACTCTTGTTGACCTCATAATTTTGTCGAGCCTTCACATCGATCAATGTGGGTTTGTCTCAACATTAAGGCCCCCAATTGATTCATGGGGAACATCATGCAATATCAATCATTTTGAGTAGCCGATTTTTGCACAAACCCAAGGTAGGCATGGGTAATGTTCCATGGGCTGATGAAAACCGAAGGGCGACCCCATTGAACAACCATTTTTGCTAAGATCATGACAAACAATAAATTCCCAAGCGGCCCCTTAAAATCCCCTTCCGTATGTTTCCCAAAGTGGGACATCAAGGTGAAAATGATGTTTCTGGAAGTCTCTGAACTCTAACTGGATATCTTCTCCATCACCAGACTTGATGGCCAAGGCTGAACCATCTTCGAGAGTGGCTCATGGATCGCGAATACGATGAGCGGGTCGCTGGGATGTGGTTCCACCTGGTTCCGCCTTTCGGGACGGGTGAACAGATTTGAAGCGCGGGGAGCAATGTTCTTTTACCCTCTGGTAATTTAACATAGCTATTGAAAATGGCTATTTATAGTTGATTTACCTATTAAACATGGTGATTTTCCATTGTTATGTTAGTTTACCAGAGGGTATTGTTCGTAGAAGTACACCTAGTTTTTTGGTTGGGTTTCACTACATTCACTTCAATTCACCCTATTTTTAGGGGGGTTTCACGAAAAATACCACTGTGGTTTCTGGGGAGATGTTTCTCCAAAAAGGGGGTTGCTGAGCCAATGCTCCAGCCACCGACGTTGGCAGGTGGATCTGGGTCTCTACGAACAGGCTCTGATTGAAGCTGCCGGGCTTCGAACTCCAGATTTCTTGGGTACTTTTGGGGTAGAAGACCAGAATCTAGATGGGTTTACCATGGTTAACCCATATAAGTCACTCTTGATACCTATACAGAACTTATGGAACATGCAAGACCTTCAATCATTTTTGGAGGGTTTACAGGTAGCCTCAAGGAGTTCAGGAGTGGCAAAGTTGCCAGCAATCCTTTTTTGGGTCATTTGTAGCACAGCACTCGATGTTGGAGTGTTCTTTATTTGGTTTGTCTCAAAGTGTCAATGGGAGATCTCCAGGATCCTAAAATGGAGGTTCTGTACCATATAAGGCCATATTTTGGGGGGATATTCCCTTACATAGGCCTAAAAAATAGGCCAAAAATATATGGTACTCGTACCTCCGTCCTCAATCGGATCCTGAAGATCTCCCATTGAAAGTGCGGGATGGGCCCCCAAAATTTGGGCTTCACCCGGTGGAAAGACTTGGATTCACCACCAGCCACGCCACGAAACCAAGAAATATGGTCCCATCTCCGTGAGAGTCCTGAAAATGCTGGTGAAATCAGTGAAATCCCACGAAATGTCCATCGAAATTCATCCTTCACCACGCCAAACTATGGGGCATTCGACATGGTGTCTGATAATGGTCACGCCAACGATGTCATTTTTCGGTGGGATTCCCATTGGTGAAATCCCACCGGTTGTGATTGCTGGTCAAATCTGATATTCATACAAAGTGGGGCCCCCTAGATAGCTAGGTTGGTTTATAACTCCAATAACTATGGTTTATGGTACTTATAACTATAGTTACTGGGGCTTATAAACCAACTTATAACTAGGGGGCCCCACATTGTACATTCATTGCTGGTGAATTTCCATATTGCAATGCATCATTCAGGTATGAATTGGGGAGCTTTCTCCATCCCAGTCCCAATCCGATTCCCTCTTTATCCCCAATGATTGCTGGCTAAATCCCATAGATTCACTGGTTGGTGGTTTGGAACATTTTTTATTTTTCCGTATACAGTATTGGGAATTTCATTATCCCAACTGTTTGGTGGTTTGGAACATTTTTTATTTTTCCATATACAGTATTGGGAATTTCATCATCCCAACTGACGAACTCATATTTTTCAGAGGGGTAGGTATACCACCAGCCACAGATTCATCAATATCCATTTGGAGCTTTCGGAAGTCATGGGGGGGTACCCCCAAAAATCCTCCATCCAGCTGAGGTACCCCCATTGATGGAACCCCCTATGTCTATTCCCATTACTGGGTACTAAATCCATCTAAATCCGTAAATGTCATAAATGCCCACAGGATGGTGCTCCCCAGTTATAAGTTGGTTTATCGCCCCATATATATATATATTATATATATATATGTATCATACACTATTGTTATTATAGTTATAAGTTATAAGTCAACTTAGCTAACTATGGGGCCCCATCCTGCATTGATTGTCGCTTAAATCCCATAGATTCCCATTGCTTGGCGATGTATCACTATGTTTTGTGGAAAACTATCATCTACTAATCGCCATTAATAGGGCTTATTAACCACATTATCAACAATTATTAACCATCATTAGTCCAATATAGAATCTATGAGATTAACCATTATTATAAACATTATTAACCACTATTAATCGCCTATTAATCACTAAGGCTGGTTCAAAGGCAACTGACTTTGCCTCGATGGAACTTCATGAGATCTACCTTCGCAGGTTCACGGTCTGGGCGACCAGGTTTTTTTGTTGGGCCATGATGGCTGCTTGACGTAGAGAAACGTGGATATGTTTCTATATATATATATATACATACATATTATACATATATACACAGTGTATATATATATTATATCATACATATACATACATATACACGTACATGTATACATGAGTACATACATATATGATCATATATGTATATATATATACATACATATACACGTACATGTATACATGAGTACATACATATATGATCATATATGTATATATATATACATATAATCTATTCCTGAAATGGACACATTCATTTGGACTCGGCTTGGACCCCAAGATACTACATATACTCCTTAGTAAGGGATGAGTTCCTCATGCCGCCTTCTTGAAACATCTAAGAACTTTATGTATCGTGTATATGATAGTATGTGTATACCGTATACCGTAGACCCTCCAAAGTATCTAGGAAAATGGTGCAGTGTTTTTTTGGGGGTCTGGACACGTTGAGGGTCTAAGTAGTCAGCAAGCATGTCCATGTCCGACCTTCACCGCGAGCCCTGAGCCTGGTGTGCTGCGCTGCGGGGCGCCAGATTTCATTCACATGCCGACATGAACAAAAGATACTTCTTGATTGGTGAATTTGTTGGGGATTGTACTACCTGGTTTGTTGGGACTATTACAGCCCAAATTGCTCAAGAAGTTTAAGAAGAGATGACAGGAAAAAAGTCAGCTCCAGAAGCCGCATGATGTTGCGCCCTCTACAATTTCGCAGCACATTTGACAAGGCATTGAAATCCAAAAGGCATGAGAATCTTATCACAATGAACTTTCAAGGGATGGGTGCGCGTGCCATGTCATGCACACTTTTCAGTCTTCTGCCTGTACCTTGGCTAACTTGGGACTTCAAAATAGTTGGTGACCCTTCAAAACGGGATCTTTAGCCGGAGATAAAGAAGGAGGAACATCATCCAGCAACTACAGGTTCAGCAGAATCAAGACTATTGTTCAGCCATTTCATATGTTTATATGTTTAACTTTGTTTAATCGCTGTAATATTCAAGAACCAGGGAGAACTCATGACAATTTAATGTGATTTTCCAGCAAAGATGGGTCTTTTTTAAAGCCATCTGAGCAACCAAATGTGGCTCTGTGAGGCAGCATTGGTAGTGAGCGATCGAAGGATCATCCTGCAAACCTCCGACCTTAACAGCCATCAAATATGGTTGAACATATATAGCAGACCCCCATTATAACTTACCCTAATGGACCCCCATTATATAGCAGAACCCCAGTTCATGTTGGTTTATCCGTTTATATGTTGAGTTCACTACCTATGACATATAAGTTACGGTCAAAATGGTTGAAGACCACTCTAGTATTGCAGAAGCACTTTTGTCAGAGATGCGCACGAAACACTGGAAAGCGAATGTCCCTCCCCCAAAAAGCGATAACCGATAATAGCAACTACTGAGATGCAAAGGATTTTGACGGGAGCTCATATCGACTAGGCTATTACAGCCCCATTAGGCTATATATATGTGTATAACCTCAACACTTCCATTAGGTAAAACAACATCAGCCATGTATAGCCTAGCTGCATGAACAACAACCGAAGGATTAAGGTTCGTTTCATAAACCATCATTGGATTAAGATCGGATTACGATTTCTACATTAAGATTGGTTCAAACGAATCTATTTACAAACCTTGGTTTTCTATTAGTATTTTACCATTTGTTTGTAAACCAAGGCATCCGTATCGCAGAACAACTTCGCCGTCTTCCAACCGAGCGAAGGCGCCCTTTTGTGCGGTGAAGCCTGGATGGTTTATAGTGGAAACTCCTATTAAAAAATGGATGACTTGGGAGTACACCCATTTAGGAAACCTCCATAAAACAATACATACTGTGATATTTAACCAAGAATGGGATATAATAGGATGTAATCCTTTATGTATATATGTATATAGACACATCCCGAATCAATGGATTTATCTAAGGAATATGATGGGAATAATTGGATATAGAATATACTGGGATATAATGGGATATATATATATATAATGCCAAAATGAAGCAGGGTTGTTCCAACATTTTATTGGTGAATTATGGATTTTTTTGGGGTGAATTGGTTATTTATCTCTTTATTGTCACAGCAGTTCCCCCAAACGTATCTGGGCGTTGGGAGCAACCCTGGTAAGTTTAAGGTGTAGGTACTATGTGATAGACATGCCATAAACAATCCCAAGAACCAACCATGGACGGCGGTCAGAATGAACATCATCCATCATCATCCCAGTTTTAGGGGTATACATATAACTTGGCAACAACGTTTGTAAGAGGCCGTGTCGGTGATGAAATCACACATGGTCCCAGGACGATGATGGAAATGTCCGAAACTGTAGTAATTTGCACATTATTATTTTTCTGGAATAAATTTCTGATGCAAACCCCTTGGAAGGGTGACCTCAAAAGTGGAAAATCTAGTGTTTTACAAGCACGAAACTGCAGTTTTGTTCGGCGAGGGTTTCGCCGAAAAGTTCCTGTTTTGGCTTCAAGCACAAAGTTGGCCGAGGTTGTTCAGGACATTGCCTTTGATGCTCTTGCGCCAGACTGCAGCATACAAGGACTTCCAAATTTTTGTGAAGTCTTGTCTGCAGCCTTTGTGTGTATGCAACTGCCGGGGAATCGGGTTTTGTAACCAATCCCACTGTCTGTCCAAAGTCTGTGTTCCGGCCAAGGAAGAACTCTTAGCAGTGGGCTTTCACAAACTCACCAAGTGGAAGTGCAAGAGCATATCCAGCAGCGTAGCATGACATATGTGTGGAAGTGCAAGAGAACATCCAGCAGTGTAGCATGACGTATCTGTGGAAGTGCAAGAGAATGTGGAAGTGCAAGACAGCATCCAGCAGCGCAGCATGACGTATGTGCGGAATTGCAAAAGAGCATCCAGTAGCGTAGCATGACTGGAGTAGAAGTCGAACAGAACGCTATTACCCCACCCCGCCCCCAAAATATCAGGACGCCAAAATATCAACACGCGCCTGGCCTCTTACTGGCGTTGACACCTGCAACTTAGCCAATTTCGTAGACCCCAACAAATTGGGGATGGCTTAAGATGGCATCCGGCTGCCTCATGCCTCCCATATCTTAAGTTGTTTAAATCCCCATCATACAATTTTACATCGTTTTGTTGCTGGGCTTGCCTCCACTAAAAAATGCTAAATATCATCTCCCAATTGTCCAATTATCATAGATACATACATCTTCAAGGTAGTGCCCCCCAGTCATAAGTTGGTTTATAAACCCCATTAACTATAGATATATCTACCATAAACCATAGTTATTGGAGTTATGTTCACCAACTTAGCTAACTATGGGGCACCACCTTGTTCAGTGGATATATAGCATATATACATCTGGTTGGTGGTTTGGAACATTTTTTGTTTTTCCATATATTGGGAATAATCATCCTAGCTGACTTTCATATTTTTCAGAGGGGTTCAAACCACCAACCAATCATAACTAACCAATGATTAACCATCATTAACCACTATTAACCACTATTAACCACTATTAACCACTATTAACCACTATTAACCACTATTAACCACTATTAAGCACTATTAACCACTATGAACCACTATTAACCACTATTAACCACTATTAACCACTATTAACCACTATTAACCATAGGGATAGGTCAACCACCAACCAGTCAATACTTGACGAACGTCGGGCTTCAGGTCTGCTGAGTGGCGGAGACTTCGAGACATCTTTGAAGCTTCCTCGGCCACCTGAGGCCGCCGAATTTCTGGGGTCATTCTGCCATGATTTCTGGGCTTTGAGGGGATTAACCATCAATTCTAAGGGGTGATATACATATATATATATAAAGTATATATATATATAGTATATATATACAGTATATATATATATATATGTAATATATATATATATTATACATGTATAGGTAATATATGTATATATATATATGTGATACTGTAACATGCTCTAACCATCTAGCAGATGTTGATTTTTATCGTTCCAAACGGTGCTGGGTTTATGATTTTGGGGACTATACCACCGTTTGTGTACTGGGGTATCATCATCGATGAACTGGGAATGCCATTCTTAACAAACCAGTATTTCACGACAGTTCGGGTGTTGAAAATTGTTTAGACAAGCAAACGATCTCAACGGAAGAAAGGACGATCTGAGTCCAAGTTAAGGATGGTTTAGGATAGTTTCGTAGTGCATATCTTATTTTATATTATATTATACTATATCATCTCATATGATGTAAATTGAATTATCTTAAAATTCTTGCCCTTAGGACCTCTAGAAATTGCTTAGCTCCGGGCCATCCTTGGCTTAGCTCCGGGTCCCCGAAGAAGCGGGCCATTTTTCAGGGCGCCACCGAGAAGGTGTCCCTGGAGGTCCCACATGGCATCCGACTGGTGAGGCGTCCCCGGAGATGAACATTGGCTTTGACCAATGGCTCAATATGGCTGGTGGTTAACCTTAACCTATTGGTTATACATGGTGATATCACCTACTACCATCGGGTTTTACCATCCTGGTTAAGAAAAATAACTATGGAAAGTACCCATAGTACCCATGTTTAGTAGGTGAATCAACTATTTCTATGGCTATGTAACAAATTACCAGAGGGTATGGTTATATAATTACCATCTGGGTATGACTAACATTAACCATGGAAAATCCCCAAAATCAACGGAGGTTTGAGTGGGAAAATCATTTATTTCTATAACCGGAGGGTATACATGTTTTTAGTGCCTCCAAAGCCCAGTGTTTGGTTTTTCCCCACCTGCCAGGTGAGGGTTGTTAGATTTTATGTCAGTTGCCTCCTCCTCCTGCCTCGTCCTCCTCTCCTCCTGCTCCTCTCCTCCTCGTCCTCCTCGTCCTCCTTGTCATCCTTGTCGTCCTTGTCGTCCTCGTCGTCCTCGTCGTCCTCGTCGTCCTCGTCGTCCTCGTCCAACTGCGACCCGCGATCCACAGTGTTTTCCCTGCCGGACCTCAACCACGACCATCCACGCCCAGTGTTCCCTGCCGGACCTCAACCACGACCAGCCACGCCCAGTGTTCCCTGCCGGACCTCAACCACGACCATCCACGCCCAGTGTTCCCTGCCGGACCTCAACCGCGAGTATCCACGCCCAGTGTTCCCTGCCGGACCTCATGTAGGAAGATAAAATGTCAGATAGAGTGCCAGAAGATTTGCCAGGTAGAATGCCAGAAAATATGCCAGAAAATATGCCAGATAGATATGCCAGATAGATATGCCAGAAGATATGTCAGAATATATGCCAGATAGAATGCCAGATAGAATGCCAGAAGATATGTCAGAATATATGCCAGAAGATATGCCAGATAGAATGCCAGATAGATATGCCAGAAGATATGTCAGATAGAATGCCAGAAGATATGCCAGATAGAATGCCAGAAGATTTGCCAGATAGAATGCCAGAAGATAGAATGCCAGAAAATATGCCAGAAGATATGCCAGATAGATATGCCAGAAGAAATGCCAGATAGAATGCCAGAAGATATGTCAGAATATATGCCAGAAAGATATGCCAGATAGAATGCCAGATAGAATGCCAGAAGATATGTCAGATAGAATGCCAGAAGATATGCCAGATAGAATGCCAGAAGATTTGCCAGATAGAATGCCAGAAGATATGCCAGAAGATATGCCAGATAGAATGCCAAATAAAATGTCAGAAGATATGTCAGATAGAATGCCAAATAGAATGTCAGAAGATATGTCAGATAGAATGCCAGAAGATATGCCAGAAGGTATGCCAGATAGAATGCCAAATAGAATGTCAGAAGATATGTCAGATAGAATGCCAGAAGATATGCCAGATAGAATGCCAAACAGAATGTCAGAAGATATGTCAGATAGAATGCCAGAAGATGTGCCAGTAAGAACATGTATAAATGTCATGGTGGGGATCACACGAAGTAAAGTAATTTTTTGGGTGTTCCATGGGAGAATTCCTCCGATCAACCTGAGTCGTTTGGAGCTGGGGTTTTGGGTTACATCAAACATGTCCTTCTCAAGATCCCCAGCCAAAAAAAATTGGAAGGAATGATTCAATGATCCACTACAGGGAAACATCCACCGCAAGGGAATCATCCTAAAAGAATCCAATTAATTGAATTCATAAACATCAGGGATGTCCCATTTAAACGATGATATCATATCATAAAAACATACAACATACAGGTGATTGTGAATCTCATCCATATTTGAAACAGTCATAGATTCCCCAAACAACCATCCGCAGAATGCTGGAATTATTCGAATTCCCAGTTCAACCACCATGAAACCACCATTTTTCAATAGAATTTTCGAAGAATCCTAGCCGAATTCTGTGGTGATTCCCACACAAATTCCCATCGTAGCCGCGTAGCCAGGCCTGAATCCAAACCTGGCTGGCAAATGATCTTTGATGGTACGAGTCTGATCTTTGAGGCGAATTTCATGGGAAAAGCTGGGCTGCGCTGGGAAGTCATGGGAAGAGCCGGCATGGGCTTCATGGGACAAAGCCGGAATGTATAAATGCACAAAGGCCATGGAAATGGGATATCTATGGATATCTTATATTGTTAGCTCATGATTTCCTGGAGGAGAGGTGTGAACCGGAACTTTCAAACTTTCGAGAAAGGTTGGTGGCGGCAAATGGATCAAGTGCAAGGAAATCCAAACATATCCAAAGCATGTTCAGCCTAGACCCTTCGAAACTCCAACTTGAAGTTTGCTTAGGTCTTAGGTTTGCCAACACCTTTCTTATCCTGTCTCCAAAAAGTACAGGACCCCCCCAAAACGACCTCTGCCGGGCTCAGTCCTAGGCGCAAAAGGACACGGGGCTCGGCGCCGCAGCTCTGGAATTTCAGCTCCACGTCGTGGCAGGCTGTGAGTTTCCCAATGCCTCTGACGTGCCCTGGATGCAGCTAGAGATGTTCCTGGTACCCTCAGGTAAACGTTTACAAAAAGCTATTGAAATGGTCATTTTTAATGGGAAAACTCACTATTTCAATGGCCATTTTCAATAGCCATGTTAAATTACCAGAGGGTAAAGGTTTGAAGAGACTGACTTCAATGGTGGTAAAGCCCCAAACAGCTGGAGAGTGAGATGCGTAAACGCTATTGAGTTGCTGAAGGTGTGTGGTGAAGCCCCAAAACAGAACCATAAAAGATACGGCCTCAAAAATAAGCAAACATGGTGGTTTGGAAACCTTCAAGAATGACGGCGTATGGTTTTGCCATCGTGTGCTGCAGTGGAAAGCTCAATTCCTCATCCTGGCTGATGGTTTCAAGGGGTTGGTCTGGATTTCAGCCAGGCGACTTCACATGTGAATTCCGTCGGATTCGGAATGAAATGGTCAGCCCTGTAAAAAAACCTAACCCATAGGATCCATGTATGCTATATATGGTAACATTTACCATCAATATACCCCCAATGTTAGCATATATACCATACGTGGATCCTATGGGTAAGGTATCTCAGGTTGCTGTAAGTCCCTCAATGGGGTCGGGTTTTATCCCCCGGCTCCCAAGCTGCTGCAGATAGAGGGCTGAGCCGCAGCTTTGTGACTTTCCCTCAAGGACATCATAATGAGTTGCAAATCGTGTCCTCCATCTTTGGTGAGGAAAAATAACCATCTAATAATGCATCGAATGGTGTGCTGGAAAATCCCCCACAACTAAAAAAAAACGATGTGATTTTCTGGGTTTTTTGAAGAACCTCCATGGCTAGGCCACAGGGATTTCCAGCCATGACACCGGATCTCCTCCAAGGCCAGCCATCTGATTCCCGAGGGGGCCAGCCATAGTCCAACCTGGTGGATCCAATAGTGGTTTTTGTAACCCAACCGTTAGCAAGTCCCGGAAATGTCTATAAAATGGGTGAACTAACATGAACTAACCATGGTTTACTCCTATAAATGGGTGAAGTAACAAGTCTATAAATGGCTAAACTATACCACTTTTTCGTGAGACGATCCTCCAAGAAGGATACCAACGGCTTGTTGAGGCGGTGACAATGCCTGGAGACGGCCATGACCGGCACCTGCTGCTGTGGCAGACGGTGCAGTACCTTCGGGTGCGGCCCCAGTCGTACGCTGAAAAGATGGGGATGCAGCTGGAATGTTGGAAACCCTGCCATAAACAACTACCATGACTTAGAAACACCCATAAAAATGGTGATTTTGCTTGGGGTGAAAATGACATTTCTTCAAGACTAGTTATGACTGGAGGTTGAACCATCATATTTTCGATTTTCAATCCTAGACATGGGATATTGATCTGAAATCACAAAAAATCGCCAGTTTTTGGCGGAGTGGTGGCTGACTCAAGGACCACCTTGATTTTTTTCGATGGGATTCAACTTGATTACCCGGCAGAAGGGACCAAAGATCGGGAACTGAACCGAACAGCAAACACGGGGTATGAACAAGAAACAGATGGGAGCTTGACCAAGAATCTTTTGAAAAGCGGCGGCTGGTTTCAAGAATTTCCATTGTTTTTTGATGTTCACCATTCTTTGCTGTTTCCAGCGACCAAACGTGGCAATAGAAATCCATCGGGAATTTTTTAGCCATGTTGAAAACGACACCGCCGTTATGTTGGGATCTGTTTCCCATTGCCATCCTTCCTTCACTACCTGGCTTCTTCAAACATTTTGAAACCATTTTCATCACCCTTCGAAGCTTCCTACCCTCCAGGAATCAACCATGAAACAATCCCAAAATGTCCTTCAAGATCACTGAACATCCAAGAATTCCGCAAGAAAACTCGCCAAAAAACAATCCCAAAGAGCGTCCTTCCTCCATGAAAGCAATAGTTTCCTGGGAACACCATAGGAAAATGACCCAGAAATAGGATGACACGCCCATTCTCTCAGGCCTTCAACGGCTCACTACTGGAGCGCCGATGGACGCAGACTTCGACAGAGGCGGAGGCAGCGCCCTTTCTGGAAGTGACGCCTGGCATGTAGGACCAGCGGCCTAGTACCCTCCGAGAATCAAAAGTGGCAATGGGAAATGCTCTACGGAGATGTTAATGGGAACTAACTACGAATGCCCGATTTTTCATTGCCATGTTTGGTTGCCAGAGGGTATATATATATATAACATTATATAACTCCCAAAAAGATAGAATTTAAAGGTGATTTATCGCAAAATTTCAGTAGGATTCCCCATTTAAGTATTTTTTTGGGTGGGTTGCTATAGATGATATGGTGTAAACAGTTTTTTTTTTAAAAAAACTGGTACCGGTTGCCAGGTTTTTTGATGTTTAGACATGGGATAATCATTGAATCTTGACCGGTGAAACATGAGCTGGGTCAAATTGAAGCCATGGGAATATTTTATGGAATCAAGCGGCTTGACTCCGCAATTGATCATTCTTTCGTATATTCTTTCGCTGTACAATCTTTTTCACGCTTGCATCATTTTCAATGGTTTGTGTGGGAAAATCTTCACCGGAAACCATCGATTTTCCCATAAAAAGTACGGGGTTCTCTGGTGAACATTTTCCCGAACAAACCAATCCATTGACATTTTCATTATCCCACCAGTTTCCCAATGGCCGGTCTAAGGACTTCGGACAAGGCATGTCGAAGTTCAGCGTTTCTTGGTCGACAAGACAAGTGAACATTTAGAGATACCAATGCCAATGGACCAGCATAATCATGTTTATCCATCTTTTGAATTAGTTGATGAATTTAGGGCCGTTAATTATATAATCGTTCTAAATTCCGACCCTAAGAAAAGATACCCATTTTCAGCAATCAGGCAACTGCCATAGAAGCTCTAGTGGTTTAGGGCTCCAATCTCATCCATATTTTTCGGTCAAACTTAGGTACCTCCAAAAACTTGATGGGCCGTAGACCGAAAAACACCGTCAAAAATCATTGTTTTGAATGGCCCATATTGCACATCTTTTGTAGTATGTTGGGGAAATCGGTCCGACCCCAAAACCCAGGTCATGTTTGTGCCATAGATTTTGGAGTAAAGCAGGTACACCCCCCCAAAAAGATAGAACATGTTCACTTTCTCACTATTTGGGTGGGGCTTTTACTTTTCTATCTTTTTGGGGATAAAAAAAAATGTACACCCCTGTTGTTGGACAATATAATAGCCACAGGGCCGCAGTCGGTTCAAGGTCCACTTCGTTTCCCTTTTTGGTTTAAAAACAGTTTTTTTTGAAGGACCCCCCTAGATGATTCGGCTATATTCGGCTTCTACAATCCCAGATTTCTCAAAAACATCCAATTAGATCCAAAACATCTTCCAGAACTATGAATTAATGTGAAGAATTTGGGATAGAATGGGCATATGAACCATCCAAAGGTATCTTCCAAAACCCAAAAACTACATATCTATGGAAATTCAGGGAATTTTCCCGGGAAAGTGCTGAAAGTTTCCCATTCATCAAGGTCAGAGCCTGGCATGCAATGGCTGGGACAACACGTGCCAGCCGCGAGCCAGGCCCGTTTCAGCCCCGGAGGGGAGTTCACTATGATGATACGATGATATAGGAATGAATGGAATGGGTAACATATCATCACTATATGACTCATCACTATATGACTTTCAATCTATAGGTAACATATCCAATACCATAACACATATATAACTATATAGTATATATATATATAACTTTATTCTTAATAACAGGTACCCCCCAAAACAATGACAACCCAATCGTGGTCATGCCGAAGCTGTTCTGCATCTTTCTGGGGGGTTAAGAAAGCGGTTTTTCTCTAGGAACAATTGGGGTATAGAATCAAACACAAGCTCCAGCCCATCTTTGAGTAAATTATGGTCACTTTTGAGGGGAGCTGTTGGGTGATTTTACATTACTGTACTTTGTCATTTTTCCACCACCCTTGGGGTGCTGGGATCAACCTTGATTTTTGGGCGGTTTTGTTCAGGTGATCGGAACCCCAAGACGGGAAAAGCTAGCTGAATTTATGCCTGCTGGTTTCAAAATCCCTTAAAACAAAAATCTACTGGCCCTATGGATCCAAACACTGTCTGAGAAGGTACTTAAGCCTCCAAATCATAGTAAATTATACCCCAAACACTTCCTAAGAAGGTACTTGGATCCATAGGGTGGGATGATTCAGAAGATGATGAAACGATTGTGAGCACAATGGGACGATTCACAGTGCAGGAACAGTAAGAAAGAAGCAGTGAGTGGCGACCGACTTTGGTTAAGGGAACATGTGCAAGTTTTTTGCGACCGGATTTGGATGGACATAGTTAACGCTTTCTGACTTGTTTAGAAGGGTTGGAAAGGAGAATGCTGGTATCTGATGACCTTCTAAGCCCAAAACATCTGATCTGGCTGGTGGTTTCAATCTTTTTTTATTTTCCATTTCATATACGGGATGTCATTCTTCCCATTGACTTACTCATATTTTCAAGATAGTTAAAACATGTAGTCAACCACCAACCAGTAATGATATCTGATATCTGATGATATTTGTTCAAGATGATCCTCCAAGGACGACAAAAATTGGCCTCCGGATCACCCGCCGGAAGGCATGCCATACCTTCGCCATTTCGCCGTATACGCCATAGGTGTCCGGGCTGGAAGAGAAGGTCGTTGGTTTGGAAGAGGATCGCACCTTTGATGGCCACGACTTTCTGAAGCCACACGATCACAGGACAGAGCGCCTGCTTGGTTTGGCGAGATGACAGGCGGCGTCATGGGGAGAATAGACGTGAATGAACATAGACTAGTTGTTGGAAGATGAGTGAACCCACTAAACATTTTAAGGTTACTTTCAGGGTCGAACTGGTAATTTACGAGTAACAGAAAACAAGAATGGCTGGGTTTGGGTGGGATATATATATATATAGTGGATGTGTTTGTTGGGCATGTATTTGCTGGGTATGTATTTGCGATCATCTCGCAGGTTCCCTCCATACCAATATATTGGTAGATCATAAGACTTGTTGACCAAACCGGCCATTGGCATAGAGAAGCAGATGGAGACTTACCCAGAATCACCAGGGATTTGAATCACTCTGATGGAGGACCATCCCGACTATGCCCCTAGAAATGATGTAGGGAAGCAAAGAGATATGGCTGTGGATCAAAATAACAGATACAAAAGATATGAAAGAGACTGGGTAAAGTAGTATTCGACTGTGTTCATTCTTAGTATATATATATATATTATGTATATATATATATATGTGCCCAAATGCATCCTTTAACAATGGGATATACTATAATGTTCCTTCTATTCTGTTCATTCTTGGGATGGGGATGGGAACAGACATATTCCTCTCCACACCGTGAAGACTGCATCATTAAATGATGGTGAACAAATAACACATTGGCACCGTCACAGGACTCAATCCGAATGGCACACCCAAAGTGATGCCATCCATGTATGGATGATTGTCCAACATTTGGGTGATTGGGACAAGTGGAGTTGATTGTAGGCGAATATACCATTTGACCCTTATTTCATACCTTCTGAGAGAGCTCCTTCCCGCCGTGATCTCGAAAAATACCCGTGCAGAGACCGGCAGTTTTTGGACGTTTGTGGTGTTCATAGTTTTCCTGAAAAAGTTGTTCCCTCATTCGGAATCGACTTGTTATACGGCTTTGTCTCAACATGATACCCTCTGGTAATTTCAAAAAAACTATGGAACACCATTGAAATAGTGAATTGTCCCATGACAAATGGTGATGTTCCATAGTTCTTTAACGAAAAATGGTGATTTTCCCATGAAAAATGGGTGAAATTACCAGATTCTACCCCTTCCATGGCCTTCACGGGGATGACGCCATTTCACCCGGCGGGGGATTCTCCCATTCGCTTCAGAGGAGCCGGCGCGGCGTTCAAGCCGGCGTGGGGCCCTGGGGCGTGCGGCTGGGGATCCCTATCATTAGCATAATAATTTTTATATATCCCATGACGGATCCATGTTACCAGATATAGCATACATGGATCCTATGGGCATATATATATATATACATATATATATATACATATATATATACATATATATACATATGGGTAAATTATAACGACCTCACTGTGACCGAACCCTGGAATCATGGTGAATGTTAGGGAAATCATCCCCAAATGGCCGCAAGATTCAGGTTAGTGAAGTATTATAATTTACCATGATATGTATATATATATATAACATATTAAAACATTAGAGAATCAGAGAATATTTGAATAACATATTAGAATAACTATAAGAACTACTATAGTTAACTAATGTATGTTACTTTCATGGATGTAGAGCATCATATAGCCATGCAATATAATCCTTGATGTTTTGATCCATTTTTCTTGTGGACGCGTGAGGCATGGCTTTCGGAAGACCCAGTCATCAGGGTCAGACGACGACGAGCCACGTGCGTTGGCCTATGTGGAAGGCTGGGATATGCTGGGATCTACGGTGGTTGGGATTGATATTCCGAGTTACATGGAATTGCTATGATTTTCTGGAAAAATGGTTGTCACTTCACCCTGGTACCCTCTTCACATTCCAAGATTATGAATTATGAACAGACTTGCACATTTTAGGATGTAAATAACAATCCATTTTTGTTGGCTATTTGATATTGACCCTTACCCATGGGCAATTTTTTGGGTGTTGGTTGTATCCAAAGAGCTAATTGACCGTCGAGCTACCCTTTGGTAATCGTTTCCATAGCTACTGTATGGCAAACCATCATTTTTGGGGAGGTAAATCATCTACAATCCAGCCATTTTCCATCCATTTTCCATAGTGTTATATATAGATTACCAGGTAGGGCAATCAATGCTTATATCAAAAGTGGTCCACTTTTACTGATCAGTTGGTGTGTCTCACTTCACCGCTTTCACCAGGTCTTGGGCTTGCTGAGCCTAATTATGTTCATCATTGTCCTGGGGACTTTGTTGGTGGCTTTCGTCCCCTGGCGGAAAATCCGGCAGCATGTGGAGGAGATGATTTGGCCGCGTTCTATGGTTTTTTGGACCCTTTCTATGGTCGTTGATGGTAAACGTTAACAGAAAACGAAATGGACAGATCCAGCATGCTATTCATGGGTAAATCCACTATTTCAATGGGATTTGGGTATCTGGGATTTTTTGAAGCAAAGCTCAAAAACTTGAGAGTGGGAAACACATTCAGAGCGTTGCCATGTCGGGACTGTGGTGAGATGCTGAATCATGCAGCGACTGAATGATGTGAAAGTGCCATTTGTGGTCAAGAGCCGGTGATATGTTGAGGTATGCTGCATTGATGAGGTATGCCCCAACCCCCTGTTGGTTGTTCCTTATATGGGTTAAGTTTATATGGTGTGTGTTTCCCAGGGATTTACGTGGATTGTCGTCAGGATCATTCAGAATCCAGACAAAGGCTGATCAACCATCCCAGTAGGTTAATCATCCAAGCAGTCGAATTTAGTAGGTGATATCACCATATACAACCAACCAATAGGTTCAGGTTAACAACCAGCCATATTGAGCCAATACATGCGAGTGAAAAAATCGAGCAACACTATGTGTATATCAGTGTATGCTCGAAAAATCACCTTAAAGATACGGTGCCATCTTCCATCCACTGCATTTCAAAGCCTGGGAATCTGGGAATCCTGGGAATCTGTGGCTCTCATTGCAAACTCTCCATTTTCCAGCTGGGGGATGATTAAACATCCAGCTGGGATGGTTGCTTTCAAAGAAGCAGACTGACTGACAATGAAATGACGCCTGTCTTTTTCAGACTCAAACAAAATGGCGAAAAACCGGTTCTTGGTTGGACAGATGATTTTTTATTGTTTTTTGCTCCCCGACCCTATGATTTTGAAATCTTCTGGTTATTTAACATAGCCATGGAAGCCATGGCCCATAGAAATAGATGATTTTCCCAGCTATAAACCTCCATTGATAAGGGAATTTCCATGGCTATGCTAGTCATGACCAGATGGTAATTATATATAATTATATAACCATACCCTCTGGTAATTTGTTACATAGCCATAGAAATAGTTGATTCACCTATTAAACATGGGTACTTTTATTTTTCCATTAAAATTTATATTGACCATAGTTATTGGAGTTATAAACCAACTTAGCTATCTTGGGGGCCTCACATTGTATGATATTGAAATCTTATATTTTTCCATTAAAATCTATATTGAACTCGTATATTTTTCCATTAAAATGGTGGGTAAATCCAGGTGGCCAGCGCTTGGGCTCGCCTTCTGATGTCTTCTTCCAGACAGGCGTTGCTGAAGGACGTTGTTTTTCTTATGAAGGGCTATGGGTGGTGAAAGCATGGGAATCCCTGGTGAAGAAGCTTTTTTTGGGGGGATGTCTTGACTCAACTTGACGTTACTGGCGATTATATCTATCAGATTCTGAAAATTTCACTGTGGGTGGCAGGATGTGGCAGGTATCATACCAGAAGCATGCCAGAATTTCTTGGGACTGCATCCTTCATTTTCCGTTGCAACTCTTATGAGATTCCTGGGTTTCGGGCCTTCCCTTCCCCATCTTGCCTTTCAGGGCCAGTCTCGCATGATCGTCATCATGATCACGACTCTTCTGCATCCGATCCTTCTCATTTTCATTGTTCCCTCAAATGGGTCTGCCTGGAGACGAGGTGTGAACATGATGAGCATTCATCAAATTTTGAGTCAGGACGCCGCGAAAGAGAGCTGCCATGAAGTACGAGGCGAGAATTATGTCGGAGTTTGCCGATTCCTCTCGTCGCAAAAACATCGTGGGGAAAACCATGACTCCAGGTACAGGTTGCCCAGAACCTGATCAAAGATCTAGATCCAAACTATGCCAGGCTGTATCATGGTATTACCGCCCCTGTCAGGTCCTGAGGAAAGGCACTTAATCGAAAGCACTGTGCTGGGAAAGCGTCGCAGCGATGATCGAGCTGCCCACCTCTCATAGAAGCGTCCGGGTGATGTTTGTCCCATGAAAGCCCAGTTTTCTTGTTGGTGATGTTTGAAAGCTTCAAAGCTCAATTTCATGGGACATTAACCGCCGAGAGCGGAACCAGACTGGAACCGAAGAATATAATCGATTAGCTCTGGATAATTTTTAGCCAGCTCACAGGAAAATGGCATAACATATGATCAAGATAACAACATATCATCAAATCAAATCCGGGATTCATCGTGAAAAATGCAAAAAAAAGTGCTGGTCATGTTGCAGCATATTCCAGCGGGTGAGAATACATCCATGAGATGAAGTGGATTCTGCATTTTTGAGATATTGCTGGCATTTAGTTGTTTAGTAATGTTATGCAGTATTAATAATGTGTATTAGTAATACTGTTCAGTCATGTTACATAGTAATTTCATTTAGTCTTAGCAATATTAGCTAGCAATATGAAGTGGACATGCACCTAATATATATATTATATAATTATATATATATAAAACATATACACTATTGTGCACATATATATATATATACATTGCTTTCAACTTGATACGACTAAACAGCCAAGATATGCCATGACAGTGTAGCTGCCGAAATGCCTTTTGACCACGCCGTCTGAGACGGCAGTTGTTCCGGGTCACCCTAAAAAGGCGGGTTGACGGCGTCGCGTCGCGTTGAAAAGGGCGGGTTGACACGACAGAGGATCATCATGGATCATCCCACAGATCGTTTCACTGCTTAGTAAGTGGGATTTTTGCAGCCACTTGTGATAAGTGAAAGTGGGATTTTTTCCGCCACTTACTAGGCTTATTCCACTGGTTTCATGAAAATAGTAAATGGGATAAGCCTTGTTTTGGGGGACTTACAAACCAGGCAATGAAATCCACTTCCCATCCGTGGGGTGATCCGAGGAAACTGTGCCACATTCTGTGTTGGATGTGCTGGCATGAGCATTACAATGACTCTACGCACCAACACGAATGCCTTAGCAACATCATTATATCATTATATATATATATGTATATATATATATATATACAAGTGTGTATATATATATATACAAGTGTGTATATATATATATATCTCCAAATTTAATCAAGTTCAAAGCCACATTGCTTGTCTTCATGGTCGAAAGACTGCTTTTTCACAGTAAGACGAGCATGTCTTGTTTGGGCATTTTTTTTCCCTCTGGTAATAGAACATCCACCATTTACAGATGATGTTCCCAACTAGAAACCTCCATTTATAGGGGACCATGGCCGTGTTTGATGATCTCCGGTAACATCTGCTGGCAGTTGCCGCGCGAGCGATCTTAAAGGAGACGCTTGGAATGACGCCCGGCGGCAAGAAAATTGGCATGTGAATCTTGTTTCCACCTGGTTCCAATTCCGTTCACGAAAATGCGTTTGTTGTTTCTCTCAAGTTGAAGGTTTTGAGGTTTCCTAAAGTAGGGCTACCCCCAAAATTCAGCCTTTTCACTTTAGCAGAGAGAGTTTTTGAAGATTCGTGACATGTCAAAATCAGACAAACATTACTTTTCCCGGATTTTCCATGATATTCCACTGTAAACATCTATAAACCATCTATTTTTACCATCCAGCTGGCTACCCCCCCAATGACCATGGACCCCCCCTTTTTGCGTCGTCGTCTTAGGCGAAGCAAAACAAGGAGATGCTGCAGGAACGCGCCGCGAGCTTCACTCACTGGCCACTTGGCAGACCTGGGCGGGAAAGTGGTTGAAACTGGTTGACAGTGTCCATCATATACAAGATTTGTAATATATATATATATATATTATATTATCTAGAACATCATATTCATAATAGTATAATCATGTACGTGAATATATATATATATATATATAATAATAATATATATATATATATAAACATACCAGAAACAATGCTGGCTGAATGTGTGCTCACGAGTCACCCACAAGGCGGACCTGTTGTAAGTTGGGGGAGCCGGCGAAGAAAGAGTTCTGCGGTCTTTGCAGATCTTTTTAGTCATTGATGCAGATGGGTTCACATCACTTTCATGTGTTTGGTCCTTAACTGCGATGTTTTGGGTGGTCCAAGTTCTAGTCCTCAAAGTTGCTTGCCAGCTGTAGCTTGATGAGTCTCCAGCCACAATTCGCCAAGCAATTTCAAGAAATCTCAGCAAATCTCAGCAATCCATGAATCAACATTTTTTTCCATGAATTTCAATCCTTGATTAATCCATTTAAGATGAATCTCAGCAATTTATTTTTTCCAATTCAAGCAATCTCAACAAAGACAGCTCCAACAAAAACTTCACCCAGCATTTTCCATATGCTTTCCCCAGGGTCTCCAGGTGTTTTTCGCTGCCGGGCGGCAGGTTGGAGGAGCACAGCTGCCAAGTGGCAGTCCTGGTGGGCCACGCCTGCTTCCTGGGGATGCTCACGGGCGACAAGGCGGAAATGATGGGACGAAGAATGATGGGCGAAGAAGTAGATATAAATGGATTATTATATATATATATATATGTATATATATTATATATGTATATATATATATGTATATATATATTATATATGTATATGTATATATATATATATAGGTATATATGTATATATGTCTCTATATATAAGATTTATAGATAGATTATAGATAGATAATAGGTATCTATTATTATCTGATATATATATATATATATCTAGGTGATAATCCATATCTAATATAGAAGATATGATATATGTACTGTGATATTGTGATAATACAACATATTATATATGATGGGTAATGGTGGGTATCCCAATCTGATTGCCGCCACGCTCTCCACGCTCTCTAGGAGTGGCTGGAGAATGGAGAGGCTTGCTGGTGTTGTCATGAGTCGCTACATGAAGGGTTTTGACCTTACACACTTTAGTCATGCCCAAGTCGTTCGTCAGAGAGACGCCCAGCACCACTTGTTGCTGCTGAGATCCCTTTAATTTCGAGTGCAGCACATCTTTTCTTCACTTCTGTAACATGCTGCAGAACTGATGTTGTACTCTCTTGTAATGAATCAATTTTGGCAATGGAGAATCGCTGACTTCTAGATTTTTTTCACTACCTTGTCGCATCAGAGGGTCGGTACATTGATATTTTTATCATAAATAGGGCATAGGGTATCTCAAAGTCTATTGGCTTATCATCATTTTCATTCAATTTCCCAATTGAGACGGCCATTTTTAAGGGAGCACAGTCTGACTGCTTCCCCATCTCTTTTTTTATCGTTGGTCATCCATTAATCATCTCCCGTTGCGATGCTTCAGCGTTGACTTGTCAGGTACGGTCGCGACCTCAAGCACTGAGACCATCGGGGTTATCCTGTCTCTGTGAGACCATCCCAACACCCCCAATGCCATGCCTTAATTAAACACCTCCAATTAATTAATGCATGGTGGCATGGTGGATAGGGAAATCACATATGGATGGAAACACATATGACATGTGGGTGGTTAATATGTTACCATATGACATCAACCATGACATCATTGTTACAATATGTTACAATATGTCATGAACCATGGGTTATACATCAGTCAAAAACCTCATTTATGGTGGTTGTAACAGGTTATACCCACAATGGTGATCATTGGGCGGTACCTGAGACGATGGTCACATTGGACTGTGAAGGGTGTTTCATGGATGGAGTAACACCAGCAAGACATGGTCGATTGCCCCAAGAGTCTGGGCAGGTAAAATAAACAATTTCTGGTGACCAATTTCTGAGTGGCTTCCCAGTAATACTCTGTCAAACATCTGCCCCAAAATCCAATGGCTTAAAGCATATTTTGCAATTTGGGGGGATACTCCATTTCTGGACAAGGCCCCAAATCGTTGGTTATGTTGAAGCACTGTCCATTAGGAACAAACCTCCAATCAGAAACTTCCCGGGAATCAGCAACAAAGAATCAGAAACTAAAACCCACGAATCAGAAACTAAAATCCGCGAATCAGAAACCAAAATCCCACGAATCAGAAACCAAAAACCGCGCGAATCAGAAACTAAAATACAGGAATCAGATACAAAACCCTGCGAATCAGACACTATAAGAATCAGACACTAAAAATTGCGACTCAGACACCAAGATCCGCGAATCAGAAACCAAACAAGGCCACGCATCAGAAACCAAAAAACGCGAATCTGAAACCAAATCTGCCACCCCCTCTGAACATTTTGTTGAATGAGATATTACCGCAAACTTATCCTCATAAGGGATCAAACCCGCCACCCCCTTCTGAACACAATGTTGAAAAGGATATTGCATTTATTTATTTTTCCTCGTGAGGGATAAAATCCGCCACCCTCTCTGGCCTTTGTGTTGAATGATATATTACCGTCAATTTATCCTCATAAGCGATCAAATCCGCCACCCCCTCTGGCCACTATGTTGAATGAGATATTGCCTTCAACATATCCCCATACCGGACCCAATCCGCCACCCCTCTGATCACTATGTTGAATGGGATATTACCTTCAACTTATCTTCATAAGACATCAGCCACCCCTCTGGCCATTATGTTGAATGAGATATTACCTTCAACTTATCCACATATGGGATCAAACCCGGCACCCCCTTGAATGAGATATTACCTTCAAAGTATCCTCATAAGGGATCAAATCCGGCACCCCCTCTGACCATTATATTGAATGAGATATTACCTTCAAAGTATCCTCATAAGGGACCAAATTCGGCACCCCCTCTGACCATTGTGTTGAATGAGATATTACCTCCAACTTCTCTTTCCGATTGAAGGAGACAAGTTGCCCATTCTGATTGATTCAGCTGGTTTAGTTTCCGATTCTCCGGTTTTAGTTTCCGATTCTCCGGTTTTAGTTTCCGATTCACCTGCTTTAGTTTCCGATTCACCTGCTTTAGTTTACGATTCAGCTGTGGTTGCCGATTCCGGGGTTTTGGTTTACGATTCAAGGTTCTTAGTTTTCCATTCACGGGTTTTAGTTTCCGATTCTTTTGGTTTCCGATTAACAGGTTTTAGTTTCCGATTCACGGGTTTTCGCTGCCGATTAACGGGTTTTCGCTTCCGATTAACGGGTTTTAGTTTCCGATTAATAGCTTGACCGTCCATTAGATCGTATCCGCTATGCCCATTATCATTGTGGTTGATTTTTGTGACCAGCATTTTTGCTGGTAACTCCCCATATTTTGTGGGGCAAGTCATGTCAGGTCCCCTAGAATTTCGATGGTAAAATTGTTCACCATGCCCTATGGATCCATGGCCACTGTCTGAGAAGGTACATACTTAAGCCTCCAAATTATAGTACCCTCCAGTAAAGAAAAACAGTTGGACCCTGAAAATCACCCATTTTTTTCATGGTTTCACTCGTCTTCCAAGCCCGAGTCGACTGCCAGGGTCTATGTGAAAATTTACCAGAGGGTCAATTATCCAGTCCCGCTTCCTTTCAGAAGGTACGGTACCTGGATCCATACCCATAGGATCCATGGTGCTGCTATATATGGTAACATTTACCATCAATATACCCCAAATGTTAGCATATATATATACCATACATGGATCCTATGGGATAGGGATGGGTTGATCAACAGCCCCTGAGGTCCTATTCCCTGCAGCAGGGCTACTACACACGGCTGAGTAAAGCCAGCTCCAAGGAGGCGATCCGGTCATTTTCTCCCGGTTCAAAAAAAGGCCAAAGATGAGGCGAATGACCCCAGTGGATGCTAGAAATGTAACCATCTGTAACCATGAAAAATGTTTGATCTAAACGTAGAGATGTAAGAGAAACAAGATAGCAATTTTAGTGACAGCCTATGGATCAAAACACTGGATCCAAATCATCAAGATAGCTCGTCAATTATGGTTGTGAATCGGTAGGTAGACAGCTCTGCGACCCAAACCATCATTTCCAGTGGTGAACCAACTACACTTGTCCCACGACGTGGGAGCCGGGCCCAGACAGAAATTCTTGAGATACCAACCCCCCAACTTAATACCCCCAACTTAATACATGGCTTTGTGCAAGAATAGGGTTTCAGTTTCTGTCATTTTCTGTTTTTTATTTGAACGCACAGAGTTCATTCGCCACCATGGATTTTTTGCGCTGAGTTGATTTGATTCCCATCAACATCTACAATTACATCTCATCATATCCATTCATATCCTATAAAATAAATGAATACCACCCCAGTGTTGTTGAATAACACGTGTTAACACACACACACTTGCTGGGTATTGAACCACAATCATTGGCAAGCCACATGACGGGGGGTATTCAAACATAGTTTCGTATTAGTCCTAGTTTTGTGTGAGTAAGCTGGTGTTTGACCCTCCGGTAAAGTGTTTTTCAAACCACATTATTTCTCTAGGGACTGATCTATAAATAAATGTTGGATTTTCCACTATCCCATGCCCTTTTTATTAAACATCCCTATGTGCGCCCTCAAAGATTAGTTGTACCCGTATTTTCAAAGGCTTTGGACACATCAGTCGCATCCCCCTTGCAGAATGAGCAGTTATAAAACCCCATTTGCTGGATATATATCCTCCAGCAACTTACCATTACCTACAGCTGATCCCCACAAAACTGTTGGAGACCCAGATTTCTATCCAAATTTGACGCTTGATTCAATCTGTTTTCCTTACATTGGGGTTCCCATGCGCCCTATTTGCAAAGTCGTTTTTCTGAAAAGGACATATCATTGACAACAATGAATAGCCTGAATAGCTATTTTTCTTATTGTATAAAGCCAATTTTAGACCACTGATCCACCCATTGATATCATATCCCTATCCCTGAAAGTCAAACGACTCACTGACACCGAAGACAGCGACCATTGTTTTGTCATGAGATTTTTGGGATTGCATCACAAGATCCGTGACTGTCAGTCTCCTCCAAAAAAATTTCCCCCAAAAAATATCACTAATTAAATAGCATCTTTATTGATCAATATCACTCTTAAAATTATTAAATCACTAAGAACATTATACCACTATTACTTTTTTTTTTTTCGGATTACGAGCCATTCATATTATCCTCTAGGGTTGTAATAGGATATATCCCTAGAATGTAGTGGTTTATGAACAATAGTGATATGATATATCTATCTAGGATTGTGAATCCATATGATATACTTTATGATAGGGAATTATAATTCATCACCATTAACTATCCTTATACGATTATATAACTACTATCAACATCAATACAACTCACATAGTATATAATCCATGAACATGACATATCAACATCAATATGTTGTAACCCAGGTTTTGAACGCATATCATCAACATTCACAAATGACCTATCGCTATTGTATCCCTATTTGATATTATACCACTTTGAATCTAGGATTATAACCCATTCATACCATCCCTAGGATTATACGATGTATGCCTGTAATCCATATAATAGTGATATAATATATACATCAATCTACGTTTTATAATTTGCTAAAAGTTATATACCTATGATATCCCTATTATTATTCCCGCAAAATTCTAAGGTATATCATAGGTATATAATAGCGATAACATACCAAGCAATCCACAATATAAGATTATTTTGTTTATGATTATGATGTATATATATATATAACGTAATTATTATAATTTGGTATATATCGATGATATCCCCATGATTATTCCCTAAATGTTACCACTATATATTCACCACCCAAAAAAAGACTCCAGGTAGCACGGCTACCACGTCCTGCGCCTGCGCCCAGTGCGGCGCCAAACATCGGGAGCGTAGGCGTTTCGGGACTCATCCCAGCCACAGGCCTGGTGCCGGCAAAAATGGACAACCAGCAAACAAATCAATAGCCATTTAACATAGCCATGGAAAATCACAATGTTTAATAGGTAAACCATCGAACTAAATGGGCCATTTTCCATGGCTATGTTAAATAACCAGAGGGTATAGTCAATGGGAATTCCAGGATCCTAAAATGGAGCTACTTAAACGTACCATATTTTGGGCCATATGAATTGTGGGGATATTCCCTGAAATTTAGGCCTGAAAAATAAGCCTTATATATGGTAGGCACCTCCAATTTAGGTTCCTGAAATGGCTATTGAACAAGCGGGGGTTTCCTGAATCGGGGGTACCCCTAAATCATCCACTTATAGACTGGATTTCCCACTGTAAACTATCCAGCTAATCGGGTACCTCCATCTATGGAAAACCCCAAATCGGTCCACAGCTTGATTTCTGGATTTTTGGGGCACATTTTGATTGAGACCTGGATTTTTTGGGCATGTGTTTTTTGCTGGAGAGTTGGTAAAGAGCTGGATTTTGGAGCCAGTTTCATGGGTTTCAAGATGTTGTCAATGAGTATTAATTTAATGGGTTGTGAAGTATGAGGGTGATTCCCCATTGAAAAAAAGGGTATTTACTGGGTAGCCGGTTTGGCGAGTGGCAGGTCTTTGTGGGTTTATTGGTATACATGGACGCAGATTTTATGATTGACCAAGCTCAATGATGCACATGTCACACATGAAAGACTCAAGACGATGTTTACCACCCAAGAATAGGATTTTGACCAACACCAAAGGGAATTGAACCAACAACATTTGAGATTCAACTCATGAAATTTAGGGGGCTCACAACAAATCAACACTGGGGATTTGAAATCAGCTTATTATGCGGTTTTTAAATAGGCAGCATGCGGTTTTAAAGCACACTTTATGAATGATTGAAAAAGTGCGCATGACTTGTTCCATACCTATGTAGCGTGATATTTGTTCCATATCTAATGTTACAAGCCAACACTAAACTTACCAAACCCTCCCTGATTCTCTCATTCTTTAAAATGAAGCTTCAATTTGAAGCAGAGATTAGAGGGTTTATCGTTTGTTTTTTGGCGCCTTGAAGAATGAAAGTTGATGATTGGCTCCACTCCATTTGGATCATGAGTTTGCTATAGAAAATGGCCCATTTGTAGTTACTTTGTTGATTTACCTGTGAAAATTGTGATGTTCCATGTTTTTTTGTATGTTTACCAGAGGTTACTGAAGCTCTTCAGGAGTTGGCAGGGGCTTTCCCTTCGCGCGGTGGTCGGGGGTGGGTTCGCCCCAGCTGGCAGCCTGAGGGCAGGTGGTGTGGGCCAGAGTATTACTGCATCTACTGATTGCAAATGGAACTACCCTCTGGCAAACTAACATAGCTATGGAAAATCATTATTTTCATAGGTCATAGGTAAATCAAGTATAAATGGGCCATTTTCTATAGCTATGTTAGTTTACCAGAGGGTAATGAACCAGATACTGACACGAATTTGTGCCGAAAGGCAACATCACCAACATGGGATACCTACAGACGGGCAAATTGGGTAACTTCCAATAGCAAATTATCCATTGTGTGATACAGAAACATGGCAAATTAAAAGCAACATTGGGTTTATAAATTTGGGCCCAAACTACATATGTATATATATATATGTATGATATCATCATCAAAATAAATAATTATATATATATATGTATGTATATATATATATTAATAGATAGCATAGCCATCTAAAAATAGGGTCATGGCGACAGATGGTTCAGGACTGTTTCAAAACTCCGCTAGATGAGGGCTCAAAGCGGGTAAAGCGCCCCGCTGAAGCGCCCTGACGTTTTCATCAGGCATTGGGATGGCTGGAGCTGGTTGAAATACCACGCAGGGTGTTGTTGAAAATGGCGATGCCTCCTTTCATGGCTGTTTCTTAAGGGAGAACATGATGATTAACCATAAGATTTTGAGATACTGTAGAAATTTTGGAAAACCCAAATCCTCAAGTGAGCAGTACTCAGTTGACCATTGGTGTTTTTTTTAGTTAAATGGGGTTATACAGTTCTACAAACTTGCTTCATAGCAAGTAACTAATCCACAAATCACCTCTTAGCCTGTAGCTTTCGATATGACAGAACGTGAGCTGGGGAAATGCTCAAGTGAAACTGAGCCGGTCTCAGTGGCTGCTTAGAAAATTTGCTCAGCATTTGACTTCGACCAAGTGGATTAGGGGCACATTTGTCTATACCCTCTGGTAAACTAACATAGCTATGGAAAACCATCATGTTTTAAGGGAAAAACCACTATAAATGGCAATTTTCCATAGCTATGTTAAATTACCAGAGGGTATCTATTATCTACATTTATTGTCTATATGATCATTTGTCTATTGTGATCTTTTATCTATTATCCACAATCTACTATCTTTATTATTATCCATACTCCATTATCTATAAGCTGTTTTCTATCATCTATTGTCTATTATGTATTATCCATTATGATCATATAAATAGATTATAGATCAATCATCTATAGTATCTATAAATATATCAATATATCGATATTTAATAAATTGACATATTATAAATGCTGTCATATGTTGTCTAATAGATCATGGCACTATAATATAGAAATTGACTAATAAATGTTGTCATATGATATCTATAGATGATTGATATGTCTATATGTTGCCTATATAGATCTATAATTTCTATCTCTAGCCATCGATCAGATCAGCATTCGTTCGCCAGGCGCGGCGGAAAGTTGGACATTTTCTGCCATGGACGACAATGCCACTGCAGTTCTTGAGGCCTCCGGCCAGTCCAAACCCGTGGGTTTTGTGTCGCAAAACCTGGGAGAAAACTTCGAAAATCTGAGTTTTTTAGAGAAATCATCTAGAAAACCTGAGACTTGGGGGTTGACTTCCTGGTGTTTCATAGGGAATTTGGTTTCATGATCTCCATAGCCATCATCCCATTCCCATCCCCATTCACGTAAGCTGAAGCCATGACCGCTCGCACGCCCGAGGAGGCTCGCATTTGCGAGGCTGGTGGCTCCGGACAACTGCTGCCGTTGGGCGGGGATTGGGAGATTGGTCTCAATCCAAGAGCAGCTCGGTCGCGACGTGACGTGGGACAGCTTGGATGGTTTCTTGCGCTCAATGACAAGTTGGAATATCTATATCTATATCTCTATCTTTATTTGTATCTCTATCTCTATCTCTATCTCTATCTCTATCTCTATCTCTATCTCTATCTCTATCTCTATCTCTATCTCTATCTCTATCTCTATCTATCTACCTCTATACCTCTATACCTCTATCTCTATCTCTATCTCTATCTATCTCTAACTCTATCCCTATCTCTATCTCTATATCTATCTCTATCTCTATGTCTATGTCTATCTCTATCTCTATCTCTATCTATCTATCTATCTATCTATCTATCTATCTATCTCTAACTCTATCTATATCTAACTCTATCTATCTCTAACTCTATCTATCTCTAACTCTATCTATCTCTAACTCTATCTATCTCTAACTCTATCTATCTCTAACTCTATCTATCTCTAACTCTATCTATCTCTAACTCTATCTATCTCTAACTCTATCTATCTCTAACTCTATTTGTCTCTAACTCTATCTATCTCTAACTCTATCTATCTCTAACTCTATCTATCTCTAACTCTATCTATCTCTAACTCTATCTATATCTAACCTATCTCTAACTCTATCTATCTCTAACTCTATCTATCTCTAACTCTATCTATCTCTAACTCTATCTATATCTAACTCTATCTATCTCTAACTCTATCTATATCTAATCTATCTCTAACTCTATCTATCTCTAACTCTATCTATCTCTAACTCTATCTATCTCTAACTCTATCTATCTCTAACTCTATCTTTCTCTAACTCTACCTATCTCTAAGTCTATCTATCTCTAACTCTATCTATATCTAACTCTATCTATCTCTAACTCTATCTATCTCTAACTCTATCTATCTCTAACTCTATCTATCTCTAACTCTATCTATCTCTAACTCTATCTATCTCTAACTCTATCTATCTATCTATCTATCTAGCTATCTATCTATCTATCTATCTATCTATCTATCTATCTATCTTATCTATCTTATCTATATATCTCTAACTCTATCTATCTTATCTTATCTTATCTTATCTTATCATATCTGTCTTATCTATCTTATCTATCTTATCTATCTTATCTATCCTATCTATCCTATCTATCATATCTATCCTATCTATCCTATCTATCCTATCCGTCTTATCTGTCTTATTTGTCTTATCTATCTTATCTTTCTTATCTATCTTATCTATCTTATATTTTTTTTATCTTATCTTATCTTATCTTATCTATCTTATCTATCTTATCTATCTTATCTATCTTATCTATCTTATCTATCTTATCTATCTTATCTATCTTATCTATCTTATCTATCTTATCTATCTTATCTATCTTATCTATCTTATCTAGCTTATCTATCTTATCTATCTTATCTATCTTATCTATCTTATCTATCTTATCTATCTTATCTATCTTATCTATCTTATCTATCTTATCTATCTTAGCTTATCTTATCTTATCTTACCTTATCTTACCTTATCTTATATCTTATCTTATATCTTATCTTTTAGCTTATCTTATATCTTATCTTATATCTATCTTATCTATCTTATCTATCTTATCTATCTTATCTATCTTATCTATCCTATCTATCTTTTCTTATCTATCTTATCTATCTTATCTATCTTATCTATCTTATATATCTTATATATCGTATCTATCTTATCTATCTTATCTATCTTACCTTATCTTATCTTATTGTATTTATCTTATCTATCTTATCTATCTTATCTATCTTATCTATCTTATCTATCTGATCTATCTTATCTATCTTATCTATCTTATCGATCTTATCTATCTTATCTATCTTACCTATCTTATCTATCTTATCTATCTTATCTATCTTATCTTTCTTATCTATCTTATCTATCTTATCTTTTCTTATCTTATCTTATCTTATCTATCTTATCTATCTTATCTATCTTATCTATCTTATCTATCTTATCTATCTTATCTATATTATCTATCTTATCTTATCTTATCTTATCTTATCTATCTTATCTATCTTATCTATATTATCTATCTTATCTATCTTATCTATCTTTTCTTATCTATCTTATCTATATTATCTATCTTATCTTATCTTATCTTATCTTATCTTATCTATCTTATCTATCTTATCTATCTTATCTATCTTATCTATCTTTTCTATTGTTTCTATCTTATCTATCTTATCTATCTTATCTATCTTATCTATCTTATCTATCTTATCTATCTTATCTATCTTATCTATCTTAGCTTATCTTATCTTATCTTACCTTATCTTACCTTATCTTATATCTTATCTTATATCTTATCTTTTAGCTTATCTTATATCTTATCTTATATCTTATCTTATCTATCTTATCTATCTTATCTATCTTATCTATCTTATCTTATATCTTATCTTATATCTTCTCTTATATCTTATCTTCTATCTTATCTTATATCTTATCTTATATCTTATCTTATATCTTATCTTATATTATATCTTATATTATATCTTATATCTTTTCTTATCTTATCTGATCTTATCTTATCTTATCTATCTATCTATAGTAACTAACCAGCTAAAAGATTGTGTTTGCAGGGTATCAACGATTTGCGGGATATGCAGAGAATGGACATAGATACTGAGTATAACCAACAAGATGAACGTGTTTGCACTCAAGATCATGGATGCTATACGCAGATACGATCCAATTTGTATGTATGTGGCATTTCAAAAATGCAGAACATTGATGATAAACCATGGGATCAACTGGAAGTCCCGTTTTTGAGACTTGAGATAACCCAATTTCAAGTTGAATTCTGGTTGTTGACCCTTTCACGCCTTTGGACTAGCATCATGGGCTAGAGAGTTCCACCAATTCGGTTTCTTCAAATGGGGGAAGAAAACCTCAATAGTTAGATGGTTTATGGAAAATCCTAGAAAAAATGATGGTTTATTTATGTTTATTTCATGGAAATCCTATTATTTAATGATTATAAAATGGATGATTTGGAGGTAGCCCCATGGATTGGAAACCTCCAATTCTCGTGCTGGATCCTCCGGGATCCTCCGTGAGTCGATTTAGACGAGATCACACGTCTGAGACGAGTGAAGACTTCGTACATGGAATTGATCTATATGTTTTTACACGTGTTATATATATATGTATAATGTGTATATATATATATATATATGTATATATATATGTATATATATATATGTGTATATATATATGTGTATATATATATGTATAATATGTATAATATATATATATATACACATATCTAATATATAGTTTCTATATTTCCATGTCCACTATATCTCATTTGCCCCATTTTTCGCAGGTGAGAATGGTTCTCTACTTCATCGGATTGATCTATAGTTTCATGGGCGTCAGCATCGCTACTTGGCAGAAATTCGCCAGGGTGGTAGACTGTATACACATCCATAGACTAGATATGCAATGATATATTCTGGATATGTATTATATATATATAGATGGGGTTTTCCATAGATGTGGGGTACCCTCTGGAAAACTAACATAGCTATAGAAAATCACCAGTTTATAGCTGGGTAAATCAACTCTTTCTATGGCTAAATTTTCCATATAGCAAAGCCTTAAATTACCAGAACGTACCCGAAAGTGGATGGTTTATAACCCATAGGATCCATGTATGCTATATATGGGAACATTTACCATCAATATACCCCAAATGTTAGCATATATACCAGCACCATGGATCCTATGGGTAATGGAAACCCACACCTATTAAATGATGACAAAACAGATGGGGGGTTTCCGAGATGTCATGGGTAGCCCCCCGTGATCTGGGCTGTATCTGAAGCATGGGCGATACGAAAAAAAGTCCAAGTTTTATTAGGCAATTCTTAATTGGGAAGAAATGTGAGACACATTTTTCTTTTCCATATCAGATTCAGGCTAAAAATGTCTGTACCATTTTCGACTATCTGTTCTTTAGCTAGGTGCATGCTGTCCCCTTCCTTGTTGAGCCGCGAGCTGGGTGCCTGGATTGCCACACAAAAAGGGATGATTCTTTAAGATGGCGAACACATTTCTGGTATACGTAGGTTGAAACCACCAACCAGTTACGTATGTCATGGTATACATTTGCGGTTTTGTTGATACTACATCTGTATGCAGCTGTAGAGGTGCATTTTCCAGATTTTGGTACCCTCTGGTAATTTAACACTTTGCTATGGAAAATTGCCATTTATAGTTGATTTACCTACCAAAAATGGTGATTTTCCATAGCTATGTCAAATTACCAGAGGGTAGTCTCTCCCATGTTGTTCCAGATTGAAACCACCACCGAGATAGTGCTCATTCCTCATCTTGTCATATCCAGATCTTTGGTGATATTAGCTTCTATCTCCCCTTTTTATTCTGAGGTATAGTGTACAGTATGTGTATGTATATATATATCATAAAGTTCAATACTGAACGCCCTATTTTCCGGTGAATACGTATGTATATATATATATATCGCATATCAATCACACATCGATCACATATCAATTACAAATATGAACTCCCAAATTGATACATCACTTATTGATATGTACAACCAATGGTATCCCAGTATTTGAGATTATTTGAGTAATATATCAATGCTAATAGGTTCCTATAGATTCTAGATCACATACCCATGACGGATCCATGGTGCTATATATGGGAACATGGATCCCATCAATATACCCCAGTCATGTTAGCACTAATATACCAGCACCATGGATCCGTCATGGGATATAAATCATATACCCTCTGGTAATTTGACATAGCTATGGAAAATCACCATTTTCAATGGGTAAATCCACTATAAAAGGTCATTTTCAATAGCTATGTAACAAACTACCAGAGGGTATATCCATCAATATCCCAGTATTATCCCATCATTATCCCAGCAAATCATCCCATCATTAAACCATATCAAACCATATATTGAACCATATTAAACCATAGTTAAATTACCAGAGGGTAGCTGCGCCTTTCCCGGGTTTCCCCGGCCCAGCCGACCAGGTGGCCGATCTCTTTATGTCGGCCATTGAACGTGTCACCAGCGTGCAGCGATGCGTCCAAATCGGCACCTCCAAGAGGCGGAAGCGAAATGGAAAATCCACAAAGGAAGATTCACCATGTGAATTCACCATTTGTTTAAGGTGGGTAACTCATCATTTTTATCATCTAAAAATGATGGATAACTTATATGTACATATTGTATATATATATATGTGTGTGTTGATCATCTATGAAGCAATGGGCCATGGCAAACAGTTCGCAAAGTGTCAAAAAAAAACAACGGCTAGTTTTAGTTGATTGAGTATTTCAACGGTATTTTAGCATCCATGGCATCCAGGTTGATATATCCAGCAAGTTTCCTCAGCCAGGACTAAGTTAGCCTAGTTGTTTCAACCTACTTTTCATGGGCGAGGTTGTGATACTATCATCCAAAGCGAGATCATCCCACTTTTGGGGTAGCCTTTGACCCATACAGATACCTATATGCTGCTAACAACCTTCTTGGTTACAGCAAATCTCCTTGGTACAGTAGTGGACCGACCAAAAAAAAACGATGATCAGTATGGGAACCAGAAAAACATACAAGAAATACAAGGGTTGACATTGTAACTAGGTCGACTACGGTTTATACTTACGTAAGTTATATATATATCTATACATATCATACATATGCGCAGATATCTATAGCATTCTACATAGTAAGTTAATTAATGGGGTCTAAAAAAGCAACAAACATTTCAATGGGGGGCACCACTTGTACTGTAACATGGTCCCCAAATACCTGTCCATGTTCAGATAGTATTGCACGCAGCTGGCACCCAAGTTTGGCCAATACTATTACTGTATACCCTACGTGACATCAAACAAAGGGGACAATGAGCTTCGAATCCATCGATTTTCGGGAAGGTTTTCTCAGATCAGACGCAGAAAGCTTGGATCCCGGCAATGCGATGGTTTGCACCATGTGCCAACATCGTCAAGACGTATCAAAGATTATCAAGACGTAGGCATCATCACCCAAAATTTGGAGATATGCACAGTATACAAATGCATACAAGATTAAGTTAACAGAAGATATCACCCATGTACTATCATTGTAAATATCGAAGATAGTACAGTTAACAGTGGTCGTGGAGCACAGAATTTGCTCCGCACTTTCGCTGCACAGGTTCTGTACATCTCCAGTGCCTTGCAATGACAGAGCCGAATGCATGGGGATAGGTTACCTTCCCCAAGAATAACATGAGCAGTGGCTGCTAAACCCCAGTTGGTTGATGATTAGTTCGGGGATTTTGCTACCCAATGTATTGGGGATTATAATAATCCAATAGGGGAAATCCCTTTTTTAACCAACCAGTTATTGATGGAATGATAGAGGGATTTATTTCACACTGCTCACATAGACATAGACCCTGAAAATAGCCAAGTTGTGGTGGAAAGTGGAAAGTAATCTTCCAACACCGTGGCCGGATCTATCAAGGCTGGTGGAACACCATGATGTCTCAGAAATCACCAATGGAAGGCACTATGAATGGGTGCTACTATGTGCTACTCATGCAACAAATTCTGCCGGAAGATCCATTTTCTTTTTTTGGAAACGCTGTGTGAAAGCCAGGGTGCCCCTTGGAGACGTGCACGCCACGAGGTTTGGAACGAGACTGTGGCAACACTGACGCTGATGGCGCTAGGGCCACGAGACCTAGGGATGGTGATGGTGATGGGGCGGTCCTGTGGATGGTATGGTGGATCCGACATAAGAACAGTGGAATAAACTCACCATATGGTGGAATTATATGGAATTATGATCCATATGCTATTATGGTTTCTGAATATTCATGTTACCAGTATAAACCCCGAACCAGCAGGCACTCCCAGTTTATGACAGAAAGCGATGGTGGAAACCATTCCGAAGTGGCGATTTGAGAGATGCTTTGCCAAGCACTTTGAGAGAATTCCCCCAACATGTCTCACAAGTGTCAGCACAAGATCCTTGGTCCGAGATGGTGTCACTTCGATGATCACTACAGTTGTGTTCGTTATATACTAATGAGTTGAAGGGTCCGTAGGACCCTCAAGAAACTCCAGGACATGCATATCTTTCCCGCACTTTTTCCGTGCATAAGAAAGACACCATTCATTGCCAGTCCCACATCCAGGTCCCCACAATCTCCTGACCCAGGTCATCTGCACCAGAGATCATGCTCTCACTGAACGACATTGTGAAGCGTACCTTTGTTCAAGGCAAGCTTGGAGCGTCGACCATCGTGGCTCGCCAGAATGGCAAATGGCTGCCGAAAAGGTACGGTTTTTTCCGGGTACGAAAGATGTGAAGGAGACAGGAGGTCAAGAGCCATCTATTCATTATATTTAGGTCGACACCTATGATTTTCCATGTGAGTTGGGCCTTTTACATACCAGCTTTGCATGTGATCCATGACATATATCCCAAAGTCCGTCTTCCTTTCAATGCAAAAAAGACGAAGGTTTATACTTTATTACTACCCTATGGATCCAAACACTGTCTGAGAAGGTACAATTGATCGCCTCCAAATTATAGTAAATGATACCCCAGTCCCACTTCCTTTCAGAAGGTACAACTGGATCCATAGGGTACCAGGTTGAAGTGGGATTTTGGATGATTTTGGTATGCTACGGTGGATTTTTTTACCCACTGAGGTGGGCTCGGCAGCCTTCAACCTCTTTGTCATTGTGGCGGTGTGCATTAATGCCATCCCAGCAGGTGGAGGGGGCCACTGGAGCCGCTGCTTAAAGCTTTTTGACCTGTGATGACGGACCGTAAAGCTATCCGACCTGGAAACATTGGGTTACATCATGTTACATCTGCAGAGATTGAAGGATCTGAGATTGCTGAAGGATTCCAATCGTCACCAGCTTTGTCATAGTGAACATGGGCGAACATGGGTCTCCAGTGTCATCAGGCTTGCTAAACAGCCCCTAGAGATCCCTAGAGATGCAGTGTTTTGGCTCAGACCAGCTCCTTACGGCTGGATTTTGGAGGTCCTGGGATGTAAATGCCGATGGTTGAGATGAAAAACAAAAGCAATTGGGGATCATTGGGGTGTCTGAAATTCAGGGATATCCACAAACAGCAATTTTAAGAGGGAAATTTGTGACAATATGTAATATTCGATTTGCAGACAAAGCCATTAAGCGAAGTTTACGCAAAGGCCTCAACTTGTGGCTGACCTGTGAGTGATGATCGCAAGGAGCCCAACGAAAAATTTAGGGTAAATTTCATCACGACCTCACCGCGACCGAAACCTGGAATCATGGTGAATGTTAGGGAAATCATCCCCAAATGGCCTCAATACAGGTTAGTGAAATATTGTAATTTACCCATATGTATAATATATATATAATATAATATAATATAATATAATATAATATAATATAATATATATATATATCATTCTTGAGGTTGCTGCTGAAATGTTAGTGTTTGTTAACGTTGGGTGGGCTTGGGAGAAAACACACACATCCAGAACAATAAACCCCTATTATAGATAGGAACCTACCCACAATAATAATCAACCACTAACACAAATGCTTATATAATATATATGTATATATATATATTTGAAACCACCCACAAAATCTGCAACTCTCCTGTACCATTATGTTTCAAATCAATTTTACTTTTACAATAGCTCGATATGTTGTTGTTTGGAAACTGCCCACCAAAATCACAAATGAGGGTGTTTGAAAACAGGGTCCACTGGTAAATCATCATTTTTTCCCATAAGAATGCCCCTTTGTTTGGGGATATGCACAATTTCAGACACACCCAAAGTTTCATATGTTGTTGGTTAGTTATATCATGTTATATCCCATTAAAATCATTTAATCTCAGTAGTCATCACCATACGTATCCCATCATATAAATCTCAGTAGTCATCACCATAAATCCTTGGCGTCATCACTTGCCATATTCAGTGCCAGCGGGGCCCTTGGCTTGCCATATTGCCATGGCCGCTTCTGAGAGCGCGTTTCTCCCGGCAGCAGCCAGCGCGGCGGATGTGGAGCAGTTTCGTTCAGAAGTCGAAGCATTGGAGGCAGAGCAAAGCGAAGAAACCTGGCGACGCAGAGAAGGGACCCAGTTAGCAGTTAGCTAAGTCAGGTTCCAACTAGGCGAACTAGGATTTATATGGATTTATGGTGGATATACAAGATATACCTATAGTTGGATGGAGTTATAAACCAACTTAAAACTTGAAGGCTGCTTCCTGTGCGATTTACTCTTCAAGATCAATAAGGATCGGGATTTCATGGGGATATCATGGTGTAGATAAAACAACATGAGTCCTGGGTCCTGCGTGGATGTGTTGAACACAGACGTGCCAAGACCTGGGTAAATTGTGTGGATGACTAGATGACATGCCAAGAACTTGTTTGAAGTGGATTGATGTTGGTGACCCGTAAACGGGGAGACCTAAAGGCTTCCTTGATCGGTTTGGCAGTCGAGTTGAGACAGCAGAAACAGTTGGTACTCTTCTGGTAATTCACATTGCTGGAACATCCCACCTCCAGGAAAATGTGGGACAATCATGGACACTTAAATGGGTGATTTTTCAAGCCACCGAAAAAAAAACTCAAGGGTATTACAGTATATACAGTATATACTATATACAGTAGTAACATGTGTAAAACACAATAATTGCGAAGGTATGGAACCGGCATTGCTGGAGGTGTGGACCACAAAGCTGATGGAATCAGATGGTTTCTGAATCCGATATGACCAACAATCCTCAATCTTTTGTGATCCCAGTTCTGGAGAACTTCGCATGGACTCAGTTGAGAGACATTGCCAGAAACATCCAGGGGCTGTTCCAAATATGTTCATGATGATTTGGGGGGGACATGCTGGGCCATATTTGTTGCCAAGATCAGTGCATGGTTTTTTGATCCAAAGAACAAGGGATGGAGCAGATCCGTGGCGTCAGAAGATGAGGATTGGACAGCTGATCAACCAGTTTTCCCAGGTCCCAGAAGTTATTTTAAACAGGAATTTGCAGGGCCCCTTCTATTTTTTCAAGGGGAAATTAAAAAATGGTACAGCAATTGCCAAAAGGATGCCAAAAATACATTTGGTCACCTGGAAATTATGCGGAACATATCAACGAACCAATCAGCTGAGAGACTCGGGAATGCCAGACGGGAATGCCAACGTGGGAAACTATCAAAGTTTTATTGACTAGTTAGACTAGTTGTATTCCTTGTTGTTGGTTGATGTGTGTTTATACATTACTGCATGTTCACATTATGCTTTTATTGTTTAATCGTATGTTTATAACATATTACAGTAAATTGCATTAATGTTTTATATAATGTATATCATATTATATATATATGTGTGTGTTATATATGTTGATGACATGTCAGTTGATGTATGTTCCTATCCCCATGACACTTCATACTGTACCGAAGTGGCAGTCGCCCAGCCAGTTGGTCCAGGAAACCAAAGCGACTTATGCTCTGGCGCTGTCGAGCCTTGCCGCACGCGTCTATGATGTCACCATGTCACCACGTGTCACCGTTCTAAGATGTGGCACTTTGTGGAACCATGGAAAGAAAGCCTTAGGATTTCAAAAAAACAATAGGAAAACCATAGGAAACCATAGGGAAACCATAGGAAAACCATAGGGAAACCATAGGAAAACCATTGGAAAACCGTAGGGAAACCATAGGAAAACGATTGGAAAACCGTAGGGAAACCATAGGAAAACCATTGGAAAACCATAGGGAAACCATAGGGAAACCATTGGAAAACTAGGGAAACCATAGGAAAGACATAGGAAAACCATAGGAAAACCATAGGAAACCATAGGAAAAACCATAGGGAAACCATAGGAAAACCATTGGAAAACCGTAGGGAAACCATAGGAAAACCATTGGAAAACCATAGGGAAACCATAGGGAAACCATAGGGAAACCATAGGGAAACCATAGGGAAACCATAGGAAAACCATAGGGAAACCATAGGGAAACCATAGGAAAACAATAGGGAAACCATAGGGAAACCATAGGGAAACCATAGGAAAACCATAGGGAAACCATAGGAAAACAATAGGGAAACCATAGGAAAACCATTGGAAAACCATAGGGAAACCATAGGAAAACCATTGGAAAACCGTAGGGAAACCATAGGAAAACCATTGGAAAACCGTAGGGAAACCATAGGAAAACCATTGGAAAACCATAGGGAAACCATAGGGAAACCATAGGGAAACCATTGGAAAACCATAGGGAAACCATAGGGAAACCATAGGAAAACAATACGGAAACCATAGGGAAACCATAGGGAAACCATAGGGAAACCATTGGAAAACCATAGGGAAACCATAGGGAAACCATTGGAAAACCATTGGAAAAGCATAGGGAAACCAGAGGGAAACCATTGGAAAAGCATGGGGAAACCATAGGAAAACAATAGGGAAACCATAGGGAAACCATAGGGAAACCATAGGAAAACCATAGGGAAACCATAGGAAAACAATAGGGAAACCATAGGAAAACCATTGGAAAACCATAGGGAAACCATAGGAAAACCATTGGAAAACCATAGGGAAACCATAGGGAAACCATAGGGAAACCATTGGAAAACAATAGGGAAACCATAGGAAAACCATAGGAAAACAATAGGGAAACCATAGGGAAACCATAGGGAAACCATTGGAAAACCATTGGAAAACCATAGGGAAACCATAGGGAAACCATAGGAAAACAATAGGGAAACCATAGGGAAACCATAGGGAAACCATAGGGAAACCATTGGAAAACCATAGGGAAACCATAGGGAAACCATAGGAAAACAATAGGGAAACCATAGGGAAACCATAGGGAAACCATAGGGAAACCATAGGAAACCATAGGAAAACCATTGGAAAACCATAGGGAAACCATAGGGAAACCATAGGAACACCATTGGAAAACCATAGGGAAACCATAGGGAAACCATAGGAAAACCATTGGAAAACCATAGGGAAACCATAGGGAAACGATTGGAAAACCGTAGGGAAACCATAGGAAAACCATTGGAAAACCATAGGGAAACCATAGGAAAAACCATAGGAAAAACCATAGGAAAACCATTGGAAAACCATAGGAAAACCATAGGAAAACCATTGGAAAACCATAGGGAAACCATAGGGAAACCATAGGAAAACCATAGGAAAACCATAGGGAAACCATAGGGAAACCATAGGGAAACCATAGGGAAACCATAGGAAAACCATTGGAAAACCATAGGGAAACCATAGGGAAACCATAGGAAAACCATAGGAAAACCATAGGGAAACCATAGGGAAACCATAGGGAAACCATAGGGAAACCATAGGAAAACCATTGGAAACCATAGGGAAACCATAGGGAAACCATTGGAAAACCATAGGAAACCATAGGGAAACCATAGGATAGGGAAACCATAGGGAAACCATAGGAAAACCATTGGAAACCATAGGGAAACCATAGGGAAACCATAGGAAAACCATTGGAAAACCATAGGAAACCATAGGAAAACCAGGGAAACCATAGGGAAACCATAGGAAAACCATAGGAAAACCATAGGGAAACCATAGGGAAACCATAGGGAAACCATAGGAAAACCATAGGGAAACCATTGGAAAACCATAGGAAAACCATTGGGAAAACCATTGGAGAACCATTGGAAAACCATAGGGAAACCATAGGGAAACCATAGGGAAACCATAGGGAAACCATAGGGAAACCATAGGAAAACCATAGGGAAACCATAGGGAAACCATAGGGAAACCATAGGGAAACCATAGGGAAACCATAGGAAAACCATAGGGAAACCATAGGAAAACAATAGGGAAACCATAGGAAAACCATTGGAAAACCATAGGGAAACCATAGGAAAACCATTGGAAAACCATAGGGAAACCATAGGGAAACCATAGGGAAACCATTGGAAAACCATAGGGAAACCATTGGGAAACCATAGGAAAACAATACGGAAACCATAGGGAAACCATAGGGAAACCATAGGGAAACCATTGGAAAACCATAGGAAAACCATAGGGAAACCATAGGGAAACCATAGGGAAACCATAGGGAAACCATAGGGAAACCATTGGGAAACCATAGGGAAACCATAGGGAAACCATAGGAAAACCATAGGAAAACCATAGGAAAACCATAGGGAAACCATAGGGAAACCATAGGGAAACCATAGGGAAACCATAGGAAAACCATTGGAAAACCATAGGGAAACCATAGGGAAACCATAGGAAAACCATTGGAAAACCATAGGGAAACCATAGGGAAACCATAGGAAAACCATAGGAAAACCATGGGGAAACCATAGGGAAACCATAGGGAAACCATAGGGAAACCATTGGAAACCATAGGGAAACCATAGGGAAACCATAGGAAAACCATAGGGAAACCATAGGGAAATGATAGGGAAACCATAGGGAAACCATAGGAAAACCATTGGAAAACCATAGGGAAACCATAGGGAAACCATAGGAAAACCATAGGGAAACCATAGGAAAACCATTGGAAAACCATAGGGAAACCATAGGAAAACCATAGGAAAACCATAGGGAAACCATAGGGAAACCATAGGGAAACCTCGAAAACCAACCTGGAAAAACCCATAGGGAAACCATAGAAAGCCATAGGAAAACCATTGAAAACCAATAAGAACCATAGGGAAACCTTTGGAAAACCATAGGAAAACCATAGGGAAACCAGAGGGGGAACCCATAGGGAAACCATAGAAACCATTGGAAAACCATAGGGAAAAACCCTTAGAACCATAGAAACCCTTGGAAACCATTGGAACCATAGGAAAACCATTGGAAAACCATTGGAAAACCATAGGAAAACCATTGGAAAACCATAGGAAAACAATTGGAAAACCATTGGAAAACCATTGGAAAACCATAGGAAAACCATAGGAAAACCATAGGGAAACCATAGGAAAGCCATAGGAAAACCATTGGAAAACCATAGGAAAACCATAGGAAAACCATAGGGAAACCATAGGGAAACAATAGGGAAACCATAGGAAAACCATTGGAAAACCATTGGAAAACCATAGGGAAACCATAGGGAAACCATTGGAAAACCATAGGGAAACCATAGGGACACCATAGGAAAACCATTGGAAAACCATAGGGAAACCATAGGGAAACCATAGGAAAACCATTGGAAAACCATAGGGAAACCATAGGGAAACCATAGGGAAACCATAGGGAAACCATAGGAAAACCATAGGAAAACCATAGGAAAACCATAGGAAAACCATAGGAAAACCATAGGGAAACCATAGGAAAACCATAGGAAAACCATAGGGAAACCATAGGAAAGCCATAGGAAAACCATTGGAAAACCATAGGAAAACCATAGGAAAACCATAGGGAAACCATAGGGAAACCATAGGGAAACCATAGGAAAACCATTGGAAAACCATAGGGAAACCATAGGGAAACCATAGGAAACCATTGGAAAACCATTGGAGAACCATAGGAAAACCATTGGAAAACCATTGGAAAACCATAGGAAAACCATTGGAAAACCATAGGGAAACCATAGGAAAGCCATAGGGAAACCATTGGAAAACCATAGGAAAACCATTGGGAAAACCATTGGAGAACCATAGGGAAACCATTGGAAAACCATAGGAAAACCATAGGAAAACCATAGGAAAACCATAGGGAAACCATTGGAAAACCATAGGATAACCATTGGGAAAACCATTGGAGAACCATAGGGAAACCATTGGAAAACCATAGGAAAACCATAGGAAAACCATAGGAAAACCATAGGGAAACCATTGGAAAACCATAGGAAAACCATTGGGAAAACCATTGGAGAACCATAGGGAAACCATAGGAAAACCATAGGGAAACCATTGGAAAACCATAGGAAAACCATTGGGAAAACCATTGGAGAACCATAGGGAAACCATTGGAAAACCATAGGAAAACCATTGGAAAACCATTGGAGAACCATAGGAAAACCATAGGGAATCCATAGGGAAACCATAGGAAAACCATAGGGAAACCATTGGAAAACCATAGGAAAACCATTGGGAAAACCATTGGAGAACCATAGGGAAACCATTGGAAAACCATAGGAAAACCATAGGAAAACCATAGGAAAACCATTGGAAAAGCATGGGGAAACCATAGGAAAACCATTGGGAAAACCATTGGAGAACCATAGGGAAACCATAGGAAAACCATAGGGAAACCATAGGAAAACCATAGGAAAACCATTGGGAAAACCATTGGAGAACCATAGGGAAACCATTGGAAAACCATAGGAAAACCATAGGAAAACCATAGGAAAACCATAGGGAAACCATTGGAAAACCATAGGAAAACCATAGGGAAATCATAGGGAAACCATTGGAAAACTAGGGAAACCATAGGAAAGCCGAGAAAAGGAGGAAAACCATTGTAACCATGGAAAACCATAGAACCATAGGAAACCATAGGAAAACCATAGGAAACCATAGGGAAACCATTGGGAAAACCATTGGAAACCATAGGGAAACCATTGGAAAACCATAGGAAAACCATAGGAAAACCATAGGGAAACCATTGGAAAACCATAGGAAAACCATTGGGAAAACCATTGGAGAACCATAGGGAAACCATTGGAAAACCATAGGAAAACCATAGGAAAACCATAGGAAAACCATAGGGAAACCATAGGAAAGCCATAGGAAAACCATTGGAAAACCATAGGAAAACCATAGGAAAACCATAGGGAAACCATAGGGAAACCATAGGGAAACCATAGGAAAACCATTGGAAAACCATAGGGAAACCATAGGGAAACCATAGGGAAACCATAGGAAAACCATTGGAAAACCATAGGGAAACCATAGGGAAACCATAGGAAACCATTGGAAAACCATTGGAGAACCATAGGGAAACCATTGGAAAACCATAGGAAAACCATAGGAAAACCATAGGAAAACCATAGGAAAACCATAGGAAAACCATAGGAAAACCATAGGAAAACTATAGGAAACCATTGGAAAACCATAGGAAAACCATAGGGAAACCATAGGAAAACCATAGGAAAACCATAGGGAAACCATAGGAAACCATTGGAAAACCATTGGAGAACCATAGGAAAACCATTGGAAAACCATTGGAAAACCATAGGAAAACCATAGGAAAACCATAGGAAAACCATAGGAAACCATTGGAAAACCATTGGAGAACCATAGGAAAACCATTGGAAAACCATTGGAAAACCATAGGAAAACCATAGGAAAACCATAGGAAAACCATAGGGAAACCATTGGTCAATCAGCACTTGATGCCAGATCCAAATGAATAGATCCAGGTCATCCACGACAAATCAGGCGATGTCTGCGTCCCAAGTCGGCTATAAGTCGTGGCAATTTCGCAACCCCCTTTTTGTTTGCTGAAATATCCAAGCCGGAACCCCTTGAATTTTTGATGCGTAAACTTGCATGGTTTGGTTGAAATAGATCCCATCATTTGTGTCTGATCCAAGAGTCATAGGGAGTTTTGACCCCCGGTCAATCCGCAAGATTTCGTTTTTGGAGGGCAAGAGTTCGGGGCGTTTTGCGATTTAAGTGGCCGCAACCAATCCGATCAATTATAGTATATTATAGTAATAACATGTAAGAACTGAATCCAAAAAGTATCCAATAGTAATAACTATTAAGTCAAAACAATAAGTATTACCCTCTGGTAATTTGTTACATAGCTATTGAAAATGGCCCATTTATAGATTATTTACCCATTAAACATGGTGATTTTCCAGTTCGCAAACTGTTAGTTTACCAGAGAGTAAGTCAAAGATTCGTGACCGGGGCCCGCAGTTTTCAACAAAGGAACCTGGCAGCTGCACTTGGTGCCTCCGGCGATGAAGAGGAGGCAATGGAGGCAGCATCCGAAAACAGGGATCTGAGTTAAGAATGGTGGGGATTCAACGGTATAGCTCGGTATAGCAAATGGATATGTTAACCACCAAACATTCGGGTCATCAAATGTTAGGAAACACAGTTGGGTCACAACCAGATTAACGGTTTGGGTTTATGGTGGATGATTTCTAGGGTGTAGTTCCTTGGGTGAACATTTTCAGACACAACAATCTCTAACTGGGGGAAATCACTCAACATATGCCAAGATAGGAGTTTTTTTTTTCTTTTTTTTTTGACGAATGATAATATCCCGTGATGACCCAAACATCGACTTGTGGGAACTCATACTCTCAGCATTTCTCAGCTATTTCTCAGCCATTGAACTTTTTGGAGATGGAGGTGAATCCATGTGAATCCTGGAATATGGGTAGCCCAAACCCTTGGTTTTCCCATTTGGGTATGGATCAATACCTATGAAAATACCATTTTTAGGGGAATGAACATCCATTTACCAGCTATTTTGATGTTCACCAGGGGTACAAGGTTTTGACACACTGCCATTTATAATAAGCACTTTTGGATGATTTGGGGCTACCCCCATTATCAATCCCTGGCCCAAGGGCTCCGTAGCCGAAACATCGTTCTCCGAGGTTTACTTCAGGGCCAAGACAGCCCATGAAGATGCCGAAAGCGGCTGGGCCACCATGGAAGGTCATCATTTTCGAATTGGGAGGGAGATGTAAATGTTACCCGGCCTGGTAAACTAACAGTTTGCTACTGAAAATGGCCATTTATAGTGGATTTACCCATTAAAAATGGTGATTTTCCATAGTTATGTTAGTTTACCAGAAGGTATATTTCCTGGTTGGTGGTTTGGAACATGAATTTTATGACTTTCCATGTATTGGGAATAATCATCCCAACTGACGAAGTCATATTTTTCAGAGGGGTAGGTCAACCACCAACCAGTCTCAATTGTAGAATGGAGAGTTTTATTTTTTTGAGTCTTCAGTAAGAACATTCATGATTGTATCCTCATTGTATATTTCAAGGTTATATACAGAATTGGAGAACGGAGATGTTATCATCATCGGATTGTTTGGTTTAAGGGAACATCCACATGGATTCCCGGATAAAGCTACAGGGTTTCCTGTGATTCTCTTCATCAAATTCAGGGATAGACCAAGTAGCCCCCAATACAGTGCAGGGACTGAGAATGCTGGCTGATGTCAATACTCGCATGGATCAACCGGCATAAGGCACATCTCAATGGCCATTTCAGGAACCTAAATTGGAGGTACCTACCATATACTGTATAAGGCCTAAATTTCAGGGAATATCCCCACAAAATATGGCCCAACATTTTTATATGGACACATATGATAAACCACGGGTTTTTTCAGGGCACCACTTTTTCAGACCCGGACAAACCCATCAATGTTGCATTGTTGGGCTACTTCTTTCTTCTGAAGCGTTGGAGTTAGTTTTTTTTTAATCCGAATCATTTCAGGAAACTAGCATAGATATGAGTTATGATGAAGTATGGAAAATCTTCCACTTGAATGGATTTCTTAGGGAAATCCCATGGTATTTCCATCACTTTTCTCCGAGCAGCTTTCAGGAAACCACCTCATCCGCCTCCAAGGTACTTCAACTCCTTCCTATGCAGATGTGGCCATGAATATTGGTGACCATTTGAATCTCGGAGAAAACGAACTAACCATACTGTTGGCTTATTGGGCCAGCGAAATCACCAGTGGATAGGTGCTTTATCCGTTTATCCCATGATTTTGGAAACGGCTTTCAACCATCCATGGTGCAGGATTTCGCTGGCCCATCCACCGTAATTCCAGCTGGCGAGCTGTAAGATGTCATAAAGAGTTCGATGCTTTCCCCATGGAATTTTCAGGATTTTCCATTGCCATCACCGGAGAGGAAAGCTAGGTCACAAGCTGGCGCCAAATCCAGATATTTACCCATAGCATATGATGTATACAAAAAATATTGTTCATAGAGACATAATATGGAGATTCAGACAAGAAGAGATAGATGCAGTAGATGATACCTGGACCTTTTTCTCTATTCTCAGTACATCATTCGTGGCCCCTGGCTGTAGGAACGAGCTGGGGAAGGTGGAAGAGGCCAAAGAGCTCTTCTGCAAAGCGAAAGAGGCACCGGTTTCTCCCAAAATTCCAGAATTGGACGATGGGGAACATTGGAAATCATATGGAAATCCCTAAAGTTGGGGATAAACAAATGATCAAAAAACACAATTGTTCATCATTTTTCTCTTGAATTTGGGATAAAACCCATGATTTTCCCAGGGATTTTCTCTTGAAGCAATCCGTTATGACCTCCCTAGTGGATCTATGCTGAAGATGAAGAAGCCTCAATGGCTGTGATTCAAGCAGCGTCTCGATTGGGCAATTTTTTTTTTCGCCCAAGAATTTATGGGATTTTCGTTGTGGGATATTTTTTGGGGGTCAACCAGCCCCCCAAGTAAACATAAGTAAAGCCCCAATAGTTTGAATGGCTTATGAAGGGTGAATCTTAACCCACAACAAACGAGAACAAGTCAACTGGAATTAGCCATCGATCATACCTATAGAGTAAAGTCCAATGCTCATACATCGATGATGAGTTAATCAATGATCTATTCATTGTCATGATAATCGATTCGAGAATACAGTATTAAATCATATTAAATCATTGATTATCAGAGACTAGGAGTTATCATAGATGGGGATAATCATAAGGCAGGTGATGACTGGAACATGTGCATCTTCAACGACCTCATCGGCGCTAGCATGGTGGTTCTTGCTCCTATCTCCATGCTGAGATGATAGGGTTTTTCGCCGGGGGGACGAGAAGAATGAACAAATCAAGACATGGCGAAACGACAGAGAAGCGAACTGGCAAAGTCTCTGAGACGCAGCGATGTTTGATGATACGTCCAGCATTTGTGATTTCGAATGGTCGCCATGTTTTTTGTTTCGCAGGTCTATCTGGCACAAGGCTGGGAGAGGACTTTGCATCTCTGCTGCACTTTGTGGATCTGTGGTGTACGTGGGATGGGTGTAAAAGGTGCGATGTCAGAGACTTGAACAGACCAACTGTGGGTCGCGGGTCCGGTTGTTTGGACGACATTTCTGGTTGCCAAATGGAGGTTTCCAATCCATGGTAGCCCCAAATCATCCATTTTTCGAGCGATTTTCCCATGGAAATTCACCATCCAGCGATCAAGGGGTAGCTACATGACTTAGGAAACCTATGGAAACCTCCAAATGATCAACCAACGTCCAGGAATTTTGCCGTACTTCTTCACAACCTCGGCCTGTGCCAGCTGAAACAAGGCCGGTTTAGCTCCACGCACTTGGAGCTGAGACATGGGGACCATGGGGACCCAACGTCTCTTCTTTTTTTTGGTTTCTGGAAATGGGGGATCCCAAAAAACCTCAAAAAACCCATTGGTTTCAATACTAAGACTAGGTCTGACTGGGATGATGGTATCCGGGGTATCCCCAGGACTGAGGAAACCTCCATTTAAGGGTTGGTTCAATCCACACGAATTGGTTGCTTCAGCCCACGATTTGGTTGCGTTCCCATGCCGTTTGATGAAAGGTTCAAAATATACAAAGTCTGATTTGCGACTTGTGTCTCTGTCCTTGGGAATTTCATCACAGAATTTCATGACACCCGAAAAAGTGTTGCTTGAGTTCTGCTTGGTTGGTAAAATATCAATCCCAGTCTTCACAAGCTTCAACAAGTTCGTAAAGGTCAAATTTCCAACGCCATTTTTGCTCGGTTCAATCCTCAGTCCCCAACCGGGCAAGCTTGGCACAGGTCAACGGAGGGAGGCGCAAGAGACTTTCCAGGAAGCGCTGAGCGCGTACGAGAAGGTGGGTTTGATTAAAAAGTCCCATCACCATCCCTCCATTGTAATCCTCAAGAGAGGAAAAAAACATGAACATCACTATTTTAGTGGGATTTTCCATGATTTTCCTTTTCCTCGTATTTTTTTGGAAGACTATAATATTAAACAACCCAACCAGATCCAACCAGTATTATTAAATGCTTGCCAATCATACTATGATAATGTGCAAATCCTCTACATCCACCATGATTAAACAACGGGGTGTTTGATATTGGGGGCAAGGGATTATTTGATTGAAAGACCAACACAAAAATGCTGGAGCTGTTTGACCAGAGATTGGCGGCTTAACCAACATCGCGGTTGAAGTGGCGATGGTTTTTGACCACCGACTGGGGAGTTTGGACAACGAATTCGGTCGTCCAAACAACAGGAAACCTTAAAATATTCATGACATTTTCTATGACATGAGGATAGTTAGCCTTCAACAGAAGTAGCAAAACAACGTGATGCAAAACAACTCAAAGCGGCCAAGCGGCCCATGGTACTTGGATACTCTGGTGCGAAGATTTGGAAACGCCCAAGTTGGTTGCCAGATCAGCCAATGGGATTGTCTTGAAATTTGGTCCCCATTCAAAATCCCATGGTATTGATCATCACGTTCCTTAGCTTGGGGTACATTGATGGGTTAATTTTCTATCTGTAACGAATCCCACTTTAGATGGTTAAATCATGTCAAATCTAAGCAAAGAATCACCTGAAATTTCCACCTCATTCTTGAGGCAAAAACTCCATGAATGTGGTTTTCACCCATTTTCTCTAGGCTAAAACCACAATATTTGGGGATGGTCGTAATACAACCAAACCCATACTACCCATTGATTGGATGATAAATTGGGGATGGTTGATGGCATTGTTTTTTTTTACGGTGGATGAGTTCCGCCTTTTTGGAGGTGGTCTTGGGCGAAGAGTCCCCGCAGTATGCTGAGCTCCTCGAGGATTTCTGGTCATTTCGGTGGATTTCATGGGGCGATTTACCCTGTCAACATCCAAAAAGATGTGGACAAAAACCATTTGTAGATCATTTTCCTGCAAAAAAGCATGTTTTTTTTCCCCACATGTTGTTTTTTTTTACCATCAAGACATAGGCAATTTACTGAGACGCATGAGGATTTAAGCCACAAAACGATTTGGGGATTGATGATTGATACAATTGATACATGGGGATTTGACAACCAAAACAAGATCAAAGAACCATTGGATTTTACATCATACTCTCTGGTTATGTCAAAAAAGCTATTGAAAATGGCCCATAGAAATAGTTGATTTACCGAACTAAAAGCTGGTGATGTTCCAGTTCGCAAACTGTTAGTTTACCAGAGGGTAAACATGTGGATATCACATGAATAGCCCAGGATCATCATCAAGGACCTGGCCGCCATTCCCAGGACATGCGCCGCGCCGGCATGAGCGACCCCAGCCTGGCGCTCACCGTCGAACCGTAGAACAGCGACGCAATGCGCGGTTGGAAAATGGAACGGAAAGTGTCGAAAGCATCCAGCCGTTGGGATAGGGCGAGTTTTTTTTCTTTTTTTCGGAGTAGTTATGATGGGGATATGACAGTTAATGAGATTTATATAAGATTTACCCTCTGGTAAACTACCGTAACTATGGAAAATCACCATTTTTAGTGGGAAAACTCACTATAAATGGCCATTTTCAGTAGCTAGGTTAAATTACCAGAGGGTATCATGAAATGTGCCATGCGATTTGTTCACTGAGCTTTTAAAAACCCGCTAGTCTACCATCTACCATCTGGTTCTGACTAACACTTTGCCATGGAAAATCACCATGCTATTAATAGGTAAACCATCGAACTAAATGGGCTATTTTCCATGGCTATGTTAAATAACCAGAGGGTGACTAGCTTAATAAGGATCCGCTAATTGCATGGCGACAGACCCAGAATGGGTCCCTTGGTCAAGCTTTAGTTTGGGCAGGTGAGAGCAGACAAATCAAACAGCGGGGTGTCTATGCCATCACTGCTTTGTTCTCCATCTTTGCGCAACTTGGAGCAATGTTGGTACCATGGAATTTTCCGTACTCGGAGGAGACAAGGGGTCGGTCGGGACTTTTGAAGCACATTTTCTGGCTGTCATACCCCTGCATGGTATGATCGAGTCCAAACCCATAGGATCCATGTATGGTAACATTTACCATCAATATATCCCCAATGTTAGTATATATACCATACATGGATCCGTCATGGGAAATAAAAGAGATGGTTGAAATGTGATTGTTGTGGGCTGAACACCCGGAATCAAACATGGCAATATTATATCCATTTGGCAATGAGCTTGCAAAGGATCCACAGCTTGACACAGAGTTTCATGGATTTCCCCAGAAATCTATACGTGGTATATCCCAGATACCCTCCGGTCATCAAACGTGGCATGCTTTCACAAGACCGTATTTAGTTCCATGATTTCCAACGCTATGTAGCTGGCTCCACTTGCTTAGTTCGTAGATTTCCCAGCTTGCCACGTTTTCAATAAAACCATCGCAAAACAAGACATGCCATTTTTCAATTGCCACTATATAAAACCCATTTTCAATTTTGATGGTTTAATCCAATTTTTGATGCTTAATTCACCATGAAGTCAACATTACCGGAGGGCAATCCATAGGTCATCTTTATTTTCTGTGAAGGTATGTCTGGCTGCTTTTCATTGTCGCTTTCATCTCCAAGGATGAGATCCTTGGTGTTTGTGTTTTTTTTGGCGCGTTGCGTGGGAAACAGCAGGAAGTGGTGGAATGAAATTGAATGAGAAAATGGGCAGTTGGCCAGTTTAATTTGAGATGTACTGGCGGTTTGGAATGAACTCGAAACAAATCGGGGCATTTGACCAACACAAGAAGAGGCTTTGACCAACATAAAATGGGAAGCTTATATAAAACAGGCAACTACCATGTCAACTTATTGGTGGGAAAACCCTGACAAGGGCTGGCTTTGGAGCATGATTTTCCCGTGAAACGTAGCAGGGGCACCTGTTGAACCAGCGCCAACAACTAACGAAGAACTAACACATGGCACCAAACCGGCCCCGTCCTTTACCCATTGGAGAGATTACCAGTGATGATTGGACCTCCTTCTTTACCCAATGTCCAATGTCCCTGATATTCATAGGGCCAGTCTGCCAGTCCCCTTCGATGAACTTTTGTCCCGTTCAACTTGCCATAAGTTGGGGAAATTTTCCCAGGCTTTCAGCCCAGATGTTCCGTTAAAAATGGGCCACGGGTCCAGTCCTAGATGTATAGCGATTATATTTTCAATCATTGTACTTACGTAATAACAAGCCACAAAAAGCTTCAGGAAAGCTTCAATTTACAAGAAATGAGTTAGTTCCTCGGAACCTCTAAGTGCCGACGTTGACCCTGTGAAGCAGCGTTATACCCTTGATGTTGGGAAGTATCATACTCCATTAGATGGAATCCCGCATAAAGCAACACCCTTCCGTGTCATCAAAGGTGGCAGTTCCTGGAACATCCTCCAACAATCTCCGGCAGTTTGAATTGTTTTTCCCAGCTATACATGTTCATTTTGTTCGGGAACTCGTTGTATACCCATGATATCTGTGTAAATTTCATCGCGACCTCACTGCGACCTCACTATAATCATAGTTAGTAGGGGAAATGATCCCCAAATGGCCTTAATTCAGGTTAGTGAAATATAATAATTTAGCAAGATGATATCCACATTTAAAAAAGTTCGGTTCTATCCTGTGAAATCCACGTGTTGGGTGGGGTTTGAAGATGTCTTTGAGACGGTAAGGATTGAACTCTGGGAAGGAGCTGTCACCTTTCTGTACTTCCCAGTCTTTGTACCTTGGTGCTGCAAAGACTTGGCTATTCTCGGTGGCAAGTGGGAGCCGGGTAGCCATAAAGAATAGCCACTTCACAATGAGTACCCCCTGGTAAATAAACATAGACCCTGAAAATCACCCATTTTTAATGGAAGCTAATCTTCCAACCTCTATCTGGCAGGGTCTATGTTAATTCACTGGAGGGTAAGTCATGGTTTGGAAAGAAATATTGGGATGTGATCATTTGACTTCAACCACCGCAGTAATAATTGATAAATAATGGCGGATCGATAATTGTAGGGGGTTATTGACCCACCTGGTTGGGACTGATTATAACCCCTATTCACCAAGCAGTATGGGATAGCGATACTTTTTCATGGCTCTTCCATGGGTTCGTCCGCACATGGCTACCCGAAACGGTCATTTGAACAGGGAAACTGGAGAACCCATTTTCGAGTTTGGCGTGGCCTCTTGAGGGACCTTTTGACATTGGTAAAGCCAATACTAAACCATCCCCAATATTCTGGTTGGTGCTTTGGAACATGTTTTATTTTCCCCAGTTGGGATCATAATCCGATCTGACGAACTCATATTTTTCAGGGGGATAGGTCAACCATGGTCAACCACCAATATCACCATGGAGATGATATTCACCAGCCCCAATCAGGCTAGGTTTTTGATTGGGTTTCCCGCATGCTTGGAGGGTTTTTTTGGGTAAGTTGCCACCTGGCCCAGGGAGGGCACCTGGGCACCCGGGCGATGAAACACTGAGGTCACTGTATGCTATTTGGCCGATATCGGCGTAGCTTGGCGATTTTGTGTAGAATGGGGAAATAACCAATGGGTACCCTCTGGTTATGTCAAAATAGCTATTGAAAATGGCCATTAATAGTGGATTTTCCCATTGAAAATTGTGATTTTCCATAGTTATGTTAGTTTACCGGAGGGTAAACGGGAATATCATGGGAATATCATGGGAACATCACATCATTGAACTAAATGGGCAATGGGGATTTCTTATCGGATAGATAAGCAACACTATGATGATACAAAAGGGGGGTGAACCAGCCCCAGGTAACCTTCCAATAATCTTGGGGTTTATGGGGTGAAACCTAAACGCCAACAACCACAGGTGCTGACAATCGACAACCTCAAGACCAAATGTTGTCCAAAGAGTTTCTTGGAAGCACAGATATGGAGGTTTCCATAGGTTCCCATTTTTTCATGGGGCTACCCCCAAATGTTGTCCAAGTCATTAAACCTCGTATTGAAACCTATGGAGATTCTTTCATGGGACCATCCATTTTTCAGAGGAAACGCCCAGATGAACACCTCTGGAGAAAAAAAATGTGGGTGGATGAACATCTAATTGCCAGCTTAGAGTGAACAGAAGGGAACTTGTACCAGAGTTTTGATCCATGGAACATCATGGAACTACAGCAAGATGTCCAACGTTTCTATGTGGACCTTGCTGTACCTACAGCAAGTAGTGTTGTGTTGTGTTGTTTTTCCAGATTTTTGGGCTTTCCATTTGACGCGACATCATGGCTTGGAAGCACTTGATGACTAAATTTGGAGAGGGAATAGATAGGGGGGTACGTACAACATGCTGAGTTGCTTGGGGATGCAATAGTGGATAGTTCACCAATGATGGATATAGAAACAAATCACACGGACAGCTGGTTGAAATCTTCGACATCTCCGTCCCAGCAGGGACGGTGATTGACCTAACTGAACTAACTAGTGCTCCGACCAGCTGGGTTGAAGTCGCCGACCAGTTAAGCAGTTTTGTGATTTTGGAGCCAACTGTGGGACTCGCAGTTGGGATTCTGCTTCCCCATAATGTCACTAACATTTTTTTTGGATCGAGCAAACCCCAAATCTCTGGGAACACTAAAAAAAATCCAAGATGTTTTGCACAATTTAGCAAAGTGAAAAGGCTATGCTATGCGTCTGAAATATTTAATTTCAATCCTGCAGGCGGCATGCATTGTCACAGTCCGAATGATGGAATCAATCCTATATAAGTCAAACATACAAATATATTACAAATATATGCATACGTCGACCGTATATGTATGAGAATATATATATATACACATGATTGTCGATCTAAAGGTCCATGTAGAGATTGTCCATTACAAAGGCCACCAGGGTTCCAACATGAGACCGCAAAAGTTTTTCCTGAGTTCGCGAAAGTATTTTTTGGGCGAAAGATTTGGCGACATATTTTAACATGAGACCCCCGCGAAAGACAAACGTGGGGTTCGCGAAAGATTCGCGAACGTATTTTTTTCATTCGCGAAGAATTGCCGTTTGCAGATAAAGGAATTTAGATCAACCGCCATAGATATAGAAGATAAACCAAATTGAAGTTAAACTTATATGTATTTATATTTGACATACATCTATAAAAAATAGAACCCTCTATTAATCCGCACATATTCTTATCTGGTTGGTAGTTTGGAACATGTTTTATTTTTCCATCTATTGGGAATAGTAACACCAACTGACTAATATTTGTTCAGAGGGGTAGGTCAACCACCAACCAGTCATAATTAACCAATGATTAACCATCATTAACCAGTATTAACCATCATTAACCACTATTAACCACTATTAACCACTATTAACCATAGGGATAGGTCAACCACCAACCAGTTAATACTTGGCGAACGTCGGACTCCTCCCACCAGGATTTGATGAAGAAGCCGACACCGGTCCCAAGACATGGCTGGAGAAGTTTAAGGCGGGGCTCAGACCAAGATGGAAAATGGCTGCTAGATGTTTGCTAAATGGCTGCTAAATGTTTGCTAGAGTATGAACAGGGGTTGGTAACTGTCCCATTTTGGGAATATTGGACATCACCTTATAGTAGCCATTATAGACCATATACCTAATGGTTGGGTGATGTTCAATGGAGACATTTAATGACCCATGATGAATAGTTGAAGATATTTGAACAAGGAATGTTTGAAACCTTTCGAAAGCAAGGACATAGTCGTCCCAAATTTCTCAAGATGCTTTGCATCGCTTCAGGGGTTTTCTCTCGAAATCATGGTTCCAGGGTCCACTTGTCAAAAGCCAGCCATGACTAGGGGTATTCTCCACTAGACACACCCATTTCCGCCATTGTTTTCAGGTGGAAAACTTCAAAGAAGAGGCGAGATGTGGAAGCCACCAGGGGGTTACGCATCCCCCCAAAAAAACAGCATTCGATGATGAGTTCGGGAATGATTATATGCTCAAAACTACCCAATAGATAGGGATTATACTGATTATAATGCTGAAAAATGATCCATTTTTTCGGGATTATAATGATCAATATATGGGGATTAGAATGATCATGATCCAATTTTTGGGGATTATACTAACTGCCTGGAGGATCATCCCAGCCTCTAGTAAACTAATGGAAAACCACTGGAAAACCACTGGAAAACCATAGGAAAACCATAGGAAAATGGAGGTTTAATGGGTTTACTATGGTTTAACATGGTTTAATGATGGGATGAGTTGCTGGGATGATGGGATAAGACTGGGATATTGATGGATATACCCTCTCGTAATTTGTTGCATAGCTATTGAACATGGCTAGAAATAGTTGATTTAGCCATGAATAGCATGGTGGATCTTTCCAGTTCGTTATGTAACAGTTTACCAGAGGGTAGATACATTTAGTAACTTAAGTTAGTACAATGAATGTGCTGAAAAACAATCCCCAGTAAATCAATGGGAGATCTTCAGGATCCAATTCATGGAGCTACTTAACCGTACCATAATATAAATTGGGCCATATGAATTGCGGGTATTTTGCCGGTATATCCCCTATTATCCCCTTACATAGCCCTAAAACAATAGGCCAAAAATAGATGGCATTGGTACCTCCAATGGTTCTCGCTTCCTGCATGGCCATTCACTAATGTATCCGAATGCAACGAGGCAGTGACCAATATATCCATAGTTATAGAAAAACATACTCTGACGTCATCATGGAATCATTACTATTATATATGATATTCAGATTTTATTCTTATTTAGTATTGTTATTAGTATTTGTCTTTGCATTTTTCAATATATGCCCCTTAAATCCCCTTAATATGTATCTTTCTACTCTCTCTCTCTCTATATATATATATATACGCGCAACGCCTGGGTTTTGCCCAGGCGTTGCAGCGTAGAGGTTTCCCATTCACAAACAAATGATGTTGCAAATTACCGTAATTCCTATGGGGAAAATAACAAAGGTACTAGGGACTATTAAACAAACAAGGTGAAAACACCCGAAATTCCTATGGGAAAAACAAAAACGGCATAACATTTGAAATTCCTATGCGAAAAACAACAAAGGTACTAGGAAATTTTAAACTCTCAAATCGTGAAACTTAACATTCAATTAGGAAGATCAACAAAGATATTAGGGAATATGAAACTCCCAACCCCGTTAAACCTTAAATTCCTATGGGGAAAACAACAAAGGTACTAGGGACTAAATTCAAAAAAAATGTCAAAACACCCGAAATTCCTATGGGAAAAACAAAAACGGTATTAGGGAATATTAAACTCCCACCCCCGTTAAACTTCTACATTCATTGAAGATCTCCGATAAGGGTTTAATTCTCCCACCCCCGTTAAACTTCTACATTCATTGAAGATCTTCGATGAGGGTTTAATTCTCCCACCCTCGTTAAACTTCTACATTCATTGAAGATCTTCGATGAGGGTTTAATTCTCCCACCCCCGTTGAACTTCTACATTCATTGAAGATCTTCAATAAGGGTTTAATTCTCCCACCCCCGTTAAACTTCTACATTCATTGAAGATCTCCGATAAGGGTTTAATTCTCCCACCCCCGTTAAACTTCTACATTCATTGAAGATCTTCAATAAGGGTTTAATTCTCCCACCCCCGTTAAACTTCTACATTCATTGAAGATCGTCAATAAGGGTTTGATGATGTTGATGATGATGATGATGATGATGAGTATGTTGATGAACATGATGTTGATGATGATGATGATGATGATGCGTCTCCCGTCGTCATTGCGGGTCCGGGCAAAACCCAGGCATTTGCCGTATATATATATATATATATATATATCTAGAGTAATGTCAAGCCCGGACTAATAAACCATGGTTTATAGGGGGGTACTCCTCCGTCATTTCATCACTTTTTTATGGTAGCCTCCGTTTTTTCACCGCCGGTAGCCCGGTGTTTTTGAATCCAGGGTTGACATGACCGTAGTGACACATGGTTTCAACGGAGGACTTGGACCCTGAAGAGAAGAGACGGAGAGAAGAGGAGGACAAGAAGCGCGAGGCAGCGAGGTTAGCCAAGGACTGGGGCCTGGGAAGACCTGGAAACGTAGGGAAATGGTTGGATGGTTGGGGAAATTGGGTTTTTGGATGTGTTTGATATGTTGTGGCAGATGATGTGAGTTCATGTGAGTTCATGTGAGTTCTTCTTTTGATGATTGGAGGTATTTAAGGTAAATGTATAGTGTTACATATAGCAGCATAGCACTGATGCGAAAGATGTGAGTCTTACTGCTCAGCAAAAAAAGGGCAGCGAGGCAGAGGAACCAGCATCTGCCTGTCTTTGTCAGCTGTTGGTCAGTCTCGTTACTCCTAACGGTTATCTAACGTCCAATGAGCAGTGGTCAAAAGCCTCGATTATGGTTCCTACTTTGGGTTCCCCTCTGGCATAAGATTTATCATAGCTGTGGAAACTCACCATATTAAATAGATAAATATGGTTAAATCATCTATGAGTGTGTCATTATTCATAGCTTTGTCAAATGACTGGTTCCTAAGTTTTTTTTGGTTTCAACCTGACATTCAAGATGGTGTTGAAGTACAGAGCATGAATCATGAAGCAGTGGAACCACGGACTCGCCCACATGGCTTGATATAGCTGAAAAGCCACTTAAAATCCCACACAGATTCCATGTCATTTATAATCATTCTATTTTTATCGGGATGTGTTAATGAATATAGCCTGTGTATATACCATTCTGACTACCCTAGTTTTCGACAACGCTTAAATCTTCGGTGATATTCCATCAATATCCATGACAGTTTTATTGCTTACATTATATACATTGATTGTGCAGAAGTTGTATCCCCCTAATATCCCATGATATCTCCATAACATTGCCGTAATATCCGTTTTTTCCTTCCCCATTTGCAGACAAACTTATATCTTGTTGCTCATATCCCAATAACAACCATCAATAACATCCCAGATCTACATAACATGGTGGGTTTTCAATGCCCTCTTTAAATCCCAATGTTTATGGCTAGATTTCATATATATGGACTAAAATCACATTAAACTCACATGTCTATTCCATTCCACTATATCCTGTTACATCCAACATTGGTACTTGTAGGTTGTATTCCCATTTCCATATACTGCATTATCCCATGATGTCCAATGACATATCAGCATATTTTGTTGATAAAAAACACTCCCAATGATGGTCAGAAAATCGGGGTATCCCCCCACTGTTAGATGGGTTCATAATCCATATTTTTCATTATTTTTCCTATCAACTTGCCATTTCATGGGTATACACAGCCATGTTTTATTCATTGGAAGGTGGGCTTGGACCATGGCGGAAAGCCATGGCTTTCCATGGTCACAAGTGGTGGCGGATCTTTTGTGGCAACTTACAAGATGGTTTATGTTCACACCATGAAACAGTTAGGTATATCTACAATAGACCATCGTTGAGTGTTGGTTGTTTCAGCCAACTTAGCTATTTGTTGTAGGCCCCCCTTTCTGTGATGGTGAAATCCCTTTTTCATATCCATGATATCCCCATCATAGCACCATTTTTGATGGTTCAATCCCGAATTTATGATGGCTATAACACCAATTTCACCACTAAATCATCATTAAATCACCATTTAATGATAGCAAAATGGTTGTAACCATCATTACAACCATCATTCCAACCATCAACGATCATTACAACCACCATGAAAGCCATTATTATAAACGATGTAGATGTAGCCATTGCGGCTATCATGAAGATATCATCTGGAAATCAAACGCGGCAATGGATTGTCCTCAATTTATAGATGATTTGCCAGCCAAGTTTGATGACACCGAGGGTAATCATAAAGGATATACTCATATATAATCATAAAGATTAACCATCAATAACCATTAAACCATTATATAGAACTATCATTGTAACCACCATGTTTTTACCATCATTAAAAACCATTCTTGTAAACTATGATGTAGAAACAAGATAACCATTAAAGCCATGAACAAACCAGGAGAAAAACAATTCAAAACCATTATCTCCATCATTCAGATAACATACCCTCTGGTAAACTGTTCCATAACTGTGGAAGCCATGGCCGTAGAAATAATTGATTTACCCAGTAATAGCATGGTGATTTTCCAGTTCGTTATGTAACAGTTTACCAGAGAAATAATTGATTTATCCATACACAATGGTGACTTTCCATAGTTATGCAACAGTTTACCAGATGGTATATCCCATTAATATCCCATTGAATCACTATAAAGTCCCATTAAATCATGATTTTCAGAGTAGGTCAACCACCAACCACCACCAACCACCAACCAGGAACGGGAGCTGGGCATCAACCGACCAGGGGAGACCCTGACCCGAAAGCAGCGCTGCCTACGACGTTGCTGTCGCCGTCGGCCGCCACCCCAAGCGGAGGCGGCGACAACGGGGGCTACCACCCGGGGCCCGGGGAAGCTACGAGGTACTTGGGAGATGTCACAACGAATGTGGGGAAAACAAGGTCATACTCCAGCCATGACATGACTGGGAATTGTAGAAATAGCACCTCTAACAATGGCATTGTTCTACCCACAAAAAATGGGGGTTTGTCAATGGTTGGGGCATCTCTTCGGTCAATTAAATGGATGATCTTTATGGGGTATTTTTAGTTTAGGACATCTCCACATATATCGTGGGTAAGGAGGTAGCAATGGTAGATTGAAGCGACAAAAAGGGGATTTACCTCCAGTAAACTAAGAGCAATTTAGATTTCACCAACAAAAAATGGTATAAAGTGGGACCCCATAGTGAAATGTTTGCTGGATTATCATAAACCATAGTTGTTGGAGAAAACCAACGGCCAGCTCTCGGCGACTTTTGGGCCTCACCTTAGCCCCTTAAAAGATGGCTTCAGGAAGGAGACGTGGAGGCGATGGTAGAGGAGGAGCACAACACCTATCTTTCAGACGCTTGGATTCCAGCGCAAACAAGCGCGCTGGCGGGAGCATGGGGATTCACCAACAAAAATGATGGGGGATTTCATAAACATCATACAAACCCAAATAATTCCATAAACCCATATAAATCCATATAAATCCAGCTGGACGAACCCGCATGGAGCCTGCCCACTTTGTTTCTGAAGTCCGTGCGCGGCTCGGGGTTCCGGATGCCAGCCACGATGCTTGGTGCCCACGCTGTGACGCTGTGCTGGACCGGCATTCGGTCCACGCCAGCATGTGTGTGGCCGGTGGAGAGCGCAACCAGAGACACAACAGCTTGCGCGATCTTGTGCACGGCTGGGCTGAGAAGGCCGGGCTCCAACCAGAGAGGGAACGAGCTGGGCTTCTGCTGCCGCAGAGCCCTGATGATGCTTCATCGGCCAGGCGCCGACCTGCTGACCTGTACTTGCCTTCCTTCCATGGGCGGCCAACCGCATTTGACTTCGCCGTGACGGCGCCCCAGCGGTTGGATGTCCTGGTTGAGGCTGGCCGGGGTGGCGGGTCTGCAGCCAGTGCTTATGCTGACGTGAAGCGGCGGCACCTTGACACAGCCAAAGTTTGTGAACAACATGGCGTGGCCTTTGTGCCTCTGGTTGTCGAAACCAGTGGAGCGTGGGCGCCCGAGGCTTCCAAGATCCTTCACCAGCTCTCCCGGGCAGTGACTTTGAGGCATGGCGGGTTTGGCCCCCCTTTGGGTGGACCGACTCTGCTGGAAGAGGCTTCTGTCCTGGTCCGGTGCTGGCGTGCCCGGGCTACTTTGCGTCGCCGTGCTGAATTGGAGGCTTCCTGATTGCCTGTGTCGCGCTCCGGGTTATTCTTCTTGACATCGCCGGCGGAGTGAGAGGTTGAGTGAGGTGTTCCTTTCATTTTATTTGGAGGGCGTCCAGCTCAAAGCTCGGATTTTTCCCTTCTTTGGTTGGACGGCTGCTTGATTTGTCGGCATCGGTCGTCCGTTTTGGGTTATTTGCCTTGTACTGTTTCGTTTTCCCCTTTATGTGGCTTGAGATTGCTAGCATCTCACCCGCCTTGGCCCCCAAGGGGCTTACCGCAGTACCGGTCAGTCGAAGATCGTAAGTTTCTCTGATCTTATACCTTTTTTGGTGAGCCCTACTTGTGTGCAGCTTTGGGTTCCCGTACTTTGGCAGGTTTTTTTCCCCTTCAAAGAAGGTTTTTTCCTGCCTTCAGATTGTATTATTGTATGGTAAATCCATATAAACCCATATAAATCCATATAAACCCATATAAATCCATATAAACCCATATAAATCCATATAAACCCATATAAATCCACATAAACCCATATAAATCCATATAAACCCATATAAATCCATGTAAACCCATATAAATCCATATAAACCCATATAAATCTATATAAACCCATATAAATCCATGTAAACCCATATAAATCCATATAAACCCATATAAATCCATATAAACCCATATAAATCCACATAAACCCATATAAATCCATATAACACCATATAAATCCATGTAAACCCATATAAATCCATATAAACCCATATAAATCTATATAAACCCATATAAATCCATATAAACCCATATAAATCCACATAAACCCATATAAATCCATATAAACCCATATAAATCCATGTAAACCCATATAAATCCATATAAACCCATATAAATCTATATAAACCCATATAAATCCATATAAACCCATATAAATCCACATAAACCCATATAAATCCATATAAACCCATATAAATCCATGTAAACCCATATAAATCCATATAAACCCATATAAATCCACATAAACCCATATAAATCCATATAAACCCATATAAACCCATATAAATCCATATAAACCCATATAAATCCATATAAACCCATATAAATCCATGTAAACCCATATAAATCCATATAAACCCATATAAATCTATATAAACCCATATAAATCCATATAAACCCATATAAATCCACATAAACCCATATAATTCCATATGAACCCATATAAATCCACATAAACCCATATAATTCCATATGAACCCATATAAATCTATATAAACCCATATAAATGCCAACATGACCAGCCAAACCATGATGGAGATTTCACCATCAAAAGCCAAGAGTTCACCCACTGGATTTCACCTGCCGCATTCTGTTGGTTATAATATGTGCAAGCTCTAAGTCATCTTAGTTTTACACTTTGATATGACCGCTTTGAGCTGACTGAAAAAGACCTTGTTGATATTCTATCCAAGACCCAACAATTTTGTTTTTTTAAGCAAACAAAACAAAACCATGGGTGAAACGCAACTTCGCTGCGAGCCTCTTTAGGATCCCAACATCTTTTTGCTGGATGATGACGGAAATCCTTTGGAAAACGAGTCTCTTGGCTGCCTTAAACTTGCTGGGAACCGAGCTCAATGACTTGACTGCTCTCTCTGATGAATCACTGAACATATCTGATGATCACTTGGCCTGAATTAAATCTTGGAGTCAACTGATAGTCGGAAATGGACAATTGATGTCCAGAAAGTTGAGACTTCTGTCGAAAAAGTTGATGATTTGATGAGTCTCTTTTTTTCTTCACACGGGTGAAGATTCCAGGATGCAGTGCATGCAATTCACATCTGTTTCTTTCTCTATGGATCTGAGATGTCCTTTTCCCATTGGTTGATTTCGTGGTATAATGATAGTTGGTATACCAACCGGCCCCTCCATTCCTACCAAAAGGACATTATCTGGTTGGGGGTTTCAACATGTTTCAACCATGAACGGATTATTTTCCATTTCATATATGGGATGTCATCCTTCCCATTGACGAACTCCATTATTTTTCAGAGGGGTTGAAGACACCAACCCGTTATGGATCTGAGGTATGGAATTATCACCTTCAGTATGCATTCTTTGACCATCCGCGACTTGGATGGACTCAGCAATCGATGCAATCGACTCAGAAACCCTCCGGTAAACATTTACAGTTTGCTATTGACAATGGCTATTTATAGATATTTATAGTTGATTTACCCATTAATAGCATGGAGATTTTCCAGTTCGTTATGTAACAGTTTAGCAGAGGGTACTTGTTTTTTTGGTACATGTAACAACATATTTGGTCCATTGGTGAACCGTGAGATACCATGAGCCATAGCGGAAAATCAGATGAAACCAAGGGCCGCAGGGGCCGCATTGCCTCAAGAGGCGATGTCATATGATGTCATCTCCGTCTCAGCACATTTTGTCACTATGTGATCTGTTCATGGCAGCAAAAAAGAAACCATAGGGTGATGTCAATCTGTAGCACATTTATACAATCTACGAGCACATTTAGGGTCATCAGGGTTTCTTTGAATGGAGGACCCTAAACAAATCATGAAACTTAATTATAAAATTGCTGATGTTCAATGGGGAAACCATCGGTTTGAATGGTTTTGGGTACCCTGATTTTCAGAAGCACCGCCCAAAGGTTTTTTTTTTTAACGTCTTGGCTGGCCGATCAAGGCCTTGACACGAAACTTGAGGCCTCCATTGGCATGATCAGCAATGATCAGCAATGGATCCAAGCAGACTTATGCAGTGACAGGAAAACAAGGATCAGTCATAACGGGAAGCCCCGAAATAGTCCAACACAACTAAGGTTTCCCAAATTGTATGTTTCCAAGCCATTCCAAGCCACGCTCGGTAATCCATTCACAGCCGCGTACGAATCGTAATTCCTGAGGCGCTAAGAACGAGGAGCAGCACATTCCAGTGCAAATTGTGCGAAAGAATGGCAACGAAGGCCATCGGAAATCCTCACATTGGATGTCAATCAAATTATGGTCATTAAAAGCAACCTCTTCAATTTACTTGATTAATTCATCATAACTAACCATATCTCCAATTCATGGCTTAAGGTTTCCCCATGTAATTTCATCCCGATAAAAAAAAAAAAACGCACCTCCAATCAAATCACCATTTATGAAATTTAGACCCTGAAAAATAATCTGGGTATATCTGGGTGACCAACTCCCCATTTTTTTTCACCGCACTTCCCAACTCGCCACGCTTCACTTCGCGCGGCTGCCAGGCAAGGTCACCTGTACCTATCGCCTGGAGCAATTATCTGCCATCCCAGGCTGGGTTTGGATACTCCAAACGTTAAGTCCAAACGTTAAGTTTTTCAATGAACATAATAAACTCATATAAACTCACAGGGGATGCGAAAACTTTAAAAAACACATAGGATTATAAACTATATGGCGATTAGTGTTGAAAAACTCTACTTTGGTTCGTTTACCAGGGATGCGAACATCACGATGTTTGATAGGTAAATATTTAGTTGATCAACGAACTACTGTAAATGGGCCATGTTCAATAGTACACTGTTAGTTTACCAGAGGGTAAAGTCTGAACAAAAATAAAATCAAAAAACACGTGCAGATTAGGGATATCTGTGATACAATGTTGTTTTTGCAATCGCATGTTATATATATATACGTATATATATATATATTATATTTGTAACCAACAAGACATGAAATAGATGGCTGTGGAAGTGAACATAGGGATGTAAGCCACCACATGGACAGGTACGAATAGGGAAAATGTGCTTATAAACCATGGGTTGGAATGGGATGGAATGGGATGGAATGGGATGGAATGGGATGGAATAGGCTAGCCTATTTTCAGACCGTGCTGCTTGTAGGTATAGACCCCTTGTTTAAGATTTTGATGATACAGAGTGAGTTGGCTTCGTGGATTCTGAGTTTCTTCAAATTATGGAATGGGGTCTATATACTGTCGAATCACATTCGCATCCGTTCTTACCTTCGTGTTTGACCCATGGCGCACATCATCTAACCGCGATGCTTGATGGAAAAAAAAGCCCGAATATCATGATGGCGTCCTTAGTTTTCTGGGCTGGATGATTGAGCTCTGATCATTACCCTCTGGTAATTTAACATAGCTATTGAAAATGGCCATTTATAGTGGATTTTCCCATTGAAAATGGTGATTTTCCATAGCTATGTTAAATTACCAGAAAGTAAAAAAAAAACATGTTTGATGGATTTTCTGTGACGCAGCCTTCTCAATGGTTAGATGCCCATTGGAAAACGACTAATGTGCCATGGCTTCCATGGCGTCACTCGCATTTTCTGGGTGTGAAAAATTCTGCCCTCAAAAAATGGGAGCAAACTCCTCATCCAGGAGTTTGACACATGAACATTGCCAAGTTAGGGGCCCATGAATTTCTGGACAAACCTTGACGTTGGTTGCATACTTTACCATTCCTGGCGCCAGGCTTCGACTACGAAGACGATGAGGGCGAAGTGCAATTTCGCGACGGTGTGCAGAGCGCAGAGATTACGTCCCTCTTTTTGTTTACAGAGCGCTGGATTCATGGTAGGTTCAACATGGTTCAACAAGAAACTTATAGCCAATACAGAAACGGGGAAGAGGAAGCAGTCAAAAAGAATCAAAAAGGCAAGATGGACCAGTAAACACGAACGAAATATCTATGGACACATATATGATGTCTTATGATGTCTTTTGATGTCTTATGATGCACCTGTTAGAAAACATAGATGGTTGGTGGTTTCAACAATTTTGGTGCTTGTCTGCAGCGGGGTGTCAGCATGTTCTGGCGCTTGTTTCCAAGCGAAAATCTCAACGGACTGATTTACAGAATAATTACAGTATTTGAGACGTCATTCGACTTTCATCATGATTCTTTTTTTTTTTTATATTTCATACACTTGATTCAGAAGATTCATGATTTCAATAGCTCATCATGATTCATAAATTTGGGAATATTTATGAATATTTCACTATTTTCTGTAGCTGTTTGGCAGTTTTCTTTCACTACTTGACGCAGCCAGATGATCTCATTTGACCCAATTTCACTGGCAATAAATGTGAGACAGCCCCTGAAACTCTATGAGCTCATCTGAAAAACCACCAAGACACCATCTGAAGATGAGAATCTGAAGAGAATCTGTGGTATTCTTATGTATTCTGTATTCCTTCGCGAAGATGAAGACGTAAACCTGGTAGAGCACAACTAGAGGGTTACCCTCTACACATCTATGAAACTGTGGAATTTTCTGTTGCATGTTTCGGTGACAGGCTAAGCATGGAAAAAAAACACTTGCCAGATCTGGGGTTGTCTGATTTTTTGGCGACCTCCATGAATTTTATCCCATGGCTTATCATCATTTTTCTGAGAATTCTCATATTTTCGGACCCTGTTGATGCTGTTAAAAACAGACCTTCACACTGACACTCAATTTAAGAATGGAATCCTATCTTATCCATTTGTGATATTGGTTCTATCAGTTACATCCAATAATCTCCCAGTGACAGGCCAACGGCATGTGGTGGGAGATGAACTTGGATGGTTACCACCCAAGTTTGGGTTGCAAAAAACTCGCGATTTCGAGGCTGACAGTGCTGCCAAAGAAGCGGGGAGAGCGCAGCGATCGCTTCCAAGTAGTACTGGAGGTGACGACTGGAAGCGATGGGATGTTGCCTTCATGGCTTTGTCTAAAGAAATGGGGAATTTCATGCAATTTCGAGGTCAATTTCGAGGTCCGTTTTTCCGTCATGTGAATTTCTGGCTTCCCTGTTTCAGATCTTTATATCCCACCAAAGCTCCAAAAGATTGCTGAGAGGTTTGATATGTTTGGTAAAAACCATGGTAAAAACCATGGATTTTCCTATGAACTTTCCCAGTAACTCCCTCAAAGCCATCCTGGGCCGGGATTCTGGGAGCCAGGAACCCACGGGTGGAGCGGAGTTCAACCCCGACTTCGATGGTGGAGAGGAGTACCCTGGAGATTTCTTAACGAAAAACTGAACAGGTGAAAAGCCACCACGATTTTTTCGTAGATTTTACTCACCATCTTTTTAGAGGCTTTATTTTCGGGCCCCAAATGGGCGAAATGGAAGACTTGAGTGGTTGATTGTCTAGCGAAAGGCAACGTCGACTGGCCACCAATTTGACTTTGGTACTGTAAGCCGAGATTCTCAGCGTTTTCCGCAGCGTTTTCCGGGGCTAAACGTAGGGAATGGAGGACCCAATCTAGAACCCTCTGGGAAACTAACAGTTTACAAACTGGAATTTTTCACAATTTTTAATGCGGAAATCGACTAGCTCTATGGCCATGTTCAATAGCTTTTTGTATGTTTACCAGAGGGTAACTTTTTTCACAACCATCCCGGCCACCCCCATTCCTGGGTTCCTATGGCCATCCAACCATCTTGGGGGATTCCTTAAACACTGGGCGTTATAGACCATAAACATGTTGGTATGTCATGTTGGTAATTTTCCATGCTATTACCAGCCATGACCGGTGATATATGGTGATATGGGATGTACATAGTAAATCATAGTAAGCATAAAATATCATATGGTTATGAGTCAAATCCCTGACACACGGATGGTTTCCAGCTATACCCTGCTATAGCTGGATGTGGCTTTCCCCCAGTCATACGGTCATTTCATAACGATCAGAACGTGACCCATCCCCCTCCCTAAGACTAGTACATGAACAGATACAATGTGAGGCCCCCAAGATAGCGTTCAGTTGGTTTATAACTCCAATAACTATGGTTTATGGATGTTTATGGTATTTATAACGAACTAGTTACTGGGGCTTAGTTGTTAACCAACTTAGCTATCGAACGGGGCCTCACATTTTTTTTTTTCAGGGACATTCCCGTCCCCATCCCAGGTGCCAACGCTTGACCGTTATCGTTGAGAACGAGATCAGAGGAGGCCTAGATTCAGGAAAGCCCAGGAAAGCCCAGGGCCCAAGGTTTACAACGATAAAAAACGGAGAAGCCCCAAATGTTTTTTAGGGTTGAATAGGCCATAATATAATAATCCACATTAATCCACCATAATCATCTATAGTCATCTAGAATTATCAAACATGTTGTTTTAAATTGGGAACTTACCAATATAAGAGTTCTTCAAGATCTAACCAGATGAATCTGTTTGAGTACGGAGTCCAGTGTGCAGTGCAGGTCATTCCTTTTGGAACTATATAGGAAGATTTCAAAGCTTCAGGGATTTCTTTTTTCATGAATAGAACGTCACTAGAGTCACTAGAGATTTAAATCCTACTGTAGGACTGTAGGTTGTAGATGGTTTTTATAGCATGTTTTACTGGTTGGTGCTTTGGAACATTTTTTACTTTTCCATATACAGTATTGGGAACAATAATCCCATTTGACATCATTTGACTAATATTTTTCAGAGGGGTTGAAACCCACCAACCAGGGATGTTTCAGGGTTGAAAATCAACAAGCTTAAAACCATGGTGACGACGTGACGTCGAGTCCACGAAACAACGGTCCGAAGTTCGCCCCCATTTTTTGATCAGACACGGCATGTCTTTCCAGTCCTGAGGCCAAAGGCGGAGCGTTCAAATCTTTATGTTTATGATATTTCATAATAATCTTGATGTATATCATCATATTTGAGATTATGATATTTCATATGATATTTAAAAAAAAAAAAAACTATCCCATGAATATTATGATATACATCAATATTATTATCCCATGAATATCCCGGCCCATTTTTCATCGCTTCAATTCAGGAGAACCTCCATCCCATGATATCCAAACTCCATGGATCTCTGATCTGCATCGTTCCCACTATGGGAAAAGTTGGTATATTGATGATAAAGACCAATAGGCCACATGCGAACCATGGTGCTGGAATATTTACCTACAAAACTGGGCCATTCTTTTTGGGGTTTTTATGTTGTGAAAAATATTCCAGCACCATGGTTCGCATCTGGGTGATACTGACTGTTATACCCTCTAGTAAATTAACAGTTGGACCCTGAAAATGACCAATTTATAGTGGAAACTAATCTTCCAACCCCGATGACTACCAGGGTCTATGTTAATTTACTGGAGGGTACTGTTAATATTCCATGTCTGTTTGGTGAAAACATATCCCATCATTATTATAATAAAAAAAACATTACTATTTCAAGAGCTATCACCCCATTATAAATTTCAATCTTCTATAGATCATTTGAGATTCCATCCTATCCATCTCCCCGCAATATCCTCAGAAGAATTCCAGCTTTCCCAGATCTTGAATTTGCAGAAACAAAAACTGCCAGGTTCGTGTCTGACGGCCCTCATCGACTCGATCGTGAACCTCGATGAGCTACGGCAGGCACCAAGCTATTGACCAACCTATAAGAATGGATTAACATGGGCTTACACAACCAAACATATCCAAAGAAATGGGCGTTAAAGCTACCAAAGATATGGAGCAACAGTTGCCTTGGCACATATCCAAACAAATGGGTGTCAAGCAACCACACATGGGGAAAACGGTGGTTTTTGACAACGAAACATGCCAAAGACAGACTTAGCAAAGAATTGGGACTTACTGTCTCCATCCGTCCAAGCGTGAATGACATAGGGCATTTGGGTGATTCCAGGAGTCTTTCTATTAAGCAATCAGAAATTATAGATGGATCACCTCAGAATCACCTACCCCATAGGATCCATGTATGCTATATATGGTACTGTAACATTTACTATCAATATACCCCCAATGTTAGTATATATATATATACCATACATGGATCCTATGGGTACTGTATATAATTTATGAATAGAGCAATCCCAACCAAGATGGTCACTCAAATCGTGATGAAGTGACCCACCTCAGATTCGGATTCAACAACCATTTTTTCACTAATTTTGGGTGGATTAACTTATTATTATGGATCACTAATTTAACAATCCCTATATCTTTTTGGGATTTTAAAAAAAGGGCGAGCCCGGCTCACATTCTGACTCCATCGCTAAACACTTACCCAAGTTGTCCGGTCCTTTTGCGGCTCGTCCCTCCTCTGCCAGGGCACCTCACTATGGAAGGACCAGGTGCTGGAGAATGTCTATGTCGGAGGCAGCAAGGAAGAACAGGATCAGGCAGGTGCACTGGATTGGTCCGGGAGCCCAGTGAGCCCAGTGACCAAAGGGTGCCTGGTTTGATGGTGAAAAATATGTGAAAAGGGAACAGTTCGGAACAGGTGAAAAGAGCCGGTTAAAACAGGCTTGGCAGCTTGGTTTTTCTCGGTCATTTACAGTAAGGAAAGATGCAGATGGTTCATGATGCTTTTGCTGCGATGTTTGTTGGAAATTGACCGAAAAACGTAGCTTGTTGGGCCGCAGAACTCAGATAACATTTACCCCATATATATATAATATATATATATTATATATATATACATCATGTTATTCACCATTGATTTACCATATGTTTGCATAATTTTTTCGACATCACTTTACCCCCATCCCGAAACAACATGGGATGTGATCAACACCGCACTATGGGCGATGAACATTTCGCCATGACTACCCGCCACATGACGAAAGAATGATTGGGACCCGATGTAAAGGTAGCGATAGAACATGGATTTTGGATGATTTTGGATGATTTTGGACCATTGATACTTTATGATACTTTATGATACTTTATGATACTTTATGATACTTTATGATACTTTATGATACTTTATATTTACCGACTTTTTCAACTAATGATGGATTCCATAGTTATGTTCGTTTACGCATCTTAGCGGCCCAGGCTGAACCACTTGATCTGGCTACCCTGGACCTTCACCTTTGCACTGCTGACACCACCACCTGCCTATCTGGGTGGTTGGATCTGTTTCTTCATCTCCTTGATGCACATCGCCTGGCTCACGGCACGCGGAGGGGTGGATGTGGTGATGTCAACCTTTGAATAACATATAGATCACACACATACATATATATATATATAATTATATATATATATATGTACACTATTTATATACGTGTGTGTGTATATAATGCTACACACATATATATATATAGAATACTATATATATATTATATAATGGTGACAACTTCAATTAGTTGAATATGATATCATATGTGTATAAGATATAGTACTATCATGTATTATCACAATTTCAGGGTACTCCCCCTAGTTTAACATATTGATAGACCATGGTTTATTCATCCAGGGTTGACAACATACGTTTTCATTGGCGGAACACATCAGGTATTTTTAGGGTCTGGAGTGGAATTTCTCGAGGGATTCCCCATTTATTTTCAGGCAAAAAACAGCCGTGCTTCAAAGTCAACTGATGTCAACTGACTATTGACAGCCTCAAAGAGCCAACAAAAAGATCCTTAAAGTTCTTCCTGGCCTGCTATGAATTCCATGCCGTGCATGGCGACAGATCATCATCGGCGATTTGGCCGAGCTCTTCGGGTGCGTCCCTGGACTGCAGGGACTGCTGGCCCGGTTGAAGTCCAACGTCACGGGATGACTCGGGGGGATGATTTATGATATTTATGGCACTGAATCCCACAAGAAAAACATCATGAATCATCATGAACCACGAGATGAAATAACTAGCTTAAATAACTAGCTTCCAGGATTTTCTAGATTCTAGTCACTGAAAATATATATCTAGGTTTTGACTAGATTCTAGTCACTGTTTAGATATCATAAAATATCTCCAGGGAAACCCAGTTTTCTATCTTTTGGGGATTAGATTTGTACTATCCAAATCTGTCCACAAGAATTGGGGATTATCATCATCCATGAATTGGGAATCCCGTACCTAAACCTAAACCAACCAGTATAGTTTTTTTGGAATGACAGGTTTAGTAGACCCATGAAGATCCTATTGCATCCCCATATATTGCAGGTTATATTCCCCATCACATCTTCATTACATCCTGACTATATTCCCCAGTAAAGCAACATAGAAGACCCACCAGACTAACGTAGATCATTTTCTAGGATTTCCACAGCGTTTGGTATCGCAAAAAGCACACGCTGCTGATCTTGCCACTATATCTCCATCATATACCCATTATATCTATGTTAGTCTATAACTCCACTAGCTATAATGTTGGTAAAACAATAATAAACCATCCCCCAGTCATCACCATTTTTATAGGTGCTATAAACCATTCCCGGTCATGGGGTTAATGGATGTTAATGGCATTGTTTTTCCCACATTAGTTGGGTTATTAAGCCCATGAAAGTTATGTATAGTTATATCTTCTGTATCACGCATCGTCCAAGTCAATGGCCGCCCAGGTTGCCAACGTGGACGACAACATCACCGCCATCTCCTTTGTAGCCTTGGGGACTTCTGTTCCGGACCGAACATCACAAACGATCGGTGATCTTTTTTGGAGATGTCACCCAATGGGATGGTGTCAAAACTATTGGACCCCGAAAATGAATAGTTTTTTGTTCAAAGCGATTTTTGTGTTTCCATTGGTTCCCATGACTGGATAGCGACTTTCCAGGGATCTGACTGGAGATACTCTGTATCATTTGGGTTCTGTAAGAGTTTCTATTCCACAAAGAATAGGAAGTGACACAAGTTGTAGATTGGATCATCATAAACTTTATCATATATAAGTTCTATGCTACTCCATGATCATAAGTCTATGAGTTCGGGATATTGATGACCCCCCAAATCCAATTCTTTATCATCATCAACCCTACTAAAGTTACCATTTTGGGGTATATAAGGTATATACCATTTTCAGATGAACGCATGTGCCGCATATTCCTTGAGTGGCAGCCTGCAAGCTGTTAGTTTACCAGAGCTTAGATCCATCATATTTCCATGGACAAAAAAACCCAGAAAATCCCCATGGTTTCTTACCGAGTTTCCAAACATATTTTTGTTGAGTTGACATGAGTAAACACTGACTTGGGATCCACATACATCCCAGACAAAAATAAGCCAGCCTGTCTGATCTCCCCAATTGTTCCCCCAATTTTTGTCGGTCAAAAATTCCGACTTTTGGAAAAACAAGGCCACTGGACTTCTGATTTCAACGGCGGTCGATCGTTTGTAGGACCTCTTTGCCTCGATGACGGCAGCACGGCAAGATCCAACGGCAGATGCGTCCATCGTGAACGCTGCTGAGCTCTGGAATTCGGTTTTGGTTTTCACGCGGGGATTTCATTGTGATTTCAGGGTGATTTCATGGTGAATTAATGCTGATTGAATTAAAGGCATTTAGTGGTGATTCAATGGGAATTAATGCTGATTCAATGGAAATCACAATGGGAATGTTATTTACATTTTCAAGGTGAATTAATGCTGATTCAATGGGATGTTATGGAAATACAATGGAATATCACCTACTTGGACAGGCCAGGGGTGAACAAAATGGCTCTGGTTGCCTGGTTTTCCAAAGCCACATGTTTGTTGGGATATGGTGCTTTTGGAACTATAGTAACTATAGTGAAATATTTAGTAACTATAGTGAAATATATCCACTTAGTTAACTGATGTCAACTGAAACTGCACTTTCAAGTAGGGAAGATCCCAAATTGTTTGATAGATCATGATAGATCACTGGCCATTGGCTCAGAAATGGTATATCAATTATGGGACTGTTCCCAGTCAGTTTTGGGAGGTCAGCAATTTTGAGCATCTCCCAGTGTTGGATAATCATGGTGAACACATCGTTGATCGGCTGTGAATGGGGATCATTCCATGAACGGCACCCTCCCACAAAAAAGTACCAGTAGTTGCCGTGGATCTAAAAACAATTTTCGTTGAGATTACCCGGCCTGGTAAACGAACAGTTTGCTATTGAACATGGCCATAGAAATAGTAGATTTTCCCATGAAAAAAAGGTAATTTTCCATAGTTATGTTAGGTTGTGTTAGTTTACCAGAGGGTAGTTGCTGGGTGAATACCCCATGGGCTGGGGGTTCGGATGTGGGATTTCTGAAATGGGGATGGATCATGACTTTCCTAAATGATTTTTGAAGGATGAAGATCTATGGAAAATCCCACTTTGAGATTAAATACCCCGCAGTCGAAACCTTGGTTTTTCGTGTTGGATCTATTCATGACTCGGGGCCCTTTTACTTTGGTGCTATTTCATGATCCGGGGATGAGGTTAACTGCCCCTTTGTTCTTATTCACCCAGGTTCCAGTGGCTTCCCAATTGCTTTATCGCTGTTTGATGCAGGTTACCGGCAGTAATTCCGTGAACGTCTTCCTTGGCATTGGAATGCCATGGCTCTTCGCCTCCTTCTACTGGTATTTGCAGGCCCTTCACGGTACGTCCTTTGCGTTGGTGATATACCCCAGCTACGGGTTACTGATCATTTACCAATTAGGATGCACACCACCAAGTGTCAATTATTGTTGGTTGGGTTGAGATTTGCAGTGCAAGTTGCAGTTGCCACAGTTTACAGGTAAAACGATTTGCTTGATCCGGGAAATCCTGCCTGCTTGATCCTGCGAACAAGAAAGACAAATTTTAGTAGATGTTTCACCGCCAACTATCGCTATCACTTTGCGATATCCATTCTGATCACTTTGCGCCAGTTGTCTCCCCATGATGTTCTTCTCAATACGACCGATGTAAAGGACTTGGGCTGCGCACGACATCAACCATCATCAACCATCGCTCGCAGGGGACCACTTTTGCTGTGAAATCACAGGGTATGAGCTTTAGCGTACTGGTCTGGATGCCCAGTTCTTCGCGAGTTGTGCGGCATTTCCGAACTGGGACCTGGTGGTTTGGAACATTTTTTTATGACTTTCCATATATTGGGAATCATCATCCCGACTGACGAACTCATATTTTTCAGAGGGGTAGGTATGCCACCAACCAGGATATATACGGGATTTTCTTAACGTTTCTCAATCCATATTTTACTGGGAGATCTGGGAGGAGGAGCCAGAAAAAGCACGACATCATTCTTGGGGCTTAAGTTGGGCGAGGAACCAAGAACCATTGAAGATGCCAAGAACCATTTTTGCAGGCACAAACCTACCCAGTTCGGATCTCTGTTACGATTTTGGATTCGACTTAGGTGTTCACATGCGGCGCCTGCGTGACTCTTTCAGTCATTCAGTGCCTTGGCAGGGCGGTTTGCTTGGGACATTTGAAGATTTTTGACAAGACCTGCCCATCTAACCACCAAATATCGGGATTCAACCAGAACGTATGACGATTTAGGCATCAAATGTGGGGATTTTAGTTGCCAAATATTGGGGGATTCCGCCAGAACATTCGGAGATTCATCAAGATTTGTTGTTTGATTTAAGCATTGGGGATTCAAAATCATTCAATCATCCAACATGGGGATTTAGTCGATTCAATCATCAACATGTTTTTCTTGGGATGTTGGTTGAACGCAGCAAACTTGGGGATTTTGTCAGGAATTTAGGATTCTTCATCAGGTTTTATGGCTATTGAATGGGCCCGTAGAAAATAAATGGAGGATTAAACTCAAATGGAGATGATGCCTACGGATCAACACTCGAGCCAGGGCTTCCCGCGGGGTGCTTATAGACAAGGGAGGGAGTGATGTGTTGGTGCACAAGAAGTCCACGAGAAGTCTGCAAATTCATAAGACACCACAATCCCATCATTCCATCATGAGACAAAATAGCCTAAAGTATTAGTAGTACAAGTAATCCCAGAATGATAAGCCCATGGCCCATACATTTATACCTTAGGGTGTCGCTCTACCACGTTTTTGAGGGGTCTCTTTAGAGCCTATGTTTGCCTCCATTTTCTGCATTACTGCTCCCTTAACTTTCTCCATTTTCTGCATTACTGCTCCCTTAACTTTTTCCATTTTCTGCATTACTGCTCCCTTAACTTTCTCCATTTTCTGCATTACTGCTCCCTTAACTTTCTCCATTTTCTGCATTACTGCTCCCTTAACTTTTCTCCATTTTCTGCATTACTGCTCCCTTAACTTTCTCCATTTCTGCATTACTGCTCCCTTAACTTTCTCCATTTTCTGCATTACTGCTCCCTTAACTTTCTCCATTTTCTGCATTACTGCTCCCTTAACTTTCTCCATTTTCTGCATTACTGCTCCCTTAACTGTCTCCATTTTCTGCATTACTGCTCCCTTAACTTTCTCCATTTTCTGCATTACTGCTCCCTTAACTTTCTCCATTTTCTGCATTACTGCTCCCTTAACTTTCTCCATTTTCTGCATTACTGCTCCCTTAACTTTCTCCATTTTCTGCATTACTGCTCCCTTAACTTTCTCCATTTTCTGCATTACTGCTCCCTTAACTTTCTCCATTTTCTGCATTACTGCTCCCTTAACTTTCTCCATTTGCTGCATTACTGCTCCCTTAACTTTCTCCATTTTCTGCATTACTGCTCCCTTAACTTTCTCCATTTTCTGCATTACTGCTCCCTTAACTTTCTCCATTTTCTGCATTACTGCTCCCTTAACTTTCTCCATTTTCTGCATTACTGCTCCCTTAACTTTCTCCATTTTCTGCATTACTGCTCCCTTAACTTTCTCCATTTTCTGCATTACTGCTCCCTTAACTTTCTCCATTTTCTGCATTACTGCTCCCTTAACTTTCTCCATTTTCTGCATTACTGCTCCCATTAACTTTCTCCATTTCTGCATTACTGCTCCCTTAACTTTCTCCATTTTCTGCATTACTGCTCCCTTAACTTTCTCCATTTTCTGCCTTACTGCTCCCTTAACTTTCTCCATTTTCTGCATTACTGCTCCCTTAACTTTCTCCATTTTCTGCATTACTGCTCCCTTAACTTTCTCCATTTTCTGCATTACTGCTCCCTTAACTTTCGCCATTTTCTGCATTACTGCTCCCTCAACTTTCTCCATCAAGTCAAGGGCAAAGTCTGGGACCGTAAGCTACCAAAGCCAAAATGCTATGCCGAATTTGGTGAAATGATTTCGAGTCCCCAAATTGGCCTCCAAATTCGCGTCCAAATTCGCCTCCAAATTGGCCCCCAGGGGCCCCATTACTGCTCCCTTAACTCCCCCCAGTTAAGGGAGCAGTAATGGAAAAAAGTTAAGGGAGCAGTAATGCGAATTAGGTTGTAAAAACCATTACTGCTCCCTTCCCTCGCTGCTCCCTTAACTCCCCCAGTTAAGGGAGCAGTAATGGAGGTTTTGGGGTCCGTTTGGGGGTCCAAAATTCGCCACAAATCCATGATTTCGAGTCCCCAAATTGGCCTCCAAATTGGCTTCCAAATTGGCCCCCAGGGGCCCCATTACTGCTCCCTTAACTTCCCCCAGTTAAGGGAGCAGTAATGGAAAAAGTTAAGGGAGCAGTAATGGAAAGTTAAGGGAGAAGTAATGGAAAGTTAAGGGAGCAGTAATGGAAAGTTAAGGGAAGTAATGTTAAGGGAACAGTTAAGGGAACAGTAATGGAAAGTTAAGGGAGCAGTAATGGAAAGTTAAGGGAGCAGTAATGGAAAGTTAAGGGAGCAGTAATGGAAAGTTAAGGGAGCAGTAATGGAAAGTTAAGGGAACAGTTAAGGGAGCAGTATGGAAAGTTAAGGGAGCAGTAATGGAAAGTTAAGGGAGCAGTAATGGAAAGTTAAGGGAGCAGTAATGGAAAGTTAAGGGAGCAGTAATGGAAAGTTAAGGGAGCAGTAATGGAAAGTTAAGGAAGCAGTAATGGAAAAATTAAGGGAGCAGTAATGGAAAGTTAAGGGAGCAGTAATGGAAAATTTAAGGGAGCAGTAATGGAAAGTTAAGGGAGCAGTAATGGAAAATTTAAGGGAGCAGTAATGGAAAGTTAAGGGAGCAGTAATGGAAAGTTAAGGGAGCAGTAATGGAAAATTTAAGGGAGCAGTAATGGAAAGTTAAGGGGGCAGTAATGGAAAGTTAAGGGAGCAGTAATGGAAAATTTAAGGGAGCAGTAATGGAAAGTTAAGGGAGCAGTAATGGAAAGTTAAGGGAGCAGTAATGGAAAATTTAAGGGAGCAGTAATGGAAAATTTAAGGGAGCAGTAATGGAAATTAAGGGAGCAGTAATGGAAAATTTAAGGGGGCAGTAATGGAAAATTTAAGGGAGCAGTAATGGAAAGTTAAGGGAGCAGTAATGGAAAATTTAAGGGGGCAGTTAAGGGGGCAGTAATGGAAAATAAGTTAAGGGAGCAGTAATGGAAAGTTAAGGGAGCAGTAATGGAAAATTAAGGGAGCAGTAATGGAAAGTTAAGGGAGCAGTAATGGAAAGTTAAGGGAGCAGTAATGGAAAGTTAAGGGAGCAGTAATGGAAAATTTAAGGGAGCAGTAATGGAAAGTTAAGGGAGCAGTAATGGAAAGTTAAGGGGGCAGTAATGGATAAAGAAAACGTGTTAGAGCGACAGCCTAATTTATACCCTCTGGTAATTTACCAGTTTGCTATGAAACATGGGTCATGGATTCATTTTCACAATAGATTACCACAGTTTAACATAGAAGCCGAATTAGCCAAGGCCGTATAAATCCTGTATATACGTATACATCAGCATAAAAGTCTGTTAACATCCTGGTTCTGCATAATATATATGTATATATATATATATATGTACGAGTAAATCATAGTGACCTCACTGAGACCTCACGGTAGACTATGGCTAGTAGGGGTAACTATCCCCAAGTGGCCTTAATTTAGGTCAGGGATTTTTTGTAATTCACCCATACATACATACATACATACATGCATACATGCATACATGCATACATGCATACATGCATACATGCATACATGCATACATGCACACATGCATACATGCATACATGCATACATGCATACATGCATACATGCATACATGCATACATGCATACATGCATACATGCATACATACATACATACATACATACATACATACATACATACATATATATATATATATACATACATCATACATACATCATATATATGTATGCACCATGTTGTACATATATATATATATATATGTATAATTATATATAACTACATATAATTTCATATAATTATATATATATATACATACATGTTATACTATAAACATGTGGCTAGAATACATATGCATGTTCTGTTACATTACATATATGTATATACCTCACAGTCCCATAACAAGCGGTGGCCCTTTCCTTTCGGACGGTCCGGGACCGTGTTCGTCTCCGCTTTTGGCCCACGAGGATCCGGCGCTGGAAGTTCGGTGGAGAGTTGGGTGGTCCGGTGGATGCAAAGGCCTACTCCTCGTTCCTGTCGCTTGGATTTCGAGTCGTCACCGATTTCGCTGAATCAATGGCTATTTCAGGAGGAATTGATTGATCCATCTGGTGGAGTTCCCAATCCCAACCACATATCAATGACCCAGTTTGTGGGATATGTGAGTTTGACTCAAACACAATATCAATGGTCATTTCAGGAACCGATTGATTGGAGGTACCAATCCCATATATAAGGCCTATTTTTCAGGCCTAAATTTCAGGGAATATCCCCACAACATATGGCCTTATATGGTACAGTACCTCCAATTTAGGATCCTGAATTTCCCATTGAAAGAAAGGTGAAACGGTGGATGAAGCGATGTGGTCACCATGTAGGGAATGAAACCACATCATTCGGAGTATAGAATGAGCAAGAAGGCCAAGTCACTGCAATGATGGTGAATGTGAAGGCAACTATACCACAATAGCGAAAAAATCGAGGTTAGTGAATCAGTATAGATTATCCAAAACTATGATCTGGTTGGTGGTTTGGAACATTTGGATTATTTTTCCATTCAGTTGGGAATGTCATCATCCCAACTGACTTTCAGTCCATCATTTTTCAGAGGGGTAGGGCTCAACCACCAACCAGTGATCATCTGAATGTCATGGGACAAAACAAATCCGAAGATGTTTCGAGTCCATCCGAAGATTAGGGGTACCAACAGAGATATGGGAAGCTCTTGTGAAGGGATGACAAAAATCTTGGTGGCATCTGGGGATTTAGCAGGATTTAGTGCGGCGATGGTCATGGGAATCTGAGATTCTCCCCCAAACGGTTAAGGTCTTGTGGATAGGGATCATTAGCCCCCATCAAGCCCCAACTAACCACAAGATTGGGACACAATTAGAGCAATAAAATGAGGATAAAATTTATCACAGTGAGGATGTATAGGACATACTGTAAGCTACGAAGGGTTGGGGAGAACCATTTTCAACCAAAACTGCACTTCTAATGCATCAAACAATTGTAAAAAAACGGGGATTTCACCTCCAACGATGAAGGATTTTTGGTGAGAAAAACCCACAGTTGAGTGGTGGGTGATGCTGTTTCCATGGTAAACACACCTCGCATTTGAAGACATGTGATTCTATCTTTTGTGGAAAAAAAAAACGACTTTGTGTTGCAATGTCTCAATGCCAGAGGGTATTGAACGGTTTCCTTCTGTGAACATCTACTGTATGAGCCCTAAGGGCATAGCCCTTACACTCTGGCAATCAAACGTGGCAACGGACAATAATCCATTTCTGGTTGGTGGTTTCAAACATGAATTCTATTTTCCCTTTCATATTTTCAAGATTTCCTTTGATTACCACCAACCAGTTCTTTGAAGTTTTAGAGTCGATGATTTTCCCACTCAAAAAGCTCCATTGATCTCCATGAATTATGGTGGAATTTCCCGCCACCGATGTTTTTCTCGCAACGCCTACGTCGTGTCCGCGACCGAGGCTGGTGGTTCTCTGGCTCTCCTACATTGGTCTGTCAGTCGGGGCACTCTGCGACGGAAATCTGGAGGATTTTGGACGTTCATCATCCCAGGGAATCAATGGAGGTTTCCGAAAAAAAAATGGTGGCACCTGGTTAAAAAAAATAGCTAAAAAATGTTAAAAACATATCGCCATTTAAATGTATGGCTTATACTATATATATAGAGTTATATGAAGGTTTCCACATTTTTGGGGGGACCCCAAAGCTATCATCATGACTTGTGGATTTACAATGATGATCCCCTGGTGATTGACCATCAAAACACTGTAATTCTACGTGATGTGAGGCCCCCCGTTGTGATGTGAATGTTGGTTAACAATTAAGCCCTAGTAACTATAGTTATAAGTACTGTACCATCAACCATAGTGAAATTGGAGTTATGTTCACCAACTTAGATATCTTGGGGGCATCACATTCTAAGAATTGTAAATAGCAAATCACAATGGTAGACTGGTGGTTATAATTTATTGATTTACCATTGTTAATCCATCACAATAACTGTAAAAAATACAATGTTATTGGTGGCTATAACAATTGATTGATTTACCATTGTTAATCCATCATAATAACTGTAAAACAATACCATGTTAGTGGTGGTTATAGTTTGTTGATTTACCATTGTTAATCCATCATAACAACTGTAAAAAATACAATGTTATTGGTGGTTATAGTTTCTTGATTTACCATTGTCAATCCATCATAACAACTGTAAAAAAATACAATGTTATTGGTGGTTATAGTTTCTTGATTTACCATTGTTGTTCCATCATAACTTATCATAACAACTGTAAAATCATACTATTGTAAATCATGATAACGATTGTAAACAACAATTTTGTTGGTGGTTTGCTTGTTATGTCACCATCCTGGGATGATGATTCCCATTGACGCCTTGCGGGGCTGTTTGAGCGGCCACCAGATTATGTCATCATGATGTCCTTCTTCAAACCGGGAAACTGCTGCCATGAAATGGAGATAATATCACATATTGGAGATAGCAGCACATACTACATCATATAATCATACATATTTCATAGCTTTATCATAGTTATAGTATCACAACATCACATAAACAACACATAAATCAGCGTATTATCAAAGGCTTATCATAGATATGCTGTTGTCCCGTTGAGATGTTTCTAATTATATACTCGTCCTCATCAGCTGTTGTTTGACACGGCCTCGCGCTCAGGTGTGGAAATTTGAGAACATGGAGGCCCCGTTGACACAGGACGTCCGGAGCATGATGGTCCACTTGTCTTTTACTCGTTTTTCAATGATCTATGTTTTTTTTCACTAGACTTCCAACTCTTTTTACATCTTTTTACAAACTAAATGAATTGTCGAAGTTGCTGATTTGGCAGTAGGTGAGAGGATTTTTGAACTCGTGAAGAGCTGATCTCAGGGCATCAATGACTGGTTGGTGGTTTGAAACAGTCATTAATAATGGTTACTAATAGTTAAATAATGGGATTAATAATGGGATTACTGGTTGGTGGTTTGGAACATGGCTTTTATTTTCCATTTTCTATATGGGATGTCATCCTTCCCATTTGACGAACCATTCATCATTTTTCAGAGGGGTAGGTATACCACCAACCAGTTCACAGGGGGCTAAAGCAGCGCTTGGAATCCGCAGAGCCAGGAGGCGATCCAAATCGGTCACCGAATATGAAGACTGCGCACTATAAGTAATACCCTCTGGTAATTTAACATAGCTATTGAAAATGGCCAGTTATAGTGGATTTCCCATTAAAAATGGTGATTTTCCATAGTTATGTTAGTTTACCAGAGGGTATACAATTTCCACCTTTGCATTTTTTGTTTGGTAACTTGATAAGATGATAGCGATAATCTAACATATATAATACAATATAATATTAAAAATATTAAAAACATGATATATAATTATATAATAAGATATATTGTAATATATATATATATAATATGATATAATATATGATATAATATATGATATAATATATGATATAATATATGATATAATATATGATATAATATATGATATAATATATATATACTATAATATATATATATATATTATGTGTATAATATATATATATATATAATATCTATGATAATAATAAAAAATATATATATATATATATCATATAATATATACTACATATATATATAATATTATATATTACATATATATAATATATAATATTATATATATGATATTATATGATATATTATATAGATTATAATATTTATAATATATATGTAATATAATATATAATATATATGTAATATAATATATAATGTAATACAATATATATAATATAATATATATATATGATATATAATAATATATATATATATATATTATAAATATATATATAATATAATATATAATATATATAATATTTATAATATTATATATATAATATATATTATATATATAATATATATATAGTATATATAATATATATTATATATTTAATATATAATATATATTATATATAATATGTATTATACATATATATTTAAATATCGATATTATAATATTATAATCTATAATATATATATATATTTAATATATACATATAATTTATAATATATATAAATATAATATATGATATATAATATATATATATATAATGTGATATAATATTTTTCATAATATATAGAATATATATATAATAAAATATAGAATATATATTATACATATATATATATATATCTATATTATAATATTAGAATCTATAATATATATAATATATATAATATATATAATATATATAATATATATAATATATTTAATATGTAATATATATAATATATAATATATAAATATATTATATATAATATATATAATATATAATATATATATAATATATAATATATAATATATATGATATATATAATATATATAATATATTTAATATATAATATATATAAACTATAATATATATATGTATATGATATAACATATAATATGTATGTATATAGATATATAATAATATAGATAATATATATTATATATATTATATATGTAATATATATATATATTATTTCATACATAATATACCCTAAGCATCCAAACCCTAAGAATTTGACGGGTTCATTATGATACCTTGGGTTTACCCATGACATGGACTTAAACATCGGGTTTGCTATATAAACCCTGGGTTTACCTTTAATTAATTCGAACCCAGTGCCCTGCTGGCCCCACAGGTGTTGGAATCTTGTGGCTCTTGGCTTCAAAGCTCCGTGTTGGGGTGCTCACGGAGCATAATTAGGAACTTAGGTAGCAAATATGCGGGTTTGATCAGGACATCTTCTATAGATAATAGATGATAATAACCATAAGTATATAGTTCCATTAACTAAAGACTTATTGTACCTTTCCCAGCCAAGGAAGAAGGCTGGCCACATCACAGCACGCATAGTAAACACATGTTGATCGAATCATCTTTCATGTAAATGGGAAACCCAATTAAATCATGCATTTGTATATATATCTCAGACTCAGGCGCCGGATGATCAAACCAGTATAGATGTATATATTCAAAAGGTAGTGCCTGAGCCTGAGATATAAATAAACCACCACCACCACGCATTGGCCACGCGTGGACCCGTGCAGCAATGGCTTTTTGCTGCTATCAAAGACCACGTCAGGATCCCCAGTCCTGCAGGAAGCACAGAGGGGGAAAAAACGTCATCTAGAACAAACATGAAAACAGGAAAGGTTGGTAACATTTGGTAACACTAAGCCTTAATTATCCTTTATATTGATGTGACTTCAACCAGTCGTGAGATCACTTGATATGAGAGATCTTTGGATCAAGTTCACACCTACTTTCCAGAGCTATTTTGGCTTAAGGTTCCTCACCCCAAAATCATTGAAGCCATGCCCCGCTGCACCGATATCGACGATGTGCACTTGGAATGGGATGCGGATCAAACATTGAGGGATTTCCTTCGTAATGGGAATCAAATCTTGGAAGCTCCATTGTGCCAAGACATCTCAAGTTGCATTAAGCATGAAGCCCTGTTGATCCCCATACTTCAAAAAATGGCTGAGCGGGAACATCGTGATTTGCCAGCCATCGAACAGGTGAGGTACGAACTTGAGGAACTTCTTAAGAAAAATAAACAGGGAATGGACTTGCAGTTTCAGGATTTGTCCAAAAAAGCTTGGGCGTTGAAAAAACTCCTGGGATTTCTGAAGATGAAAGCTCGTCGTTGGGAAGTCTCTACCGTGACTCAATCGCAATTACCATCATGCAAATCCATATGTGGAAAGTTATCAAAAATTATCAAAACCCGTGGTTTCTATTATGATAGCAATTTTGAATATCACTGTTCTCAACGAAACTCTCTACCAACAATGAGGTGAGGAAGTTCCAACGTCTTGTGCTGATTTTGGACCCACTTCTTGAGGCGGGTCATGATTGCAAAACATCAACAGGTTCTTTGCCCCCGTGGGTCCAACCTTCTTTAGTTTTTTGTATGTCAGCGGCGCAGGAGGAAGTGAGAAGGGTCAACAAAAGGGCGGAAGAACGATTGAGAAAGCGGGGGAGGAAGGACACACTGGGTCTTGGGAAGTGGGGTGTGGCGGGGTTTTATGTTATCGGCTCGCTTACCTTGATTGATGAATTTGTGTTTATAAGTGTTGGTCTTCAGTTTTTGTTTTTCCCCGCATGAGGACATGAGACCTGATGATGAGGATGCTTGGGATTCATCTTCTAGTAGTGAGTCGGATGCGGACAATGGAAATGACGGTGATGTCGGTGCACCTCCGGGTTCAGGGTCAGATGACGCCCATTCAGCTGAAGCAGCTCCACCAGCCCCGGTTGTTGAGGTTCTTCCAGTTGAGGCGCCAGCAGTGGAGGTTGGTGCAGTTCCGGCACCTTCAGCTGAGGTTGCTCCACTTCCAGCACCTTCAGTTGAGGTTGCTCCAGTTCCACCACCTTCAGTTGAGGTTGCAGTTGCTTGCCCCGTTCCATCCCAACCTGCAGCGTCTCCAACTTCAGTTGCTACCACCCCCAGTCCTGCCTCCATTGGGTCAAGTTCATTACTCAGTTTGTTGTGGTTTGGGTTACGGGGTTGAAAAATTGTTTGTCAACTTGTTCATGTTTCACCACATGTGTTGGGTTTCATTTCCTTTCGGTTGCTTGATTAAGGTGACGCCCTGCGAGCTAAGCGTGCTGCAATTGAGGAGAAATTGGCAAAGTCTCTTGGAGGAATGGAGTTGTTGGATTTCCTCTTGGAACTGGTTCCATGCATCTTTGGGTGTTGAATTCGTTGCCTCAATAAGTCCCATTAGTTTCTGAATGTTTCTGATGTTCAAGATATGCCCATTGGTTCCAAAGGCTGCGTGCAGCAAAACTTGCTGCCACAGCGTCTTCTCCACCTGCTTCAGCGCCTTCAACTTCTACCAAAGGACCCTTTTTGGTTGACAATTGCATTTCCAAAATTGCATCTTGCTGATTCCAATTCAACATGTTGATTCTGATTTAGTGTTAAATATGTCTAATAATAGCCCCTGGCAGGAGTTAACGGGCCATGTACCGACATGGTGGAGACACTGCCTCTGGCTGATATTTTTGAAGCCCCTGTTCCAGCATCGCCTCCAGTTCCAACCGTTGAGTCACCCTTTTCATCAGCTACTGACAAGCGTGCGCAATTTCAAAGCATCAAGAAGGGGAAGGGAAAGGGTGAGGAGACCTTGGAATTGGGTGCCACACCTAGCCCAGCTAAAGGAGAGTTGGACTCCAAGAAGGGCAGCATCGAGAAGGAGAAGACACCGGATGATTTCACTGAGGATGAGGCAGGGGGTGGGTAGGTGGGTCGGAGTCTTGAAAGTCTACAATGGAGATTCCAAAGCTATCAATCCAACTCCCACCGAAATGTTTTCTACATGTTTCGTACTTTCACCGCACTGCTTCAACCAATGTGTTTCTCTTACTTCTCAAGTTGCTATATGTCCTGGGTGGTTTCAATTGGCGAGGCCGATGATGACTTTGTCAAAAGGCGGGAGCAGCTCAATCTACAGCCAGCTAAGCGAGGAAAAGGCAAAGGCCGTGGTAGGGGTCGAGGTTCAACAGCAACCAAACGGAGTGATCATGATGACCCAGAGGTTGAGGTTCCCGAAAAGAAAAGAAAATCGCCACACCGCAGACCTTTTGGACCGATGATGTCTCTGAGGAGTGGGCTAGGTGCAAGGCTATGTGGGACAAGGAATGGCAGGAGGAGGAAGTGTGGGGTCAGGAAAGCTGGGGCCAATCGTCTCAGGCTTTTGATCACTATGCGCACTTGGATGGGCAGGTATCCTTGCACTCACTGGTCGCTGCTGAAGGTGACGGATGTTCAGGGGAGGGAAAGGCAAAGAAGGTTGAAAAGGCACCCAAGAAAAAAAACACGAAGAAAAAACATATTGAAGTCTTGGAGGAAAAGGCGGATGATTCAAGTGTTGAGAGTGAGGAGGAGACTTGTCACACAAACCAAAAGGAACAGGTCAAAGCCATCGCCCAACATATCAAGGATGTTCTTGCATTGGGCATTCGGGTCAAGAAGTTTGAGGATCTGACAAAGCAAACCAAAGATCGCCTGAGAGAACCTTTTCCCAACACGGATGAGTGTCGTTACACCCCGTACTGGAACCGCCCAGCCTGTGGTTTCTACCTCAAGTCTGAAGGGATGGATGGGGGTTGCTTCTCCGTGCAAAGTGAACATGGACCATACCTTCATCGACTTGTTGCTTCCATGAAAGCAGCTCAATTGATGGCCACTTGACATCAGAAAAACATTGAGATTTTGAATCACTTCGCTCATGTTCACACATAGATGGGGTTTCACAACTGTGATATGTTGCTTACTTTATTGACACTATGGTTTGAAGATAAAAATCTAGTCATAGTCTCTTATTGGCACCCCCGCCGGCTCAGGTGAACTACATCGAGGACATTACCAACAAGTCACGCTCAAAGGATGACCGGGTGAGTGAACATGGTGATTTTCCAACCATGAAAGAAACATTGAAACAGTCATCAATGAAGGCTGTGCAGCGTGTGGTCAAATCCACCAAACGCTGATTGTTTCTATGGATTTCTGTTAGTTTGTTGTGATGTTGCACAACTGGCGATGCTGAACAATTTTAGGGGGTTGGTTCCCAAGTTGCAAACAACTTGGCCACCGGGGGGTTTGCAGTGCAAGAGCAGAAGTGCTGTTTGTGCCTTTGGCTGGGACTTCCTGAACATGATATTTATTTAAATTTGATGGGTCATAGTCTTCTATAATTAATTTCCGCTATATAACTCGAAAGCTGATACACATGTTTTCAAACAAAGGCTGAACTCTCATGTATGTTTACATGTTTTCATGGTCTATATTTTTCATCGGTGTTTCATGTCATGATTACTCAATATCTTCAAATATTTGGGGGTCCCTGCAGGCTTACATTTAGTGAAGTCTCAATCTTGGCCTCGTGACAACGCAAAGTGTTCATGAGTGGATTTGCCCAGCCAGTGACTATTTGGAAAGTATGGTGAATGTTCAAAATATAATTCGAATTAATTCGACTTAGCTTTTCAACCTCATGGTTTGTTTGAAGAATATGTTTGCTTCCTTCCGCTGTGTGTCGTGTGTCACTGAAGCTGACTTCCACGGCCCTTTAGTGTGCATCACGTGGTGGGGTGCGTCAAGAAAAATGTTTGACGCATGCTGGGGGTCAAGCCTCGCTCTTGGTTTATTTGACATGCCAAAAGCCATCATCGTTCAATCAATGTTGAACCATCATCATTCACCCGTTGTCTCTTACCTCCCATGTAGCTTCAAACTAAAACCATCACCCCCATTTACAAATCTGCACCATGGCCGGTCCTCAGGTCCGAAGAATGAAAGGGCGTCATCGACGAGACCTTTGGCAGTCCCGGTCATGCAAGAAAGGTACGCCCCAGCATGTTTGGAACCGGGAGCGGTATAGCATCACCCACAAAGTCAACCACCAATTGGTTTTAAATTGTATCGTGGGGATTCATGGTCCCATGTGCTCCAAAAACTTTCAATTATCAGAGCCATTTCGAAGGTGGACATGTGTACAGCGATCACGGCATGAACCATCAGGAACTACCATGAACATGGTTAAGAAACTAATGGTTGGTTTGGAAAATCTTAATGACGGTGTGATTTTAGAAATCTGTGATCATCAGTTATTGACCAGTAGGATCAACCAACTTAAGATACCTCAAGATGATATATCGAAGAAATTCGCCAACCATGGTCATATTGGAAATACCCTTTCATTCAAACATCCTGCTGTCACCATGGACGCTGATGCGCTGGTCTGGTCACTGCGGGAACTTTGCTGCCCACAGGACTTTGACGGGGAGGTGGTTAGCTGAATTCCCAATTAAAAAATTAAAACAATATACATGGATATCCCTTTATGGCAAAACGTGTGATAGAATCCTTTTTGGGCAAATCAAATCACATGTCAGTCGATAGAAGTGACCAAACAGAATCTTTAGTACGCTGTGTTCTTTGGTTTGTGAAGCTGGCTGGAAATCTCTGAATCCGATCCTTGCAAATAGCCAATGGGTTGTCTTGATTCCTTTTAGGTACATCTTACATGTCTCATGATTTGTTTACTATGGGGTTCATAGTTTGATTCAAGCATCGGGTCCATGAAGTCAATCTTCATCCCACTTGTCAGGACTTCGTGGCAATTATCCTGTTGGTGATGTGGACTTTCCCAATCCAGGAGGCGTCATGCTGATCGGTTGAATAAAAAAAAATGTTGGCGTGCATGCCCAATAAATTCTAATTGATGTTCCATTTCGTTAGCCTAAAGATCTCCAGAGGTAATTGGTTGGGTTCTTTATAACTCATATATGTTAAGATAAAACCCCTGCTCTGCCTTGCTCCAGGCTTCCCTGGACTACTTTGAATTTTTTGCTGGCGTGGGGAACATCACCACACAGGCACGGGCCTGTGGCTACAAGGCATTGCGCTTTGATATCCTGGACAACAACAAGCCCCATGATAGGAAATCCAACTTTATGGACTTGAATAGCAGCTCAGGATTTGCGTCCCTTGACTAAAGGAAACATGAGACTGCTTATGCCCAAAATATCCCAACATGAATATCACCAATGTAACAAATTGGATGAGTTATCAACTTTGAGCAATTTTCCGGATTCTGTTCCAATTTGAACATCATGCAGTTAACAAACTAGATGAGTTTCAACTTTAGTTCTATTAGCAAAAGCTTTGAATATATTCATGTATACAAGATATCAACATATGGTTGGATTACTATGGATGATCGATTTCGATTTGGGACCAATCATCTCCTATGAGAAAAAGGCAGCATGTTTTTTCTCCACATTATGTATCTTTTTCTACCCCTTGCAGCTGCCTGCTTAGGCTAGCAGTGACTTGCTTGCTTCGAGCTCGTGTCCGTGACTTCTCGGCCCACTTCGCAATCAAATGTTCATCATTGTGTACCACGAATCAAGGAACATCAAAGAGATCACCAGCTTCTAGCACTGGCTTTACGGATTACCCATCAGTGTCTACAAGCAACAAACTTCTGGAGAGGAGCGGGATGGATCAATACCCTGTAATGCCTTCTAGCCTATATATATATATATATATATATGAAAACCAAAAAACTTCAAGTATATATAGAATATTTCACGGTTTATATCAATCATATGATCCATCTATGTTGGCCATTTATAGTTACCATGTGGGGATGGCGCCCATGCCCAGTTACCATTTTGATCAAAGACAAATTTGCACTGAGTCATAGGATCAAAACGTAAATAAATGTGCATACACATATGATCATACCTGCACAACTGTGTTTTGAAGCCTCTGCATCATGATAGATGTATATCCATGTGGGTCACGAAACTAATCACTATGAATAATGGTCATTCATTAGGGTTATATCTCGACATTATCAATAATCATCACCATCTTGAACATGACAAATGATAATGATAAGTCATGATAATTTTCATAGGTAGCGATCATCATGATTATCAATGATCACTATTATGAATCGTCATCACCAGGATGAATAATGGTCATCATGATAAACACCGATCACTATGATGAGTAATGATCACCATCTTGGTTTTGACTCAGGATCACCATGATGAAACTGATGATGCTTATGAACCATTTATGATCATGATTGTAAACTACTAATGGTCATTTTTGAACATAAGCATCATCATCAATATGAAGGATAAGCATCATTTTTCAAAATGATGATCATTATTCATCATG